TTTATCTATTGATTGAGTAAATGTAATCGCGTACTCGTGTTAGATATTGTGTATTCAGTGTGCTGATTTCGTACGATCAGCTTTCTGTTGTGTATGAAATATTACGTGACACTCGGTGAAACCGCTACACCTGTTATTAATGCCGGACAGTCCGGATACAACACGAAATCATGCAACTCTTTACATATTGCTTTGTAACTGTAGCAGAGCGCCCATAGCTTACGATGCCCAAATCCACCTAAACAATTCCGCTAGCTCGAGCCAAACAAAATATTAATATTTTGCTATATTAAAGGCGTCCTTAAGCTTCACTGAGTCCCCGTCATTTTCTGTTGCTGAAACGCACACAAACTTAATTTTGTTACTTATTCACTTTTGTTATTTCTGTATTGTTTGTTACCTTTTTTGTTCTTATGTATGCTTAGTATATAGATTAATTATTTATCTATGTATCCAGTTGATTTTCGTCTTATCGCTTTTGTAATGTCTGTACTTGAACTTGGCAGTCACAGTAATTGAAAACAACAAGTTTCGAACTAGGCGGATTCGGAATTTCAGACTTTACATCTGAAGATCAATTAATCATAAACCTAATCTTTAATGTTTGAGAAATGTTAAAATGCTTTAATTTTCTGGAAGATAATGTAATGGTGCATCCGCCTGCTCTAACGTTGCCTGGGCAGCAGTGGAGGAATGATAAGTGAACAAGACATTGCTAGAAATTGGGTCGTCTTCTTTGGGTCCCAATGATCCCCTCCTCACACAATATTTATGTTCTAATTACTACTAGGTACGCAATATTATTTGGAAAGAGAATCTGAAAGTTTACTATTGGCAGTCACAACATCGTAGGTTAGATTGAATATGAGGAGTGCGTATCACTACAATGTATATTACTGAAAAGATGAGACATATAATAAAACTTTCCACCAATGCAGATGCATGGTCATTATTGAGATTTAAGTACATAATTGTTTCTTGGAACGAACTCATATGATTTTACATGAGTCAAAATTTTTATTCCATTTGCAATGATGTTGCGTTCGATACGTTAACTTTGGCAAGCAGGCTCACAACAAGTGATTCTGAGAAAACGTACGAACTTATGTTTATATTATTAGATACTACACTGTCGTTGACTCCAAATCTTATTGGATACAGTTCACGTAGATACAAGAAAAAAGTGTCAAAATGTCACACGTTCTGTCAATCAGAGATTTGTGCAGAGTAAAATAAGTAATGGGTATAGAATTGTTATTTTGTAGTATTTTTTTCATATTTTATAGTTATTATCAACAATGTTATTAAATATTTTAACTGTAAGTATTTCAATATTATGTTTCTTGGTACATAAGCTATCATGTATTTCTACTAGTATTATACTTTTAAAAGCCTACCCGTATGGATCTAAAAGCTGTATCAAATAAAAATTTGTATAAAAATTGGAACATTCTAAATACTTGCGTGGTTGTAATCACTTTTTGTGGTGGTTATCCATCTAGGAGTCAATACCAGTCTCTACATATTCAATTCCAGGTCATAGAATGTTGTTTCGTAAACATGTCTCCGTCGGCAGCTACTACGTAAACCAAACCAAATTAATCTCTGCTATTAGAGCAGTATTACCATTGCTTAAAAATATTAGGAATTTCCAGAATTAGCTTAATAAACTCTATGGAAATTAAGTTGATTGCTTAGGTTGGGTAGGTTTAGGTGTCAATTATCTATGGAATCGATATCTTTCCAGATTACACTATATAACCTATTATTAAATATTGGTAACAATGAATAATATATTTTTTTTTTGTCGTGTTTAATCTTATCTTCCTAATATTATAAACGCGACAGTTTGTGAGTATGGATAGATAGATGAATCACGCAAAAGCTACTGCATGAATTTGATGAAACTTTAATTATAATTCTGGCTACCTCAGTTATAATAAGTATTATAATTTAAGAGTTTAGTAATATCGTTCATTATATCATCTCATATTTCATTATATCCCGCAGAGAATTCACCCGAATTCTCTGTTACAGTAATACTATTACTTATATATCTTATATAATTACATATATAGGAAATAACCTACACGACACGACACTAAACCTAGCGATATATTGTTGTAGGGACCTCCCTAGATAATTTACTAAAACACCTCGTGTGTAGCCAAATCGTCCGTTTAAAATAACAAAATGATTTTAACCCTGCCAACGTTGCTTCAATATTACCCCTCTATTTAGTATCGTACTGGAGTAATGACTAATTAATTGTAGTATATTCGAAGGCATGTGATATCGTTGTACCAATGATATCATTAACCTCGTTAGGTAATTCCATTCCATATCATTGCGTCCTTGCTCTCTATTTTCGTTTTTCGTTCAGTGCAACTGATCATTGACAGTACTATGTACTTATCTACTATATTATCATATAGTAAACTGTCATGTCACATATGTAATTATTTTAAATAAAAAAAAATAACACCTTAATTAGTCATAGGAAATAGTGAAAACGAGGATAAACAATAAGCGGAGCGTAGACAGATGTAGCTATATTTGTACTATTTCTGCAAATTTAATACGGAACACCGAATATATCTTGGTTAAGTCATTCATACTATTGATAACGGTCGTGGTAGTAATGACTTATTTATAATCCATGCCGAGGACGGATGTTGCTACTAGTAGCGTGACGTCATATCACGCCACTTCATTATCATCGACAGGCGTCAATATCACGGCGGTTGAACCTTGACATCACAGTGTGAGACAATCCACATTTATTCGTACCTAATAAATTTATCATCCAAATTTAAAATCCTGGTCATCACGCATTCGGCATATGTAAACTGAGTACCATTAAGTGCCATATCAGTGACACTACAATAACACTGTGTATCGGAAAATCATAACATTTAGAAAGCATGGACTTAGTCCGAGTCTAAATATTAGGCATTCATTTCATAATTATAGAATTTTATTATACACTATATAGCTTTTTGTGGTTATTTAAAATAAAATCTATCTGAAATATGAATATCTATTATTACAGAGCAATAGTTTCATAATAAAGTTAAATGTTCATCCTACAATATACTTTGCTACATTTGGTGAATGATTTACGTTCAATTCCACGCTCCATTTTCAATTAATTTTTATCAATATTGAGTACTGACTGTTCAATAATAATAAAAAACTTTATGAAGCAATAACATTTGCTATACACAATAAAATTAATACAAATCAGCGATTTCCGTACGAATTTACCATTTTATTATTTGTCAGCTGAACTTTAGGCGCTTAACATTTTTTTTAGCAAAACCACCCCGTAATATATCAAAATTATTAGTCACTTACAAGGTTGCTTGTTAAACTTAGTAAGAGTTTCTCTGTATAATCTCTGTAAATTTCTATGCCTCTAATATACTCATCGTTTTTTTATTACAAGGACATAGATTTGAGAACGTTTAAACATTTTTACACGATTGTAAGATTACGGTTTAAAAAAAAAGACGTTGCACGCCCAGGTATAATAGAGATCGTTAACATTCCGTCTGTCGTGTATGACGTCAGTCAGTGCGTCATGTCATAATGCCGCACGTAAATATTTAAAAGGTAAATATGAATAAGTAACCGACGTGACTATTTACTGACAAATATAATAGTAGCGGAAAAAATATATCGAGCAAAACAAGCATTGTAATAAGAACTAAGAAAGTATAGTATTTAAAATCTTGTTCAATTTCTATCTAGATTAGCACAGGGATGCCAACCGTACGAGGATCCTCGTACCTATATGAGATTTTTGACCTTTGTATAAGGACATTTTCATTTTTGTACAAGCTTGTACGAGAATGTGACTGAGAGTCGGTCGAAGCTCCAAAGATTTAAATTGAATTGATAAAATCTATCAGATGTTTTATTTCTAAGAGTTAACTTTGTTTAAAGAAATTAAAAATCTAACCCATAGTTAATATGTAACAAACACTACAAATCAAAACACATAAATATATAATTTTATTTTTAATTACGTGTCAAAAATTGTTTAGTGTATTTACAGTTTTGCTTGTATTATAGTATTACTATACCTATGCTATCATATATTATGTGCTCGAGTGTTGGACTGTAGCATGTACCTACCCTGTTTGTATCACGGGTCCGCCCCTACTGCACTTGTAACCTTATCTATCAGTGACATGTCTATGGTTGCTACAACAATAAATATTACGTGATGCCAGTGAATCATACATGATTGATTTGTCGTGTTTACTTGATGTCAGACGTACAACGTATTTGAAAACAACGGATCAATGTATCATCCGCATAATTCAGTCATTTGTTATTTTTGGGTTTTAAAATTACATCAGTTTTTCGAGTAAAGGGCTCATGCCCATGACCTTTGATTAGTCAATGGTACGGAGGGTACTCTTTTGTTATTGTCATATTATTTGACATAAGCATAAGCATAAGCAAGCATAAGCATTTACTGCTAAACTGCTTTTTGTCAATTATTTCATAACAGAAGTAGATAAGTATTTTATGTAATTGGAACGGCAATCAGCTGATGCCTTAATGATATGATGATGACATAATGGAAAGTGCAAATCGTGACATGTACATTTTAAAAATTGAGGACATAACGTCATCACGTGACTCCCATTTGCCTCCTCCTCTATATTTTCATTACCATATCAAACCAAGATAACTTACTTACAAAAGTTGGCGGTAGAAGTATGTTAGAGAGAGGTATCTATGCAGGCTTTCAAAATTTGTGACTGACGCTGGTCATCCGCCTAGGGTCTAGTGAGTGAAGGTTGGGGACTCGGGACGAACCCCTTTGCTCCGGCATCAATTCCGGGGGCAACAACCCCCCGGGTAGTTGGGTTGCAAGCCACTTGGGGCGGAAATAAACTCATGCAGAAGTACAATTACATGAAACTTAACCTAACTTAAGAATTAGTGCCGTGTTTTTTTTTAAATATTGTATTGTTTTGTTCCAGTCACTACAGACAGCCGCACCGTATAGCACAGACCCAGCAGCGGTAGCAGAGCGCGACCGGTGTCACTACGGGCGCATACCCCGCGCGGCAGCCATAGCTGGCACTGCGCAGCGTAGAGTGCGCGTCTACTCCGATGGCATCTACGACATGTTCCACCAGGGCCATGCCCGGCAGTTGCAACAGGCCAAATCAGTGTTCCCTAATGTCTACCTCATTGTTGGAGGTTAGTTTCATTTTCTTCATCGTATCTGTAAAGACGTGCCTAATATAGGACATTGACACTACTTGTAGACTACCACAACCCTTATATTTGCAATAGTCATATGACTAAACACATTGACTAAAAATTAAATAGTTTAAATCGTAAATCATTCGCTTACTAATTTCTGATCTTAAAATTTGTTTTATGTAACTTATAAAATCTTTCATTATTCTCACTCCTATTACCAACACGCCAACCAAACCACACTGGTGATGCCCACGTAATTTTTTACACGCAACCTTCTGATCTGATATCTATCTCATCTGTCTTTTCTGATTGAAGATTGATGCTTCTTACTGACTTATTATATGTTGGCATGTAGTGTCACTCTAGTTTCCTATTTTACGCGTCTGTCCATCGTCTGTGAGTGGCTGCTGATCCTTGCTCCTTCCATGTGACATGTGTTTATTAGTTTTTATACCACGTACGCAACACACTATTTTTATTGAATCACCGCAATAAATCTATGTATGGCATACAGGAAAATAACAGAATTGCAAAAAAATAAAAGCACTATTTTGATTTGGAAATTCAGAGTTGGTATGATTTTATTTCGAGGTTTCGATTCGATTTCGGTTTCTTTAATAATACATCGTGATTATTTAGGTTGTTTTATACTTATATTTAACACCGGCACTACTATGTTATCTTGAGTTAATAAATATAACTTTCAAAATAATGTTGAAATTTGATATGCCCCTGTGCTTCCTTATGTGCATAACAATGTTACATCTTTGTCGACTAATAATAAAAAAAATACGAATATTATTATAATGTAATTAGTGCGTTTTTTATTTATAAACATAGGATTATAGATTATAAATAAAAGTGTTATATTTATTAATCTGTTTACAACAACGTGGGGCAATCTAGAATTATCAATTGATTACTGTTTGCGTTATTAAGTAATGATAAAGCGAATTTTTCTATTGGACAGGTTTCTGTCGTACGACAGTTTTTATCGCATAAGTCTAAAATATAACGTGTTTCTTGTAGATAAGTATTTCGTAGATATTGTATCACCTTATCACGTGTTGTATTGAGTTGCCCTTGGTTAAGATACGCTGGTATCGTAACTGGTACAGTCATCGGTGCTGATAGTAATTACATAATTGTACACCTAATGTTAATCTATAATACAAAAGGTAAAACGAGTGCAGACTTTCTTTATATAAATAAATGCATACAGCATTAACTGCAACACCAAAATATTTATAAAATAAAAGCATATAATTTATTCAATACCAAATTAGCCGTTTCTAAAAATATATTTAAATCTGGCCAAAACTAGAATCATACTAACCTTTTATGTAACCCGTTAAGTTACATACCTAAGTAGGTAATGTGATGTTTTACGTAAATGTGGTTAAGTTAACATTATATTTTCCCCGTAAATTACGGAAATATGTGCAAAAGAGTATTTTGTCGTTTACAACTCTATTTTAATTGTAATAATGTTGAACTTACATTTAAAATTATTATAACTTTCAGTCGTAACAAAATTCAAAATTAAGTAAACACCAATGTTATTATGTTTAAAAAAAACTATTGCAGGGAAAGATATGGCAGTGAAATTATAGGGCTTAGTATTTTGGAATTGTAATGAATGAGTTGTATTTGAACCACGGGGGTTAGATCATTACACGGTTATTTTCGGAATGCTGTTCATAGTTATATAAGGCCCACATGAAGGAAAACGGCGACGCTCGCCATTTTCCTTCAGGTGGGCCTACAACTTCCTTGTCATTTCAAGTACATAAAAATATGCAGGCGAAGATAAGAAGGATTTTCCTAGATATACCTACTACTGAAATTAAAAAGCATGTTATTTGTTTTCAGTATGCAGCGATAGTTTAACACACAGCCGCAAGGGCCGCACAGTGATGACTGAAGATGAGAGGTACGAAGCCGTCCGACACTGCAGATACGTGGATGAGGTAAATATGACTCATTTATGATAATACTATCAACGAACTGTGGGCTTACCTTGGGCTTGGCAATATTTTATGCCAGGGATGCCAACACTATGAGAATCCTTGTACAAACAAGTGTTTGAGATTTTTTTTGTCTTTGGTACAAGGACACTTTCATCCTTGTACAAGAGCTGTGAACGGTCAAAATAAGAGTTAAAAAAGTTCAATTTGGCCCTCTAACTCGTATTTTAACCGTTCAAATATTACTACTACTATTTACTTATTGACTAATATTTATCAGATTTTTTTTCATACGAGGATATATGTAAATCAGTTTAGCAATCCTGTTTTATAGTCATAATCAAACGATGTATTCAATATAAAGCTAAATTACAGTACAGTCTACAATTTCATCAGAATCGCCTTATATGTAGCTACGGGTTATACAGATACATGTTTTGTTATCTCTTAATAACATATGTAGATTGGATTACTGACATGTATCTATATAAAGTCCCTCGCCGCGTCTGTACCTATGTTCGCGATAATTTGAAAAGGCACTGAAAGTAGTTTGATGCGGTTTTCATTCGTCAGAAAAGTGATTTCAGAGGAAGACTTAGTTTCTAGGGGTTTGTGTAAATTAATTGATATATCGTCACTGCTGTTTTCTATTAATTAAACATTAATGTATGAAAATTTTCATAATAACAGTAATACTTTGTCCACTTGGGGGTACTGGTCTCTCATAAATTTAGGATTTAGTCTACTGTTACCACTGTAGGCAAGCTTACTTGTATAGCTTTATTTCGAATTATCTTCTCTTGCAATGACACATTTATGCTTTGTTTCCCTAATCGCCTCCTACGATATCCTGGGGGGAAAATAGTGACTCATAAAGTTTATTACGCTTACTGCGTCATCACATACAAACTGTGTATATAGGAAAATTTCTAACCTGATTGCGGAAAAACACAAACATTATTTTAAGCTGGACATTCACAGTCGACATCATTGCAATCTATCGCGTATTGTAGTCCTAAATTATATTGTGATTCGATTTTATCATACCGGCCTCTGTCACCTCTGTGGTCTAGCGGTTTGGCACACCACTTCACTTCTGATGGTCGCGGGTTCGATTCGTCGCATGTCACAAATATTTGTATTCATTAGTATGATTATTTGTATCGGTCCGAGTGTTTTCTGTGTATTATATGTATTTACAAAAAAACATAAATATTTTTATCAGTCGTTTCGTATCCATAACACAAGCTCTGCTCAGCTTGGGACTAGATGGCACTATATGAATTGCTTATGTAAATATGGTTATTATTATAATAATACCCATGTCACCATGAATGGGAAACACATTGTGGTTCTATATCGCACTAGCTGTATCTGCGACTTTCTCTCTTTTTTACATAATTCGTAGCATATCTTGTCCTTTAGCCTTTTTTTTAGTATCACTAATGTATCAATTAGACAGACATACTTTCGCATTTCACACTAGCGCGCTATATACAGTAGTAGCCACTTACCATCAAGTGGACCGTCAGCTTGTAGTCATATTGAAATTCTTTTCATCTGAATCTAACTCGACAAGTGCGGACCTATAAAAATAATTATGAATTTCGGAGTTTTTCCAAATAAACCGACCGTAAATTTTCAGTTTTAGTATGTACAAGATATTATCAGCTATCACTAATTACAACGGCTACCGATCCGAGAGAACGTGTTAATCAATATTGACGTATAGATTACAACGTGCTTTACCGCTAAAAATGAAATTAAAGGTCACGCCGTTATCCACAGACGCCTTTCTACAATGATTTCACTTCCTACTAAATTCCATTTATTACGCATAATAGTATTATCAAATGGTGAACGGAATGTAATTGAATACTGCATAAACGTAAATGCAATGTTATTGAACAGGTCTCTGTAATAAAAGAATAATATAAGCATTTTAGAAGTCGTGTTCCGGTTATACCTATTCTGGTGATTGCTATGAATACCTTGACGGTTTTTTTATTTTTTTTTATAAATTTTCCTTTCACTGCGATTTGTAATTGTTAAATATTCGCCGTAATTATAATTTTGAAATATATAAACAGGTTCTCGGCAGTAGCTACGTATTTAATATTAACAAAAAATATCCCAGAACAATTCGCACAAAGCTAAGCTAAGTATAACTTGTGTTATGGGTACTAAATAATGTGATAGAAATACTTATAAATACATAAATACCGTACATTGAAAACACGCAGAGCAATACTAAGAATCAGTCATGAATACAAATGTTTGTGTCGTGCAAGGAATCGAACCGCTAGACTATCGTCTTGGTTTTTTAGAATATTCAATGCACAGGCGCGGCTCGTATTAGATTTTATTAGGTATATGTATAATGATAAACTACGTGGCCATGATTCACACACATTTGACCTTACTCGTCCATCTGTATTTTTGTGTCTGAATATTGGAAAAGCTTTGTTTTTCATGGAAATATTAGCAGTAGGTATTACGAGGGACACAAATTGTTCTAATGAAGCACATCAATCAACTTGTTTCCAAGTTCCATTGTACCAAGGAAAGACTACCATTTTACACACTCTAAGTTATTTAGTAATTGAAGACTCTAAATTTAAGTTTAACATACAGTATATTATATCTATCATTATACAAAAGGAAAATAAAGTGCTTGTACGATAAGAAGTTATTTCCTACAAATTTTTGTCATTTATTTAAAAATCTAGCGTCTAGCCATCGTACACAGATTGTAACTTTAATTTCTTAAATATAAATAAAACATCGGCCGCTGATTATGCTGTTTTCATAAATTTTGTGAGCTCTTAAGTATTTTTGGGTCTATCCATTATCATATTTTTCCTGTTCATCTAAATGACTATACACTCCACGTCATAAACACTATACAGCGCGCTCGGTTTGTCATTCTCGTGTCTGTATCGTTAATTGTGCAGTTCCCGCCGATACTGTAGGTCGAACAACCCACACATCTACATTGTTAATGATAAAAATTCAATGCCAGCGCTGAAATGAAACAGCATTACCATATTCCAAGTCTGTAACGAATGACGGGCTGTTGTTTTGTAACTTGATGACAAATACTGACGCATTATGATTAGGTACACTAGCTGTTTCTAGTGACTTCATAGGAAACACTTAACGGATTTTGTAAATTATTTCACATTAGCTGTGCCCGCGGTTTCACCCACATGAAATTTATAGCTTGTGTTATTCTGATGCATAAGTTATATTACTGCAAAGTCCGATCAGTAGTTATTGCGTGAAAGAGTAACGAACACCGTCCATACTCACAAACTTTCGCTTTTATAATATTAGTAAGATATAGAATTACGTATGTTTCCAAATAGAGTAATAAAACTGTATTTTATTTCAAAAATCTATTGTACAATAACTGTACTTATATGGGGTGCTAGCGTCTAGCACATTGTAAAAGAAGAATAGCTAAATTTTACGTGTACACAGCCGCCAAAGTTTCCGTCGATAATGATAATGTTTTAATGAAGTAATAATACGCAGTCAGTTATCACAGAGCTCTATGATGTATGTGATTTCATACAATGTACAGGTCAAATTATATCTTATATTTCTGATAAATGTCATGTGTTTAGGTCGAATTAGTACGTGAACATGTATAAAATTTCTTTGAAAACATGATTCATTAACATCATTTCATTTAGTCATTATCTCGTGATGACCAAAGGCAAACTGACATCAATTCTATAAAGGACTGATTTGCGTAACGTAACCTAAATTTTATTTTATAATTTATAGCATATTTGCTAATTTGCGCGGAAAGTTAATACAATGCACCGCCTAACATATTTTCGAGTTGCCTTGTAATATAATTGACTGATAAATTTAAAAACAATGAATACTGACGTAAGCTAAAGTTAAAATTGTTAGCGTATTCCAGCTAAAGAGACACAATTTGCTGATGTACGTGAGTCTTGACCCACTTACTCGTATCTTTTGTTATGATACGCGTGTATTCGTGGCACAGTTAATTATAACTAGAACTATTTCGCAGAGGTGTCTCTGATAAGTCAGTACATGTACTTAATGAAGGCCATTTCTTAAAATGTACAAATAAATTAATTAAGAGTAATAGCAAGAAAGAAAGAGAAATATTTATTCAGTGCTTTTCAACAGTAATAACAACAACAAAAGATAAAATAAAATAAACTGTATATATAACTAAACTTAATTTAACTTGTAGATAATTAAAATAAACATAAAATAAACTTTTTTTACTTACATATACAGCCATTTCTGTAACTATAGGCACTGAAATTGTTCCACTCTGCTTTATTGTATGTTCTATGTGGACATACCGCTGGTTTTCAGTGACACCACAACGAAAAAATAAATATACAAAAGGGGAGAGAGAGGGCATTATTTAAAATATTAATAGATTTTGCATTGTATAAGCTGTTTTCAAAAATGTAGCAGTCAGTATAATATTATGTCGTATCGCAATAAGGTTATTAAACCTGATGGATATTGCAAACCAAATTTTATCATCCATAAAACTATATTGTTAGAACTAATGTTTCGTTATAACCTTAAAATATGACTGAGCGCAATGATAGCTGGCTCGTAAATAGGTCCTGCTTGTAGTTACTGGTTTATTAATCACTATCACTAATTTATTTTTTTAATCTAGTAACTAAATCTTATTAATACGTAGTATAAAAGGTGAAGTTTGTGAGCGTGGATGGATGTTTGTTACTCTTTCACGCAAAATCTACTGAATTAATTATAATTAAAGTTTACAATAGTATATAATAGCTTATACATCAGAAGTATATAGGTTAAAAATTTCACAAGAGTCGATCTGCGGACACAGTTAGTATTACATATTTTACTCACGTGAATTGGTGTTATTTGCTAGTTTGTATTCACAGTCATATTTTATTACACAGCTCAGGCCCATCAACTAAACCGTAGCAACGGGCTTGTTGGAATTTTAATACGGATTAGATTATTAATACGTTAATGTAATAGGATTAGCGATATCAAAATCAATTAATATATTTGTCAATTGTCAACAGGTGGTGCGGGACGCGCCGTGGGAATACGATGAGGAGTTTCTAGAGAAGCATAAGATCGACTTTGTGGCGCACGATGATATCCCATACACGACGGAGGACTGCGAGGACACGTATGCCACCATCAAGGCAAAGGACATGTTTGTTGCCACCGAGAGAACAGAGGGTGTGTACTTGTTTATTTATGTTAATAATAATCGTTCACATACTGTAGAGTCACGATCCTCAGCAGTAAGGGAATGATTAAGAAGAAGAAAGTTGCTTAAAAATGTTTCAATATTTTATTTTATTTATTTATTTAACTTTAATGCTCTCTCTCTGATATTCCCATGTTCCCAGTTCATCTGGGGACGAGTTACCCTGTACATCTGCGCCAGAGAACTCTGTTCTGTTGTCTGTGTAGTAGTCCTGGTCCATCTGCTTATTATTGTTTCACCTAGTGGCGCGTGGTCTGTCTCTACCTCTGGTCGACTTTGGTATTTATTTAATTTCAATGCACACAATACTAAATATAGTATATTTAGCGGACTTAACAACATGTGGCTATATGTGACTCAAACATTGGTTTAATGACTCAACCAATCATTTGCCATTCACATAGTATTTAATCTAAAAGGATATACAGTAGTTTTTTTAATTCACCCGTAATGGAATAAAATATGTCTCGGAGTAAACTAGTTAGCATAAATAAGGTCGCTGTACCATCATCGCCAACACGTTCTGTTTATATAACGAACAGTTATTATCTCTTTTTATTTTCACAGCTGACATAAGGTTATTGAAGTGCAATAACAATTTATTGCATCGTACTACTTTTTTTACCGTAATTTACGCAAGTACATCGTGTCGTTTATAATTTACCAGTTCACAAATACCTGTTTCTTACTACGTTATTATAGTATTTTTTGTTATAGTTTGTAGTGTTAAGGAAACATTCAGATTTGTTGACTTCACCGTTTTCATTATAAAAAAAATGTTATATCCATTTATATAATTTAATCGATATATACAGACCATACATGTATAACCTTAATGTTGTCGAAGATATGTGCATTGCATTGCAAAAGTATCGGTGTAAACGCAAATTTTGACAAATAATTATCCTTTTATTCGGAAAATATTTTCTACAATATAATAGATAGATAGATAGATAGATAAGTTCTTTATTCAGCCATTACAAACACATAGCATACATGAGATACATTTTATAAATAGAAATAAAGTTTACAGATTAAATAATACAGAAATATGATATTACAAAATAAAATAAAATAAAAATGGAGGTGGCTTTATGTGTCGCAATGATGAAGAGGCAACCAACTCAGCATGAAGCTACAGATAAGTCTGCAGCGCTGATATTCTGTTGGCTCCTATAATTAAATACATACTTACATACATATATACGTGAATGTTTATATATTACACTTCGAGCTCTTAAAAAAATTATACTATTACAAAACACTATACAATATACAAATAAATTAAAAAAATGAAGTGGTGTGTTATGTATACATATATTGTTAACCTATAGATACATACTACGTACATAAATAATAGTTGTTGTTAGCATATACAAGGTCGCTGGCTAAACGCGCCGTGAGTCAGACATTATTGTTCCTGACCATGCTTACCGACTTCGGTCGTTGAAAAAAAAGACTCCTCAGATAAAGGACCTCCTATTTAAAGTCAGTTGTTCAGACAATAAGTGTTTTTTTAAAAGGTTTTTAAAATTCACTTTAGTTTTTATATTACGAATGGGAGGAGGTAAGTTATTCCAACACTTGGAGGCCATATATCTGAAACTGCCTCTGAAGGCAGTAGTCCGATGTGCTGGAGTCACTAGTCGATACAACGAAGCCCTGGTTTTAAAAGCATGCTGATTGCCAGACCACACAAGTTTTCTATAAAGGTAATCAGGCATTTTGGATTCAATGACATCAAACAACAAAGTCGCAAAATAAAGGTTGTAACGTGAAGACATATTTAGTAGTTTAGCATTATTGAGATAAGGAGAGACATGACTACGCGGTGGTATACGGAAGCAAAAACGGGCGCATGCATTTTGTACACGTTGGATAAGCCGCCGTGATCTAGCTAGTGTACATGAACCGAAAACAGCTAAACCGTAACTCAGCTTGGACAATATCAGAGAATCGCACAGTCGAACACGTAGATCAGTTGAAAGATAATTTCGAATTTTGTACAATATCTTTAGTCTGTAGAAGCAATTCCCCACACAATCTAGGACATGGTTTTCGAATTTAAGACCAGAGTCCATTAGTAGACCCAGATTGCGCGTTTCAGTTACTTGCAACAGAGGTGTACCTTCTACTGTTATAACTGGTGTTTGATTTTTAATTTTTTGTACCTGCAATTTAGAACCCAATATCATGAATTTCGACTTAGCCGGATTCAAAACAAGAGAATTTTTATTACACCAGTTCGATATACGGAAAAGTGTTGAGTTCAATATTCTAACCGCCATGTTTGTATCTTGAGGATTTATAGACATGTAAACTTGTAAGTCATCCGCATATTGGTGATATAAACATCCTTCACAGTATCTAGCAATGTCAGCACTATACAGAATGAATAAGAGGGGACCCAGAATTGATCCCTGCGGGACTCCTCGCGTCAATAGTCTAGGTTTGGAATATAGTAGAGTGCCGTTGTTCTGTGTTACCTTTACGAGCTGATGACGATTACTGAGGTAACTATCAAACCAGAGTATTGTTTGCCCATCAAATCCATAGTATCTAAGTTTTGAAAGTAACAGGTTTATATTTAAACATTCGAAAGCTCTCGAAAAATCGAGCAAAGTAAGCAAGGTACCATTTCCCTTATCCATAGCCGCCAAAACATTGTCCACAACATCCAATAATGCAGTGATCGTACCTCTTCGTTTTCTAAATCCAGATTGAAAAGGTGGTAATATGTTATTGGCTTCCAAGTAATAGGACACTTGTAGATGGACAATCCTTTCCAGGACTTTAGACAAAAAAGGTAATATGCTAATCGGTCGCAAATCTGATAAGTTTGATGGGTTGGTAACCTTAGGGATAGGACATACCACCGCTATTTTCCATATTGCAGGGAATGTTGAAGACTCTATAGACTTATTAATTATGAAAGTAATAATGTCCAGTGTCCTAGGGAGTGTTAAAAGCATCATATCTTTAGATATATTATCAATGCCCAAAGCATTTGATTTTATTTGTAGCATAATTTTACCTACTGTAAGTGTGTCAACAGGTTTTAAATTGAAAGTAGATGAACCACACCTATGATGCTCAAAGTAAGTCAGATCGGATATGCGAACTTCGTCAATACCTGGAGTTTTTAAAAAATGATCGTTAATTTTATCCGGATCGTTTACAGACAAGGGCAAGCTGTTCACCTTTGTATTAGGTAAAGCAGTCTTTTTTAAGTTTGACCATAAAGATTTGGAATCCTTAATTTTTTTATTAATGTTATATTCGAAATAAGCCTTCTTTTCAAAATGCATACCGACATTAACAAGATGTTTTAATCTTTTATATTCGTCCCGCAGTACCACATAAGTAAATTATAATCAGTTCTTAATTTAGAAGATCTATACCTGAAGGAAATTGTGTTATCACAATATACCACATTCTTCCAGATAAAAGAAAATCTTCGGTATCAATGTTAATGTTAGTTGTTAATGTGACATCTGTTCTACATTTAGCCTCTCATTTGGATTGTTGTGCGTGTTGAGCCGAGACTACTAAAGTTAACCCCGCTAAACTCATCCGCAAGCGCAGAAGCCTCCTGGTGCCTTTTCAGGCTTTTCATGTTTCATTTTTTCATTCATGTAACGCTGATATTGTTATCAGCGTTACAGGGATTTCTGTTTAGACTATAAATGAGAACCCCAATGTTTTTGTGTGCAGGCGTGTCGACGTCGGATATCGTGGCGCGGATAGTCCGCGACTACGACATCTACGTGCGACGGAACCTCGCGCGGGGCTACTCCGCCAAGGAGCTCAACGTTTCATTCCTCAACGAGAAGAAGTTTAGGCTACAAAATAAAATGGATGAACTTAAGGATAAGGGGAAAAAGGTAAGATTCTCTAGTTTATATCTTAAAGAACTAATACTTTGATTATAATGCACAAAAAGTTACTTATCTGTTATATGGGCTGTCCAACAGTATTACACTTGAGCGAAGTCGAGTCGCATTGCTTGTTTTTAATAATGATTGGCATATTATATGCCAATCATTATTACACCAAATTTTAGAACATGTGTCGCGTTATGTTTTCTCATAATATATGTACCTAAAAGACTACAGGCTCTAACATGGGCACAAAATGAAATCATATATATTTATTGCTGTTAATACATAAAGGTACTTCATATTGTTTATAGTAATAAATAATAAAAATGTATTAGCCATTACTTTTTTAATATAGTACGATTAGATAACAATGTAATGTAAGATTGCAATTAAAACGGAAAAGATGAAATACATATAACAGGAATAATAATAGTAAACATATCAAGTGTTAAAGTAAACATGTTGATAGTTCACACTGCAATTCAATAAAATAATAAATCAGTCAACTGAGGTTAACACAAAGTTTCTTGATCTTTGCTTTTTTTATGAATAGGTACACGTTATTATAAATATCTCCTCTTATTTATATATCGAAAAGCCTGATTGTGTATTGTGGGTTTTAATCGTGACTTAGAATGGGAGACATCAATGGACTAGGAACTATCACGAAGGGGAAACTGTGCTTAAATACAACAAGGATATATCTGATAAATGAACGACATGATCAACAAACATCTAAATGTTATTGGAAGTTTAGGACTTTGTGTCCTCTCAACTAAATAAAAAAAATGACAGTATAGTGTTTGTCTTAAGTGTACATTACTGTACATGTCTGTCTGGTAGGATAAGGTACATTACTAGCAACAGTCTCGCTAATTTCCATTGCTAAATAATCGAATGGAAATAATATTTATTTAAATAAACCCAATGTTTTAAAGTGTTTAATTTGAAGTCATATTTTTTTATTCTATCACTCATTGAAAATTGATTGTTGCTCTTATAAATAAAGGTTGTAAAAAATCCCTTCCCTCGATTATAATCAATTGCGTTAAATAATCAAGCTTTTGTTATTTCTTTTTAGGTGATGACAAATATAGGAGAGAAGCGCGTAGACATATTAACTAAATGGGAGGAGAAATCGCGCGAGTTGATCGACGCATTCCTCCTACTGTTCGGACCGGACGGGCGGTTGTCCAACATCTGGAATGAATCTAAGGGCCGCCTGATGCAGGCGCTGAGTCAGCCGCCCTCACCGCGGTCCTCGCCGCCGCCCAGCGAGAACGGCGACGCGTACCCACACTCGCCCAATCACAGGTAAATAGATTTTATTTTTAATTCTTTAATAATAATTGTTTAGTTGTTTTTAATTAACGTTTTTTTACTTTCTTTACCTATGGGTCATTGCTTGATCAGATTTTTTAGACGTCCAAACAGATGTCAGTGAAATAATAATATTTTTTTTGTTAATTAACTGATTTTTGGAATACTATTAGAGATTTTTATTGAATTACAGAATTTTTTATCAGTATGACAATCATCATGAGGTGATCCTCACAATTAATTATACCTATACCTGTACTGCGGCGTTAATTCATTTAATTTAAACCTATATTTTAATATTATAATATTCAACTTAAAATGAAGAAATATGTCGTCAAAAAGCCACGTCAGTACTGTTTACTTAGTATAAATGAACAGTAAATTAGTATTTTTTCAATATAAAAGATACATTGTACTGTTGAAAACAATAGATGATGTTGTAACATAACGTGCGAAATGAGCGTTATCAGCGCCAAGGCCACAAGATATATTGATTTTGTAACGACTCACTGAACCGTATGTAACCTACCGATGGCAGTCCTTACATGTATAAAAAGTTGTTTATTATGGTACAAAAATTACGGTTATACAGTGTAAAAAAAAGTTCATTTCGCTTATGCAAGGGGTTAAAGAAACTGTAATAAAAAACGTAAAGAATACCCTGGTACTAGTAATAATTTATATCAGTGTATTGATATAACTTTGAAAGTTTGTAAATATATACATTATTAATACTATAAACGCAAAAATACTACTTCAAATAGGGTTATATGGGAGTACAAATGAAAGTTTGCATGAGGAATTAATGATTTCTCAAGTAATAAGGGATATAACTTACCTTAATCGAATAGTAGACAATTCAACGTATTAATACTATGTACAAGAAATCACGGGTACCAACTAGCATTTCGAATAAAATAGAATTATATTGACTCGTCTTGACGCAATAATAATGACATAAAAAATACAAACACACACAGGGACCGCTACTCATGTTTTCTTTGTGGAAAAATTATAAAGTTTTTTATTTTTATTGTTATTTCAGAGGTTCGGTGTCCCCACCGCCGCCCAAGTCAAGGCGGTACGAGACGCTATGGGAGCCCCAAGCAGGTAACTGGGTAATTATTCACCGCTTGTTATTAGCTAGCACGCCAGACACAAACTACGATGTGTCTTTTGTATAGCCACCCATTATGAATCAAATAATCTATAAGAAATATTCGTACTTTATTTTAGCTATTATTGTATTTATTTTAAGTTTTAACCAATAAGACCTATTTTCATTATTTTGTGTTATTAAAGTGTCTGCCACAAACTTTCAAAAATTAAAAATACAAAATAATCGTTAAAATAGGTATGTATGATATATATACAGTAATCCCCACTATAACGCGTTACATTGGTTCTGCGTTATAGGAAAACGCATTGTATGAGTATTTTCGTATAACGCTTTTTACGTCACGTACGTTTAACTTTTCTCACTAAAGGGGTGTAAATCAAATATTCAGATAAAACTATATTAAGAACGAAATGACAAATAAAAAAAAACTTATGCGTATGAACAAAATAATTAATTATGATCTGTACAAATCACTATAAATTTTACATTACAGAAATATAAAAGGGATCCCGTAAAATGAAAATTATAAGAATACCGTGTTATAGGGGGATTACAGTATTTAATACAAGTAGTGTGTTGGTAGTTGTGTATATCCCGTATGCAGTATTCATTTGTATATTTGTGTGCATTTCAACTTAAAGTTGTTTTGTAACCATATAATGTTTTACTGTGATCTACTTTAAAATAGTTTGCATACCTCTATGTATCTGTTTCAAACATCAAGCAGCTTGCTTTGTAAGCTTTCTGTTGAAGAGTGAGATACGGCAGTGAAATTACAGGATAAGACATAATATCTTAGTCCTCTGGAATGGAAACGCATGACTGTTATCATGGGCGTCACATGATAACGGTACGGAATGGCAGCGCATGATAATGTGATTTCCGTAGTGACGATCATGTTTATAAGTGGCCATCAGGCTGGCCATTAAGCTTTTTTCCAGTTTTTTTTGGGCATGCAGTAGTGTTGTAGTATCTATTGTTTGTGTAATGGTATCTAAGCATGTATTTGGTTGCAATTTTACATTTATAGTTTGCTTACATTATTCAGTTTATCTTACATACACTCACGCATTCGCGAGTCACACACAATGATATGGTCACATAATTTAAAAAATAGGTTATTTATATGTTAAATATTTAATTTACGGCTAATTAAGAAGTTGCTATATAATAACTCGCTATATTAGTGTTGTTAAAAAAGCTAATAACTTGTGAACAGTAACATTAAAACAATATTAAAACTACCTACTGTGGACGCAATAATTCATCACGTAAATTGAGGCAAAAGTAAATTGTACATATCGATAGATATTGGTATACTTTATATGACATTTATATTTATTTATTATTGCAACACTTGACATGTCCACATTTCGCTATGTATACTTGAATCTAACGTGGCAAGAGACCTATCGCAGTCTCTCTGATCACTTCTATTCGTTATAGATGTTTACGTAAACGGAGAGTCAATCAGAAACTCAAATTAACATACGAAAGTTTTTTGAGATTTTAAACTCAATCCGCATTAGGCGTGTCAAGCCACCACCACGACGCTGTTAAAAGACAAAGAAATAATATAAACATTGCTGCATTAGTCTTATGAATCTATTTTCTACATTGTGTAGATGGATCGAGCTCTGAACGTGTTGGGCGCTCGGAAGCGTCCGTACAGCGCCAGTTGACAGACGACGGCTCCGACAGCGACGACGACTATCAAGACACCAGTCCGTATCTTTAGGCAAATAGAGGAACCGTCCGTTGATATTAACAATGGCACTATATACATAGTATTTTTATACAATGTAAATTGTCCATTATTAACATCGAAGGAGACTCACAATCAAATGGCACATGTAATTGTGTAATTTCTCTTTCGTGTTTTCGGATGTTAAATTATTGTAGAATATTATGAGACAAAATTGTATGATATGCTGTATGCGTACATTTGTGTGAATGGATTATCCTATTAGGTTTATATTATTTATATTTCTTTTAAGTATTTTAATTCATAGATATTTGCAGGGCACCTGCAATTCTGTTAGCACCATAAATACCGCTGTGTAAGATAAACGGTGCAAATAAATTGTTACATAGATATTATTTATATAATACTTTTTGACAGTCGATTAAAAAGGTGCTTATTATTTATAGTATTTTGTATTATTTATTCCCCATACACATCAATCCTATGGACTGCGGATATTACCATCTTATTCATTCTTATGTGTGCAGCAAGTACATACCTACAGATAGCAATTAATTTCCTAATTGCCTAGTTAGTAGAGCAAATAAATATATTTTCTTTTTATATAATATTATCTCACCTATGATTTTCATCTTAGTCGACTCGCAGGATACTATGTAAGAAGGTAGAACATGAGATTTTGACCATGTGACCTTTTTTAGGTAGAGAAACCACCTGTTGTGAATGTTGTGTAATCCAACTTGTATTTACACAATGATTATGATCAAAGCTCTATCTGTGATCTACGCCTTTAAATCTATTCTTGTTTTAGTATGGAATATTAAAAAAATATTGCTTTCATAAGTTGTGTGGTTATATTGATTTCTATTGACAGTGGTTTATCCCCATGCTGAATTCAAGCATAATAAATTTAATATATATCATCTTTATGTAATCTTTGACTGTTACTTATTAAATACACTAATTTAGAGAATTTGATAGTTTCAGAGAGAATTAGGGATATAACTAAGTATAATCCTAAGCAACATAGTTAGAACAAGGAATTACGAGAGAAACAAAATATGACTGCAATATGTATTTATTAAAAAAACTTTGGCATATCTTTTTAGTAAATAAATTTAACAAATAGAATGAAAAGGTTTTTTGTCATTATTATTTTCTATATTATTATTATTCAATAATTTATTATAAAGAATACATTATATTATTTTAAACAAGAAACAATAAAATACAGAGGTAAGTCTTGATTACAGTCAGCAAATGAATCAACAACTGTAAGTTCTTACTTCTCAAGAAACTAGTTTTAATACTAAATAATAATCTGAATTAATTAAAAAATGATAAACTTTGTAAAGTTAATTTAAAGTTGATTTCCTAATAGTCATACACAATCTATTGGTACTGAAATAAAATGCATACTAGTGGAATGTTACTAATTTCACATATTGTTTAATACATGATTTTGTTTTCTTAACACATCAAGATTATTTAATAATACTTATAGAACACTATATAGAAAATTTAAACATCTAGATTATTTATCATACCTAGACAACACTTAATAGATATTAGGTGTTACAAAAAATGCATAGTCATCTTAAAAGTATGTATCACTGTACTTAATATATGTTTTAATTGTTCATATTAAGTATATTAAAAAATTTGTCCATATTTCAATCTAAACCTAACACTCCATATCAGAGTTCACTTTTGTCTCCCTTTTCTCGTGGTTTCAGCTCCTCATACAAGCAAGAGTCATCACTGCCTTGTAAAACATGTTTTGTACACAAGTGACGCTTCAATTCTATCTCACCCTGGTGGTTCCAGTACCAGTCTTCAATAGCTGCTTCATTCTCTTCTAACAAGGTTTCACACTGTATTTTCATGTGTGTTATCTCTGCTGATGGCTTATCCCACAATTCAAGTGGAATCCCAAGATCAACTTTAACTCCTTTATCCACTAGGTTATGAAGGGTTCTAAAGGTTTCACTCATACCTTTAGCAAATCTAGTACTGTCTTCTCGTTCTTTATGAATGTTATATTGTAGAATCTTATCACAAACTCCTTCCAACGACTCAATCAGTCTAAGCTCAGATTTTTGGTATTTTGTCTTTTTTTTAGGTTTGACGTCGTCAAGGGAGTATCCAATTTCAATCACGTCATGCACTTTACCCGTTTCTTCGAGGCGATCTTGCAATTCCGTAGCGAGAACTTTGCAGACTTCACATGTATTCGCATATTTAACTCCCACGTCAGCTTCTGATTTAACTTCATCATCGTGTGTGTATATTGTGTTAATTAATAATACAAATAACAATAAACGTGTAATTAAACACATTTTTAAAAAATATATAAATAAATTAGTCAATCACCAGAGATCGTGAGTATTTGAGGAAGGTACCGGGTAAGGTAAGGGGAAAGTATTTTTCTGGGTCTTAACCTTAGTACTTGTCCGTCAATCAAAAAATATAGTCGATCAATATATGATAAAAATTAAACTGAATAATACGGAATCAGTAATTTTAGAATTTTTGTTACATTTATTTTTTTGTCAAATTACAGACAAAAATTACACATCTGACAAAATATAATCTACTCTATGTCTCGATTGTTCGCTGACCTAACCACAGATCAGAAAAACTCGGCCATAACTATACCACAGATAAGATGATGTCACAACTATACTATAAAGTTTTTTCGTCCCGAATATGATTTTAGAATCTGAATTATGATACTTTCACGGAATTTATCAGAAATTATGTTTCTTATATTGCTATACCCGCTTTTTATATTCGTAAATTAATTGGAAATTCTTGTTATGAGATAATAATAAAGTTTTCTCGCTAAAAAATAACTTCCCGAATAAGACAGTCCAAGACAGTGTTAACTGTTGACAATGTGCTGAAAGCAACATTTGTATCCAAATGAGGCAGTAAAAACACCTGATTTAACAAAATGTTTGATATAACAGATATGCTTAGGTTACATGAAATAATGAAATACATTAAATCATTTTTACTTAATTTAATTATAGTAATTATCTATTGTATATTTACATTCATTTTCTAACCATATAATCCAGTCTTTCGTGACAACTTTCTCTAAAGTTAATTCCTGAAACACTTCACTCTTAGATTTCTCAATAAAGCCTAACTTTTTGAACATTTGGATACTTATGAGATTGTGTAGTGATATTTTTGCTTCATATATCCTTAGGTTGATATATTTAATACCGTACAGTAACATTAGAATTACTGCCTCCCAACCATATTTCTTTCCCCTCGCTGTTATTTCGGCTATCATTATTTCAATTTCTCCAATATTATTGATTTTATCTGTTATAAATATATTTGTGTCACCTATCATGGTATCTGAAAATGTAAACAACAATAATTTGATTCATTTATAAAAGAAACTGGTCTATCAAATAGTAATGGCCATTGTTATTACCATTTGAACATTAATATTAAAAGTATTTTATTAGTTACCATCGGATTCAGCTATTCCATATTATTATAATTTTTTAAAAGCAACATATCCTTATTCTGTCTTATTTTTTTATTTAAATTTTAGTACTAGTAGTTGTGTAAGTTTTCATATTATTTAGATTATAAGTAGAAGCAGAATAATGCAATCAGTGAAAAATATTTGTAAACTAATTTAATAGAGTACATACAAACCTATTTCATCATTTGAAGTACTCTTCTCCAAGATTATAAAAGTACATTCTGGAAAAAAATTTAGATATTAGTACTTCACACCAATATAATTATGGTTGATGTTGCTCTTTTTTTAAAAATTATTTTATAATGTAAAAAATAATATTTCTTGAAGCACTATGCTTCAGTTACAATACCAATATTAATAAGTTATAAAATGATTAACTACTTAATTGTATTTAATTAAATGAAATATTTAATTTTTAAGGTTGTATCTGTAATAGATTGCTTATAAATTATGATATAGACCACCTTTTGTTTTCAGTTTCCTATGCACTATTGGTCTTGTAGTATTTCTTCTATGTGCATAACAAAGAGTTTATTATTTCATTATTATCAAATGTTAAATTCATTCTAAAATAAATAAACAACTTTTTTATTAACTTTCATGGTTTTTACTCTATAATTAAAGAAAACTTACTATCTTCGTCTTCTTGCCAAGACTTTTGCATTTCATACTCTTGTTGCAGTGTAAGAGGTTCCGATGCAGTGAGTTTTTGTAGTTCCTCTGATGTCATCCACATATGGTATCTATAGGTAATTGTTAAATTATATTATCAGATTCAATCATAATTTATCAATATATATAATCAGATTCATATTTATTATGTTTGGTAAAATTAACAACTTCAGTTCTACTTCAAAGCATGATTCAATTACTTTATGAAACAAAAATTTTCATCTAACCATTTATTAGACCTATTCAAAGACTTTGACCTAGCATACGGTGTGGAAACTAACTTTACATTAAATGTTACTTGTTTAACGTTTTATATAGAATTCTTATTCATTAAAAATATTTTTTTTCTTCACAATTTCAGAGTTTACTTACTTCGGTACATGATGTTTTCTATAAGGTACTAAAGTGACATTTGGTCCTTTAACTTGCGTGTTATTATTTATTTTCATGATTTCGAGTTCTGGATTGTTTTGTATTCATTACTGTTTTGTATTAATTTAGTTAAATAACAATATTTATTTTAGGTATTATGAACAGATCAAAAAGAGCAATAACTTTTATAGCGGTCACACCGCATCAAGGAACAGAAGACTCTAAAGAGATTATAACTGAAACTGTCATGAAACCGACTTTTTATTTACTTTTGGCAATTTTTTTTCTCTTTTTGGCAATGAGTGTGTGTTACCCAATAAGCCACTTACAGTCTACGGATAGGAACGAATAGGAATTTAGGAAAGGATTTAGTGATTATGAGCTAAAATTTAATTTTATTATTATTGATAAATGAAGCTAATAATAAATATTACTTATTATATTAAAAAAGCGTATAAATATATATATGTATGTCTTAAGTTGGGTTAGGTATATTCTATAGTTTGTTTTTAACCTTGGTTCTTTTGCTGTGTAAAATTTTCAAGTAATGAATCACTTACAGAAGGCAGTGCAGTGCCTGCCAAATCGATTTGTTGAATCATATTTTTTTATTTAGATGATTAAATTTAAAGTTTTCAACGAAGTTTCCACAAAAGATTTCCAATTTTACGCATACTAATGTTTCTATTACTGTATTTGCATTAAAAAACACTATATATATTTTTGCAATTTAAATAACGATTTTTTAAATATATATCATTAAAACTTTTAAAAAGAAATTTACATATTAAAGGTAATCTTTTTTTCAAAATCAATATCGCGTATCAAAATTCGACTTTTTGCCAAAAAAATTGTTACCCTGTATTAAAACTACAAACTAATAAAAATGATTTCTATTTTTTATGTGAGATTATTTATCAGACATCTAATCAAATCGAGTAAATAATCGATGTTATTCGGGAAGAATCGTTACAAAATATTGCTAAACACAAATCTCTGCTCTGCTCGCTCTGCTCATTGGCATTGCCCTGTGCGTTGTTTCTAAAATTACATTAAAATTTATTTTGATTTTAAAAACCTCTAACCTTTATTATAATCCATAATAAATAATATATAATAGACTTAATAACATTCCAAATTCTTTGAATCTATGATTGTAACTGAAATTCATATTTTTTACTACTTGTTATCGTCACCTAATTCAAATCAATGATAAAAATGACAACAGTACGATACTACTTTTATCTATGATATCAGAAGCTTTTGCAACAGTCTGTCTTCAAGGGACTTAAGTTTTCATTATACTAGTGAGATTTTCCATGATTCATCATGAATCAATACCAAGCAGAAAGAAGACTTTGTTGGAGCTACGGACTACTTGCAGTCTTTCTTGCCGTTTCTGTGGTTTGTATTGCAATACCATATAACCACTGGCGAGCAACCCTCGACGTTTGCCCAGGAAGTTGGCTTGAAAATACGAATTGTGGGTGTATCTTCTTTGGTGTGAGCACATTCCAGTCTTTCAATGGAGGCCATAATTCATATTGCTTATATGCCATATTTGCACCATTGCCTATTTTGGTATATGCACTTGTTATGGCTCTTTTTCATATGTACCGAGTGTGCATAAATAATATAGGACAGTATGAAGACGAAAAGTCCACAGCTATGGAAGAAATGTAAGTATTTAAATAATTAAAAAATATTTTTATCTAAATTTATATATGAATTGCTATAGAACTGATAATTGTAGTGTTAATTTATCTAATTTCTGAATATTTTACTTTTTTACATTTTGTTTTCAGAACTATCATTTTAATATTAATAAGAACTTAATTAACATGTATATAACATTAGTAGAAATTAATCTTTATTTTTGATAATATCCAATTTATTTAACAATGTCTGACTGATTGTAACATAAATACACAAATGTATGTTCACAAATGTTTTCAGTGAAGGTGAAGCTATTGTTATAACTACAAGGACACGAGTTACCAAGAAAAATGATGCAGTAATATATTGTTGGATCCCAACATCTTGCATTGCAGCAGTCTTTTGTATCTATAACCTGGTGCATGCTGCTATTATAACAAATGGCTTTCTGAAGATTTGTTCACAGTATCGAGGATACTTAGCAAGGGTAATAATTTTTTTTCATAATATAAATACACTTTATACTCTCAGCTGCTTTACACCATAATAAAATTTCATACAATATTAATGTATGAAAATAACTGAAGTACACTAATCTTGCAGTTTCCATATTGGTAAATTGTCTAATCGTGTAAACAGCAAAAAGTGCTGAAGTTAAAGTTGCAGCCAGATATTGAATGTTAGGAGCCCATAGAATTTTGTTGTCTAAATTAATTCTAAGGAGCATGGTGCAATCAATGTAGGCAAGAGTAGTATTATATAGAGAAATTGTTATAAGTAAAAATTTATACATAAAATTCTCATGTCATAGTGTTTGTTACCTCTGAAATGGCATTACCATTACTTATTATTATTATATTATTTTATGAACATTTGTGTGCATATCGGGTAAGTCCAAGAATTGGACAATGTCTATTTTTCAGTCCTAAGTCCAATGATAAGCGTAACCCACCCCAAAATAGGTGTTATTTTTTTTATTATGATTTGGCATTAAGAATACGTACAGTAATGACTACAGCAACAAATACAAATTACGACTACACAGGCACTCAAATAAATTCGCTGGGCAACTTACAATTCCTGAAAATGTGTGTCAATTAAAGAAAAGGTATGATATATTTGACAAACATAGTCAGACAGGACTGAGTTTTTAGAAACGAGGAGCTACTCTACTGGGAGCAGCAATCTACCTGTTATATATGGAACACCACATCTGCTTATAGTCCATGTGACTGATTGCAAGATATTTAAAACAAAATATGTACCACTCTAAATTTTGACTCTTCTACCACCAATTCCTGTTTTTAATAGCTACTACATTTATATTGCCAAACAAAATTTGCTGGGACAGCTAGTATATTCATAATTTGCGGTGTATAATTATCTTATAATTAACATAACATATTTATTTTTACAGGAACTCCATGCCTCTGGGGATCATGTCTCAGTTATTCATTTCCGTCTATCATGTCAAGCTATTTTCGACTTTATGGACTATTTGCAGAAAAATGCACCAAACAGTCGCCGAGGGGAATTTATTAACACTGGTGTGGCACTGCAACTTGCACTTATAACTTCGTGGTTAGCTGTGGGATTGTGGATATGGGTCATTGTCATTACTGCAATGAGGGCATATAAGGAAAGAAGTGTACTGACATGCTGTGGCAACTAAAGAAACAGATTCATATTTTAGCTATAATACATTATGTTTAAGGAATATTGCACAATAGAGTCAATACATTTTAGTACCATTGAGTATGAACTCTAATTATTGTTTTAGGATATATTTTATTTACATCGAAATAGTTAATGATTTCATACTTTAGAGTGTGTACACGAGAATCAGCTATCTAGCAAAGTAGCCGCTCCCATAGCCGTAAGACACATACATACAGACTGATAGACATTATGAAGATAGTAATAACGTAAGATGATTGATTTATGTTCAGTAGCTTACTAATGATAGTACATTTAACTTTTTGCGATATATTTTTTTAATACGGTTATATATACAGAGCACAGTAGTAGTTGTTGTGTTTATATTATAGTTTAGATAAGGACTTTCGATCCCTTACGATTTTGAAATAAGTATTATTAAAAAAAGCCAACCCACTACGCCATGTACCACATCTTATCAGAGCTTACTTGTGTAAAGTCACCAAGGACAATTTAATAGAAATACAAAAAATATGATTGGTCCTCAGGGTTTTCCAATATACAGATTCAATTTGAAAGCGTCGTGGTCTAGTGGTTACTACCTCGACTTACACTAAATAGTCATGAGTAAGTTCAAATAGACCCATTATTGATACAAAAACAAAAATAATTTCTGACTTACTCTCCAAAGACAAAAACACCCATAACAATATTAATTAATGCGAGACACGGGAATAGGCTCGCCTCTCTGCCTCATTGGATTCAAATATACCGAGTGATATAGCGCCATATGAAACGCTGTGTTGACAGTGCATACTGCCCTATCTGCGATAAGTACTAGACGGTATAGATTTAATTATTTATTTTTAAGCCAAAAGTACAATATTATTAGCAACCTACATTTAAATCATTAGAAAAAATACTGGACACAAGTAACTCTGCGGTAAGTAGGTATTCAGATATTGTAAAGACTGAAAGACAATTCACACCCGTAATGTAAGTAACAGGAATGCCAATCGTACGCCCAGACTTAAACAGGTACGAGATTTTGATAAAATAACATAAAATTCCATGATGAACATTATGGAGACAGTATACAAGATTTTCTACTTCGTACGAGGCTACATGTTTTAATGTTGGCAACCCTGTTTGTAGCCTATTTTTAAGACAACAGTATGCCATTTTCTTAAAACAATAAAAACTATTCCACCGATTATGGTATAAGTATTTCACTATTAATTTGTGTATATTTGAGATTATTTTTAATATACAAACACAGATTATATTCTGTTTTATGATATAATTATGTAAAGATTTAAATTGAATATTACTTAGTAGTCTTCAATCTAAATATTTATTTTGGCTTATAGTTGACTTTTATTGTTAACGTATGAAGTCCATATCCGTAATCTAAGGTGAATAAGATATTCCATTTACAATGTGTAGTATTTACACAATTGTTCAATGTCAATTTGTGCCGTCCATTTTAAATGTATTATTAATTTATCTAGTTAATAAGTATCTCTTATTTATATGTAGTACCAACATTGAAAAAAGTATTTATAAACTATTTATTTTCTACTATTATTCTACTTGGGTTTTATTCAAGTTGTAATTTATAATTAATAAATGTTTACACAATTTAATTAGGTATTTTTTTAATTTAATTACAAGAACCCTGAAATGGACCTGTATGGGAGTTTTTATATCCATTTAAACTGTCCAGCAGTTAAGGTGTAATTAAGTGAAAGACATACATTAACATCCAGATTTATAATATTGTAATATTTTATACGTTCAGTCATCATTTATAGTATAGTAGTAGGACGTGTAGAGCAGTCAAGTTTTAAAATACATATTTTTATTGTTTATAATATATCATAATACAAAGATTTGTTGGTACAGAATACTAGTAGCTTATTCCTGCATTATTAATGAAATTCAATAAATCTTAAATGCGACCATGGTACTCTGTACTATATTTTCATATTTCACGATCGCTTAAGTCACGCTTACTACGGTACAGTATCATATAAATAAACAGGTTATAGTCGGTATATATGTTAATAATAAAATAAACTATATTATTGTAAAAAAATATCCATAATATTTCAATCTATCTATTTTTATTTATATAATAAATATACCATATCATAGTCCATATCTTTAGTATAAACATTTTCACAATATAATATAATATAACAAAATGGCCTATGTCTTTTCATGCTATCTCTGTAAAACATAGGTACAAAAGCAATATTTTCATCTATCTATTCTATCCGATTGGATTATTCAGTTCTTATTGTTAGGTCACTTTACTGTCCGCGAGCCTGGCCAAATTTCGACAAAAATTTATAAAATTATAAGGATAACACAACGTCATCTAGTCCTAACGTAAACAGAATTTGTGTTATGGCTACTAAACAACTGATATAAATACTTAGATATTTTTTTTTGTGAATACATCCATAATATACATAGAAAACACAACCGATACAATCATACTCATGAATACAAATGTTTGTACAGAGATGTAGTATGAAGACTAGTGAAAGTCAGCTCGGTTCAGCAAACAGTAACAAAAAGAATGCTGCTCCTCAAGTTATCCTCAGAAACGCAGTTTCACTAGGGTTCGTATATTATGAACCTTAGTTGTATTCAACGCTTTTAAGCATTTCACGAGTTATCGATTGAGACGAAATTAGCCATTAAAAATTGTTCTTGACCCGCGGACTATCTACGAATATTATCATTAATTTGTGCTGTTTGTTAAGTATACAGTATAGTTGTAAAATTGTAGACCAAGCTAAAAACAGTGAAAGTATAAGAAAAAAACTTTTACCATACTCCGCATTTTCATGGGCAAATTCTCCATGATGTTAAGTGGAAAAAAGCGCCTATTTTATGCGCGTTTATAAGATCAACTTAATATGAAAAACTGCGCGTTTACAAGATCAATTTAATATAAGTTCAGATTTATTCAATTTTACATATTGATTCTTAATGAAAGTGGATCAGTTTTATGTATTTGGCCTGACCATTGGCTTGGTCTATTCTTTACGACTAAGCATGTATGTCTTGTCGGAAAAAAAGAAATCCCGATAGGTAGATAAAGTAGTAGACAATTCAACGAGGCCATTGATGTTATATACGTACGTAAGTAATGGAATGCATAGATTAATTATTTATATTATTATCACTGAACATAGATACTTATCGATTACAAACAGTATTTAACAATTTATTATTTCCTTTAAATAGAAAATAACGTAATCGTAGGCGGAGTAGAGCTGAGAATCTAAATTACGTAGAAAACCTACTTATTTGAGTTTCATTAAATATCAATGAAAGTTAATATTCGAGTTAGAATCAGTATATATAGCTATGAACATTTAAAATAGTAACAATAGGTACATAAGATAGTAGCTTAGTTGTTTTGTAAATATCGTTACATATATTCCATACTATACTTACATAGTAACAGTAACATTATTTGGCAGGATAAAATGTTAAGAAGTTTGTTGAAGAAGAAGAAGTTTGTAAGAACTGGTAGTTAACCAATAGTGTAGTATATTAAGTATAAAATTATTACCGTTTATAATTGTTACAACATTCCAATGATGTATATAGTAATTATTAAGATTATTCTTTAAAATAAAAGAAATAGTTGAAATTAATTGTCAACTTTTTAAGTAAGTATAATAGTTATGCAAATACTATAAGTATTCTTGCTGTCCATTCTATACAAATATGCATAACAAACATTAAAATTGAAATAAAAATAACACTTTATAGTTTATGGAGTACTACACTATCATATACCGTATAGAAAGGTAAAGAAAATAATTTTCATTGATTTTCATTTCATATTCGAAATATTAACGTAAACCAGTTACTAGAGATTTGTAGATTCTTTGTTGCAGTAACTACAGCAAATAATGTTAGAATTAAAAATCCAATTATAGTACAGGATAACAGTGACATAATTAAACTCAAGATTAGTAATAATTTTACGAATTATTTACTATAACAATATAAACAACCCTTAAGTGAAAATACAGCTTGTACATTCCACTATATATGATAGTGTATTAGGCCATTATGGTGTTGGGTTCTGTTTTCAGTTCAGCGTGTACAATTTATTTCTATATTCAAACATTGTTACGACATTCTGTCTCCCAATCAGTTGGTACCAGTTTTTCGAGATGCTGCACAAATTGCATGTATGGACAGGGATCACTGCAGAAGGATAATTTTAACTCCATAGGTACTTCGACTTTTGTATTGTTACGATAAAATACCTGAAAATTGTAATGTACATGAATATAATGTTATTTAGTTGGCAAGATGCAGTTTTATATAATCAAAATATGTTTCAAAGAAATAAATGAATATCGTTACATGGTCAAATGAAGTTGCCGCCGCAACTTTGTTCCTTCGCTTATATCTTTTAAATTACGAAATGGATTTTAATGCAGTTTTCAGGAATACATAGAGTGATTCAAGAGGAAGGTTTATATGTATATATAAGCGATGGTTGGTATTTTCCTAGAACTTGTATGCTTTCCAGTTACATAAAAAAAGAAAGTATCCTAATATCTTAACTGAACTGGTACATAAAATATAATATCAATTACATTTGCATTACCTTGATAAAGAAGTTATCTTGTTCTACTTCTTCATGCAGTTCCAGTGCTATGCTGGCTCCATATTCAGGTTCCAGCAGCTCTTGGAAACCGAGTGCGCGCCACAAGGAGACCACATTCACATCATGTCCAGAGTATAAATATAAAGATCGATCCAAATTTTCATGGTTCACCGTCTCTTTAAGGTATTGCTTAATTTCACCAAGCAGTGGACCTGCAAATATAATTTACGAATAACAAGTAACTTCTAAAAAAGTATTAATGTACTAATTGAAATCTTTGCTGTAGTAAAATGTATGGTTTTCATTTTCGGATATACATATATATTACACCTGTGTCTATATTTATTAATTTATTACAATTTGGTTGTTATACATACATTATTAAAAAGATTTCTATAATTATATCCTGCTTACCTACTTGCAACCTCTGTAATGTCTCATTATAAGAGAGCAGTGCCAAACTTAACATAAAAGGTTGACGCATTTTGTTAGGAAATGCATTTTTAGTCCAATCTGGAAGCTTTAGACCTGTTTCTTGCTGTATTAAAAGTGAGCTGTATAGGAAATCCACGTCGAGAACACTCCGCATGCTCTGATTAGTATGTTTCGTGAGATAGTCAAAGAGTTCAATGAACTTTGGCAAAGCATCAATCTCTGCTCGTGCTTCATTATACATGGCCGACCAGGCTTTACATTGTTTTGTTGCTGCCACTATCTAGACAAGAAATATAGTGTTAAAAATTTAATAACATTAATGTGTTATTTCAATTGTATTAGTACAGTAGTTGGTCAGTTACTGTTGGAGTGAGAAATCACATATTATAGAATACAATGGTAATATTTATTTGAATAAACTTAATATAAGGAGTTGTGAATATACATTATTTATGATTCTACCCCTGCATTCATTATGCATAATGGACTGAGATAAAAGTAGGTTGGTGTTAGTTATAGCTCTGTAACATAAAAGAATAATAATATAGTACAAATAGAATTATCAAATTCACATAGTGTTTTTAGTGTATTGACACATAACACATATGTTTTTACTGCATTAGATATAAGAAGAACTAAAAGAACTTTTAAATAATTATTTTCCAATAATGAAAGTTAGCTTTGAAAATTGACAGACAAAATATTGCATGCTTTGTGTAATGTTTTTAGCAAAGGAATATTTAAATAAAATATTGGATTTTACATTGTCCAGATTCCTTGGTAACGCATGCACGGGGATAGGTTGCCACAACATCTCTGGGTGCCACATCTGTTGTTCTGTAGGTGGATAGAGGCCTGCTAGAAATGTATATGCACTCATCAGACATCGTGAGGCATCGCTACTGCGTATGTACACATCTTTTTCATAATATTCCTCAGGTATGAAGTTTGCATAATAATTCCGGTACTTTTTTCCCAATTCATATAATTGCAGTTTGCCAGTCTAGAAAATAATCATAATTTAGTATATTTTTAGTGTACAAAATGTATTGTTTCTGATAGCAGATAAAGATGTGAGAAATAACTAACATTCTAACATAATAATATATTCCGAGATAAATTTATTTACATAAAATGCACAATATCGCAGTTTCATATTACAGTATAAGTTGGGTAACTCATTAAAAACTTAGGCAATTGCCATGACAGATCATGTACATGTACAATACACAATCATTCTAGTATTTTAGGTCAGTCAAAATATTGTACATACATTAGTAAGGCTCCCAAGTCCATTGGGCCACTGGTAATTTTTATATGGATCACTTTTGTATGTGTGTGTTGGTGTTCGAGCACCATGGCGAAAGAGCTGAAATTACAAAATTTTACATTTTAACAATATAACCATTTTCTTGAAATTCATATAATATATTGAAAGAGTAATTAAGTTAGGATAATTATATGAGTGAGAGAGGATAAGATACATACAATTCTGTACACCATCCATTTGTAATAGTTATTATTATTATTAATCAGAGAAATTGTGATTGATGCAAAACATCACGTTATTAGAACCTCTGTGATATGTCAAAGACTATGATGTGGTGTGACTCTTAGTTGCCTATATTTGAATCCAACAATACAAGGTTTGATCCTACCGGTCTCACAGACCTATTTCTAATTTTGTTATATGTACTTTCACTGGAGTATCAGGATATTTTATTGTATCAGCTAGTTGTAAACTCACGACCTCGGCTCAGTAAACCACCACGATATTTTCTAATGCCTTTATAACAAATGTATGAATCAAAATAAAATCCTTTAAAATAACTTACAATGACGACGAGACGCAAAGTTTTGGACTCGTATGGTAGGGTTTCACTGAGTACGCAATAACCGAGAAGGCAACTAAGGACGGCTAAGCCTAACACTATAACAGCGATTGTTGTAGATCGCCTTGGTATCGGATGACATCTGGAATTACCCATCTTCGGTACCGACGGCTTTCGCCAGGTATTCTCATCGTTATCATACTCCATACGGTTTTAAATGGAATTCAAATGTTGTTATGAACTCATCTATAATAATAAAATATTAAACAAAAAATATCTACTGGATACACTTGATCGTTTCTATGGATACTTTGCACTGGAAATAATATTTTAATTAGTTACGTAATTATTAAATAAATATTCTATGTTTTATTTCAATTAAATTTAATAAAATGAAATAAAGTTGATTTGATAGTATAGTAAAAGGAATAGACAGACTTTTGACATTCACTTCATTTGATTTGACATTTAATTATAGTTTTCATTCATATAAGTATCTTCCTAGATTATCACAGAAATAGAATTTTAACATTGCCAAATGGTAGATGTCCATTCATTCAATTAATACAACTGTCAATCAAAAAGTCATGCAGGATCATAGTTGTGGTTTAAGTCTTTGTGATCTGTGTTCAAGTTGAGTGCATTCTATATTCTATATGACTCTATACGTATCAGTATCAATACGTATTGTCTTTTCGTTACATATATATATATTAATTATTCATATTTACTATTCGGAATCAGCGAATATCACGCAACTAAACTCGGACAGGTTTAAGCGCGCACATTATAAACAATAAAAATTAAAAAAACTCGTGTCGCATAAAGTAGGCAAAATATTTTGCAGGTAAGTTAGATTTATTATAATTATCTTTTTTAAAACTAGGAAATGACTACCAAATTTAATTGTTCGCGGGTAATATTTTAGTACCTACTTACTTTAAATTTCTATACCTCAGTCACTATATATAAAAATAAATAGGTACCGAAGTTACTCGATAATATAAATAAATAAATATTTGCTAATTCTACATCGATTGTGATAATTATTTTTCAAGTATACTCAATTAGTCGTTTTTTTATTCCTTTTTACTTACGTCATTAACTACAATTTTATCGTTACCGTACTATAAAAAATATAATGTATAAATTACTAGCAGTTGTTTTCCATCGACCGTAATGCCATTTAAAATAGAAAAAAGGGGTCAACCCAGTCTCATTTATTTGTCATATTCGTCTGATGTCTGTAGATGGAACTGTTACCACTTACCATCAGACAGTCCTTTACTTTGTTTTCAAATAAATGAAAAAACATGGGCGGCAAGTAAAATTAGGCATTCATTTAGGTATCTATATGTACCTGTGCTGCGTTCCCATCTATTCTCCTAATTACGTTACTATGGAAGTACATTTTATTGTGTTTAATGACGCAAGATTTGTTAATTAAATGACCATGTTTCACGATCAATTAACCGATCCGCTCTGTTATTCTTATAGGTAGGTGTTCTTATCCCTGGACTTTTCAGTTCTAAGTTCTCTTAACTCATAAAAACATATAATTCACATAAAGGTCACAAGCAAGAAGCAAAAGAGTATATTTTTTATGGTTTTCGCTAGCGGGACTTCAGTGGAGGATGGTAAGATGAGTATGAGGTCAAGTCAGTTAGCCCATCGCGGTACCACCATTTAAAATGTTTCAATTCATGTTTTAACAGACGTTTAATCGAAACACAAATTCAGATTGTCGACTGAAATACATGTGTTAGAGGTGCTTTCGCGCTCTTTAAGAGTACATATATCAGGACACTAAATGCCTTCCTATTTTCAGGTGTTCTCAATAACTTACGGCAAGATCATGCCTTTGTTCAGTGGCCGTTGTTTGAGTGCTGCCAAGTTGGTCGGCAAGACCGTGGTAATAACAGGATGTAACACGGGTATCGGCAAAGAGACCGTCTTGGACTTTTACAAGAGAGGTAACGTAGCGAATTAACGAAGTCTTGTCACTAGCGTAAACATCAGGGTTGTGTTGCAGAGTAAGAGCTTATACGGTATACACAATCCCGACCTCTTAAGCTACTTCTTATAACTAGGTAACTGTAGTATCTCACTACTCGCCATAAATTTATGTATATATTAATTTCCCTTAGGTTTAGGTTAGTAGTTGCATTAATAGCGATATGGGGAGAGAGGAGAGATTTTTTTAATGGATGACGATGGAGTGGTTTTCCTGCTTATACCATTTTAGCATAGGCAGATTATCAGTGGAGGAAGATAAATTAAAGACGAAGTCGTGTCGGTTAGCTGATTGTTACAAATTTACTAGGAATTAACTACATTGGTCTCCAGAGACGACGTGACAGGGTACAGTACTAGTAGTAGAGCTCTTAATTCTCATTAATAACAAATACCTTCCCCCCGGAGGCACATTATAAGTAATGCGGACTCTTTGCTAGCAATATACGTCTCCCTGGAAACCATTGTGGTTAATTCTTAGGGAAATTACTACAATGAGTTCATTAACCTGCCTTCATAATCATTTTATCATTCTCTTCTATTGCTCCACTTGTGTATACCGTTAGAGCAAGCTGTTCCCGTTTTGCCACGATGCTTACCACTAAGTGCATGTTACGTGATATCGTGGCCAGTTCATCCATTATTTATTTATGTTTGATTATTTATATCAAGAATTAATACTACCTATCGTTGAGATAGATCACATGCATGCAAACAAAAAATGCCAGTGGTCTATCTATCGTGAACAGAATATAGATGATCTGAACACGTGTACCAAAAAACGTGACCACGTCTTGTTTTTTGTTGTATTCTTGAGAAAAACCTAGTCATTTCTTATTTCCTATGAAAACTTTATTTATAATACACATTAGAATAAAATAATAAAAATGTAAAGATTTCCTGTGCAAAATTTAATGCAATCATTAGTAGGTATTAGTAGGTGTTAAAACATGAATGTTTTAACACGACGCCGACAAGTGAGTAAATCGTCATAAAAAAAATCGGTTTATTATGTATGTGTATAAATTGATGGCAAAAATACAAAAATAAATTCAATTATAGAAATGTTAGGCGGGCTGCATAAACATAGTTGGTCATCCCTGTTTTAGCAGAATGTATAAACTGTCTTCATTTTATAGGTGCTAGGGTTATAATGGCATGTAGGAACCTGGAAAAGGCAGAGGAAGCGAAGAATGATATAGAAATAAAATGTAAAAACATATCTGACACTGGCAAGCTGGTTGTTGTGAAGTGTGATCTCACATCTTTGAAATCTGTACGGGAATGCGCACAGACAATTTTAGATAGCGAGCAGCAGATTAATATATTGGTGAACAACGCAGGCGTGATGATGTGCCCCAAAGGAACTACTGAAGACGGTTTTGAAATACAATTTGGAACCAATCATTTGGCACATTTTCTTCTGACCATGCTTCTATTGCCGCGCATTATAAACAGCAAGCCAGCAAGAATTGTGACGGTTTCGTCAAGGGGACATACCCGTACGTATATATTTTTTTATTCAACTTCAATGAAAATATGTTCCGTCGATTGATTGGACTGTTAAAAATGATCAGATTACCATTAGAATTGTGATGTATTGAACTCTGATTGCAACGTTTACAATACATTGTATAGCCCTGACACAATAATAATATATCAGGAAGACTCACACAGCGTCATCTAGTCCCAAGGCAAACAGAGCTTGTGTTATGGATACTAGACAACTGATATACTTTTAGAGACTATACTTTTTTAGACTGAATACATTTTTTATATACATAGAAAACATCCAAAATGATATAAACAATTATACTTAATGAATACAAATCGTTTTGATAAATACGAATGTTTGTACCATGCGAGGAATTGAACCCGCGACCATCGGAAGTAATACGGTGTGTTAACTTATCTACATTGTTATTAATATTCAGTATTTATGACAAGTATCTGATATCGAAAATTATTTGATGTTATACTCTTGACTTCGTTTGATCTTTTTAAGATAAAAAATAGCCTAAGTCCCTCCTCTTGATACATGTTGTCTTCACGGCAAAATTTGTAACAAACAGTGAAAAGGTAACAAACAGTCTTCCCCATTTATAATTGAACTTACTGCGAATAAACAATTACATTTTAGTGCAAAATAAGTTATAAGTTGAAATTTACCCACGTAATTGTAATATCTAAATTTTCACTTATTTGTCGCTAGAAAAAGCTAGTATCTATTATACAGGCTCGGTCTAGTTTATATAATAGTGGTAAATTCTCTGAAATATTTGCTGCGTATTTAATAAGACCGAAATAGTTTACAAGAGTGCCTGTAAATTTGTAAAGGTGTCACAATAAAAAAATATTATTACTATTATTATACAGCTTTTAACATAAACGATATGTATGCGTATGTCGAGAAATATTCCAATTTCTTAAGGATCATTCGGCCGTTTACTCGTGAAGAATACACAAACAGATCGATACCTTTTCGCATTGGTGGGTTCTTTTAATTTTATGTTGCGAAATTTATATTATTTCCTTTGTACTTCCTAAATTTACCTCTAATCTTTATTCTGAAATTTTATTTTTTCTTTTACCAAGTAAAACTTGTTATTGGCCCTCTCTAAAAACGTACTGTTCATTTTATATATTGGATTGTAAGCTGTAGGTTTTCAAATAAATAAATGCAGCTGGATTATTGCAGGAGGCGGCATTTCCTTTGAGGATCCAAATTATAAGAGCCGACCATACAAGTCTTTGGACGCCTATGCACAAAGTAAACTTGCGAACATATTATTTTCCAAGGAACTAGCGTCGAAGCTGAAGGTAATTACAACTATTTGATTGTCATCATGACTCACTTCATTCTTAACGTGTTTTTTGTTTTCATACATGAGTAAACTGTATTGTATATCTGTATCTATACAAGAATTAGGTATTCATATATCCATTCTATTTATATTGCACAGAGCGACATTTTTGAGTATGTTTTGATAGCCTCCGAGATAGATTATTAAGATAAAGTATTATGAAATAAATAACATTTAAATAAAACCGTATCATTCTTATTAAAGTATTGATTTACTAAGGAATGACAAAAAGTTATTTAAGTATTCTATGGTAGGTTATTTAGAGCAAAAACAGGTTAACAGCGCCCATTATTTTTTTTTACAACGTCATGTAGTGACCCCGGCACGAATTATGTTCAATCTGTGGAAGGACTTATGGAGGAGTGAAGGCCGAATACCTGTGTAATGGATACGACTTCAGTATAAGAGCGTTGCTAGGATTACGAACCTAGGTTCAGAACCGATGAGAAAAGACAGTGTGATTTAGTCAGGGTTGCCAACCTTAAACTATTATGCATCATACTATATGACTTCAATTTCGTTCATCGAAGACCAAAGATCTCGTACCTGTACGGCGAACCCGTGCAGTTACCATTCCTAGTTTCAGTAGGTTTACTGATAACTTTTTTTTATAGGAACATAATATTGAAGGGGTGAACACATACAGCCTTCATCCAGGAGTTATAAAGACGGAACTGGGCCGTCACCTCAATGACACGTTATTCCCGGGCGCGCGAGCCATCTTCGGCCTGTTCTTCACTCCATTCACAAAATCTATTGAACTTGGTGCTCAAACCACCATATATTGTTCCGTCGATGAGAAGTGTGCTAACGAGACCGGCCTCTATTACAGGTGACTATGATATGTTTTTGTTATTAACTTATACCCGCAACCACGTCCTTGTGGCTTGAACTGTAACTTGATTTGATGTTCCTATCGATCTTATACTTCTCTATTCTATGTACTTATGGATACCTACTACCTTTTGGGAAGAGAATTATTAGTGCTAAGGACAAGTTGCACCAATGTACCATGTCAGGTCGTCCTTATTATGGTCCTCTCGGGAAATGATTGTTTTTATTGGTCTGTGTGTTTTTATGTATGCATTAACAAAAAAAATAATAAGTATATGTAACAGTTGTCTAGTATTCATAACACAAACTCTGCTTAGCTTGAGACTACATAGCGCTGTGTGAATTGTCCAGGGTTATTATAATATTATAACGCCCACTGTAATCAACAATTCAATTAAGAGTGGAAAAATATTAGTCAACTCATGAATATTATAACTATATCTATAACTTGATTAAGTTAGAGTCCAAAATTCATATCGCGCTAAGTATAGGGACAATCGTAATCGAACGTGAACTTATCGCAGAGTCATTTTTTATTATTATTATTCATACTAGCTGTCACTCGCGACTTAGTCTGCAAAAAATTTTACCCTCCTTCTGGGTCATTTCTTGAGATAAAATTATGTTCATCTTTTATTTATGTTGATTTCAATTTTCATTTACTTTTGTTTAGCCGGTTACTTGGGAAATATTAACATAGATAGAGAGACACGCTTTCGCATTTATAATATTAAATTTCTACATACTTCCTAAGTAGTAAGTATGTAGTTCTGTCATACGGCCTTGCCGTCAAGAGTTCGAAAGCAAAATATATTGATTGAATTAACATATTAGTAAGTATAATGTAGGATACATTAGACTTATTCTATATCTACTATTTTACATTGTAATTTATTTATTAAAATGTCATTAGAATGTTGCATTACCATGTGACACCCATGGCGGGTGTCACATGCATTGTTATTACAGATGACTAAGATATTGTATCTCTTATCCTGTAATTTCGCGGTTCTCTATGGAAACCATCCGTGATAAATTCCTAATGAATTTGCCACGATAGCCCATCGTCCAGAACTCATGCTCGGTCCATCATCCCCCACATGTCAGAGTATATCGATATCGCAGACGGGTAGACAATTCCATTATCATAAAAAAGAAACAGGCTACATTCAAATGTTGAGGTATAGTGAAATCCAATGATTAAAATTATAATGTAAAAAATTGACGTTCATAAGCGGCTAATATGTCCTACGTGAATAAATGATTTTTGAATTTGAATGAATTTGGAGCTAACGCCGGTGTAGTCTTTATATTAAAAAAGTATTGCAAAATTTGTTTTAGAACGACAGCGAAGTTGAGTCATATAGTTAAACCTACACAAAAAATAATCGAGGTATTTCCGACATTATGAATTAAGTTGAATCAAGAGCCTCTTTTTTTAATATTAAATCAGTTAGTTATTTAAGTCAGTTTGTTTGGATTCCAATTGCGTAATAAAATATTAGGTTACAGCTTCGTCTTATATTTTGTGCTAATATTTTAACCAACTTCAATAAAGAGGAAATTCTCATTTCCACTGTATTTTTTATGTGTGTTTTTTACTTAGAACTTTCTACGTAAACTGTTTTTTATTTATTTAAAAGCTGATGAATTCCCTTCCATATGATCCCATATATAATTTATCAAGTATCACACTAGTAGTTTTTGAGTTATCCCTAAAAATGCGATTGAAATCGGTTTTTTTGTAACCTGTACAGTGTACACGTATAAATACTGATATTCTCTTTTACAGTGATTGCGTGCCAATAAAGCCTTCGCAGGAAGCGTTGAACACTGAAAATGCGAAAAAATTATGGGACTTGTCGGTTGATCTCGTCGGGCTCGGTGACTACAATCCCTTCACTCAAAAAACTACTTTAAATGGGAACAAATAGTATAGAATTTAAATTATATTAAGTAATATAACAAATATTGATATTATACAATTTATATTATATTTTTAAGTAAATTTTATATAATCACTAAACAATGTTGTATAAAATATATCATTTATGAAATAAATTGTAACAGCCACTGTATTGTCGTATATTTTTACAATTTTACACCAAATGTGTTTTTTTTCATATGTAATGTAGAATGTCCGTCCTTATAATTCAGTTTAGTCGTAAAAATGTAACAAAGAGAGATATACACAGATAGACGCATTTTTGTATTTATAATATTGATATGGTTTTGTTCCCATGGATTCTTACTGAAGGTAAGACATTAGTGCATTTAATAGATTCAAAGGTGCTTGTTTGTTACATTATAGATATTGTAAAACTACTGTCGAATTTTATTAGTTCTTCCATATGTTTTTATGTAGATGTTTTATAATTATATTTTATAGCATTAATATTACAGTATTGTTGTGTTGTTAAAAACATTAAAATGATATTATGGAAAATCGATATTAAATATTTATAAACTCAAAGTAAAATGATTTAAATACGTTATGATAATCTATATTTAAATTACATGTTTAATTAAAAAAAATGTATATACAATAAATCACTTTTTATTATTACTTGATTTTTCCTTATATTATTCATGCTGTGAGTTGTGTCACAAATTAATGGACATTACATAAATTACCTTGTCATTTTTATCTCTTTGTTATATCAAATATCGGATGTACTGCTGCTTGTTAACATAAATGTATGTTTATCCTTGTATAGTGAGACTACGGGCGGGTATATCAAATATACAGAAATATAGAATATACGAAATGATCTCTATGTTACTATTTCCTATACTAGAAAAGATATCGTAAAGTATTATAATGATATTAAAAGAGATTTCTACTAATTTACATTATAATAATTAAATTTGGGTACACATCCTATGTGTTTGTAGCCTACTCTGAGGAGATAAAAACAATGCTCCTAAGAATATCCTTCACTTCTTGTCTCTGTCGGGGCTAGGTAGCGAACTATGAAAAAGGGGGAGCAGAATAGTCGCAGTGCTACAGATCTAAGTACCTGACAAAAGCCCAAATCCCTCAATAAATTAATAAAAACAATGTGGATCCCAAAAAATTCTGAATAATCATTTTAGTATTTATTATCAGTTATACTATCCAATATAATCTTATCTATTTATATAATATATACATTTACATTTTAAAACTAGAACTAACCAGCTCTGATATTCAGTGATTAATAAATTGAATTTACATAATTACAATAAAAATTCATAGTCATGATGACACACACTTTATAGTTACTTTAAACAAGATGATTTGAAACAGGTTTTTTGTTTATGGATGATAATAGAATAGGAACTTCCGCTTACGTTTTAGTATAGATACACGCTGGACTGAATCTATAATCTAATTAAATGAATAACAGAACACATCACATCATTTGTAATCTATTTATATATCATGATTTGAAATTGTACACATTAAAGAACTCGATACTCATGCACATAGAGCCAACAGAATATCAGCGCTGCAGAGTTATCTGTAGCTTTATGCTGAGTTGGTTGCCAGTTCATTTAGCGGCACTAAAAGCCACCTCCATTTTTTAATTTAGAAAATTTGTATTTCTGTATCTCATGTGTGCTATGTATTTATTATTAACGAATAAAGCATTTGGGTTCTATCTATCTATGTAAATCAGGTCATTTTCCCCATTGTTGAATTTATCAGGAGCAAAATATAGTTTTAAGGCGACTATATGGCCAATATAATTAACAACCCCTTCGCCCTTGAAATAGGTAGACAGATTAAAACAATGTATTACATTAGTCGACATAATGACGTCACCAGTCAACACTGTTTAAAGGTCACAATCAAGGACAAATATGTTGGAAGCTTCTACTACCAGTAATATAATTCAGTTGCAATCAATAAAATATAGTTTCAAATAGAAAATATACTTACCAAGCTACTTATTTCTCAAAAGGCCACGGAGGCATATGCTTATATCTACAGACTTCTACCTTAAAGTCAGTCGCCTTAACAAGAGAGGAAGGCCTGTACTACACCACCTACATCCCTTCCGATCCATCCCGCATCCACCCCTCCGATCGATCCCCCGATCAATTTAAACGGGGATTGAAATTACGATGGCGGTACCCTCAGACTAAAGTCTTATCCGTCAGGCGGGAGTTGGCCTTCAACTGCTCCAGAAGGTCTTCCGCAACTTTGGAGTGCCATCTGCACTCGCCGGCTCACTCACTGCTATCATCCGGTGAAGCTGTAAAGGCCAGTTGCGCCCAACAGCATTAGAATAAAAAAAACACTTTCATGGTGGGTTAACACTGCCGAAGTCGCGGTGGAATGCTAACGCGACCCGGGACGCCAGAATAGCGGTTCCTAGGTACACCATGTGGTGTTTTAGTACACACCCTTTTCACCATCCCTCCGGTAAATCTTTACAATTACAGTACCCCCGTACTGTAATTGTGAAGATTTTTCCATATGTTAAAAAACATACTTATTTCTATCTATTTAATGATTTATTATAGTATAGTAGACTATATACTATTTTCCCTATACATATAAAAAATATTTCGGGATTATAAAATCCCCTAATAAATATCAATATAATATAATGACATATATATCTAACTACATATTATGTAAACTTCATTCCAATCTAAGAAAAAAAGTAATGTATAAAATAAGTAGATATTAATTTATAAACATATTTTATTGATTGCGATACGGTCCGCCTAAATACTAAACAATTTCTATAAGAACAGCGATATAATATAAAATTATAATAAGTAACAGGGAAATATCTAAAACCTATTCTAAAATTTGTTACCATGCCTATAAGGCATAATTTCCTCGATTTAGTTGCTATGGCCACCTGTTTCGTACACTTGGGGTATGAATGTATAGTCATAGTATGTAATATTATGTTATCTGTGGTAATAGTTATGTAGGTAGATATTCTTAGATCTATATTAAGCTATAGAAACAATATATTTCTATTACTCATTACGTCTTTAAGGACCATGACTTTTAATTAATTTCAGTAATCAGTCGGATCTTATCTTGATCAATATATAAAATTATTGACGCATTTGTAATATCAGTACAATGATTTACAGTTTATTAGGTATATTATATGTATTAATATATTAATAAACAGGAATAATTTGGTAACGTATCAACGTTGTTGACTAATTAACAACTCTGAGTTCTATGTGGGTATAGAGAACTTCATTTATTTGTGTGTATTTCAATCGATTCATAGATGAATTGAAAATAATTTGTCTACAAAACCCGAAAATTCATGTGCAATAACACATTGATGTTTGAAAAATACTGGTTGTTTTCCATAACCGCTGACCTTCGCATCATGGAATGTACAGAATATCACCGTTCCTAGCAAAACTGCTAGATTAGAGCAGGTTATGGTTATGGTAGGTACCTGCAGGTTTTAAATTATTAAGTATTCCGAGGTCGTGAGAACGCTTAGTACTAAATAATATATTAAACATACCTACTAATGATTGATTGGCTGTCTTTATAATTCTATAAAATAAAGAAATCGATTTTATAGAGTACATCGTAGTAGATTATAATTATAGTAATGGTCGTAGTTATACACCTAGTGAGAGACCATTAGTAGTTTAGTATAGAATTTAAAGGATGTCACTATCTGATCTGATATAGGAACCATAATTATATTTGTTAGGTAGATATAAAACTGGTAATGTTTTACATATGAAAAATATATAATTCAGTGGGCTTTACGATCGCTAAGGGAACTTGAATAAAAATGGACCAGGACTCTATTAAAAAATAATTATATCTATCTATATTTTCTTCTTAGATTGTATTCGTTAAATAGCATGACTAGGTAGCAGTCATGCTATTTAACGAATACAATCGGTTTTTCCGTGCACATTAGATAGATATAATAATTTTACTTTTCTCCTATTGTTAGTACATGCTGATATATGTATATATTTAAATTGCAAACTTTATTAGTAAATAAATAGCATATTTTCGGTACTTCTTGTTTATAGACCTATACGTACTTTGTTACTCTTCTTAAGTTGTCTGCAAAAGTTTAAGTTTAAAGTTTAAATTCTTAGTTCTTATAATTGGCTTAGTGTACAGTCACGTTGAAATATGATCGTGCGTGGTAAGCAGAACCTATAGAGACTCACATGACGTAACTAGTTACCAAAACAAGTTATACTACCACTAAGGTCAACTGGCCTGACCATTCTGAAAAAAATTTTACAACGTCCACAATAACAAAAATAGAACTTTGTTATGAAGCATTACATAAATGGAAATGTAAATGTTTCTATTACCTATTTATAACATCAATATATGGATTTAAGTTTATTAATTTTCTAAATGCAGACCTCTGTTGAATAATTGTTTAATCAATATCTAACTAAACAAACAAATAATATAATCTGTATAGACTCTACCTAGTACCTAGCTATCTAAGACTTTCCTCAAGCCTGTTATTTTATTTAATCTTTAATAAATTCTAACTTAGATACATAGGTACCACAATATATTATTGTCTGGAGTTCGATCATTTTCTTCTCATACAAACCGTAACGGGGATGTTTCTTTTCTATTCCTTCATATTTTCACTTATAGAAAACTGTAGACGCGACGTTACTTAAAGTTGTTTAAAAAACTCTGGCGCCCGTTAATTATTTCAATCTTATATAGATATATACTCATAGGTAGAGACCTAGGACGTAAGTACATATATAGTTTTCCCCAAGGTCAGTTCATGTTTACATTCTGTGTACAGACTTTTTGAGAATATCTAACTTTTAACTTATTGTATATTTGTTAATTGTATATTATACTATTTATTATCAGGTTATTTATATACTGGATGTCTAATTCTTAGGAACGGAAAATACTGCAGTTTTAGTAGATAAATCTGTATTCTTTTGAAGTAGGTAGGTACTTTATTTGGATATAATAAATATACTCAGGATTTACTATTATGGCTAGTTGTTAATTTATAGGTACGATAATGTAATGATTATACATGTATTATGATAAACAAGGATTGTTTACTTATTTGGAAGATCTTTATTGATCATAATCAGTTATTTTGTAAAATGACTAATAGACGAGTACAGGTACAGGTTAATGACGGAACCATGGATTTCACTACTATATTTTACACCCGTCAGGCCAGAATATAACCTGTATTATAATATATATTCAGGCCATAAAACTCAAAGCTATGATCTTTTTTAAAGTGACCACATGAGAGTCACCAACTTTTTAAATAAAAAAATAATGTTTGAAATCGTTTCACTTAGATTAAAGTTTTGTTATACTACACAAATGTAGGTTAAAACTCTTCTATGTCTAACTGTAACATATACATATGAATACAGTAGAATTGATTAATTTTATGAAGTCGGTTGAAAATGGACCACGTGGTGTCAGGAATAGGCGAGACAAAGTAGTAGCATTCCACAGGATTTTGTACAAAGTTCTATTTCTGATAAATTATCATTACAGCCTGTTAAAGTTAATAAACCTACACATGCATCTATTATGCAAAGTAAGGTTCTTTTTTATTTGGTTTGAGTTAATGATAATTAGTTTACCTTGTTCTATATATATTGGGGGTTATGAGTAGGTACATAATACATTTTATCATATCAATAAATCTCACCACCTTGTATATTGGTACCAATAAAGTTACTTAGTTGTGTACTCCTTAAGGACCCGTTCTGCTAAGAATTACGATATTATGTCATCATTTGTGTAATTGTGTTTAATATTACAAAAAATATATACATTGTAACATACCAAAGTCAGACATTGTCGAAGTCTTTTGCGTAGTTACTGGTAGGTACCTCTGTCTCACCCATTTCAGATGCTATACAAAGTTGCTTTTGTTTCGATTTGAGGCTGAAGTATCTTGGTCTATACCAGGGCATATATAATCTCAGTTAGAGGGAAATATTGTGCAAGATCTAGTGAATTAATATTTCTATGTATTTACATGAAAAGAAAGCTAACCTAACTGATTGACAGATTTACCAAATTACATAAACAACCGACGTACAAACTTGTTTTCAATTTGGACAAGTAATAGTAATATATCCATAGAAAATGCATTCAGCGCCATCTAGTCGCACGGTAAGCTGAGCTTTTGTTATGAGTACTAGACAACTGATATAAATACACTATTCTTTTTTTTAATACATACATATTATACATAGAAAACATCCAGACCGGTACAAACTATCATACTCATGAATACAAATGTTTGTAAAGTGCAAGGAATCGAACTCACGACCATCGGAAGTAAAGCGGTGTCCCAAACTAAGCCGAGCATTGTCATAAGTACTCGACAAGTGATATATGTATATACTTAAATGGCTACTTTTTTGCTAGTACAGTCATAATACACATAGACCAATACAAACAATTATGCTCATGAATTCAAGTGTTTGGTTCAATTCCTCACACTATAGCGAGGAATCGAACCCGCGGCCATCGGAAGAAAAATGGTGTGGTAAACCGCTAGACTGGAAAGGTCGTTTTATATTTATATAGCACAGATAATACCTCAATGTGGTTGTAAAGCTACAAATGACCTTACAATATTACCACATTGGCGGTCGTGCTTGTCAGTATTGGTAATGATTTTTACATGTTATTTAGTATACATTCAGCATTGATGAGTGGCAGTCGTACTATCGGCGTTGTATTAACACTAGTTGACCAACAAAGGCCAGCACACGCACTTGTTTGTATTCAACGATCGATAGTTGGCGTTCGTGATCGTGATCCTTATATCAGGTGGGTGGGCATATGATTTCTCTTTTCTTTTTTATTAAAGGTCATTCATTACTTTTAGTGTCAGTGTACTATATATATTACCACTATTATTATATTACTAATTTTAATTTTTTTGTTACTGACTAACCAAGTTTAAAAATTAAATGACGATAACTACGTTGTGCGTAATTATTTTACTATCATTAAATTATATATTTTGTTAAACTAATATTGCAGAGGAAACATGTGATCTATATCTTCATGAGATAAACTCAAAAATTTTTAAGGTAGGTACCTAATATAAGTTACTTTAAAAAATCTTTCACCTAAGTATAAAGGTACGTGTTGTATTTAATTTTAAAAGTGACTTTAAAGAGATATTAGGGTTGGTCGCTAGTAATTAGTAAAACTTTATAATAAAGTACGTACTAATTCTTTAAAAGGTCTAACTAATCTAATCGGTTAAAACGCTCGTTTGTACAAAGTTAATCTTAGATTAACTTTGTACAAACAAATAGGCAAAAATTCTAACGATCAATATTTTAGAAATTATTACTTTGATACGCAGAATAATATTATTTCTCATATATCTATGATGTACACAGAGATTATTTACTTTTTTATTACATGTAGCAACAGACACTTCGTTTACGCACTTGCAGTTTTAACTGCATAACTTTTCCAAGAGGAAAGTCATATAGAGTTTTCATAACTTTTTCTCTATACCTACCCATTAAACACACTATTCCGTTCTCTCCTCATTGGAGAAATGCAGACATACCCAATATAATAATATATTTGTTGTTGATAATGTAATAGGTACCTATTCTTCTTATTCAGTTATATTGGAGCTAAATATTTCCTACTCTTTTTCTTTATCTTACCCAGTAACCTATTCATTTCTTTGTGCTTTCGTTGCGCAGCATTGTGTTTACGCAATGTCTACTTATAACCTTTTGTGACTCTGATTGTTACTATATAATAGTCATACAACACAAACTTGACATGCATTTGAACTTTGAATATATGAAATATTACGCAAATATTTTGTATACACTAAGAGAGAGATTTTCTTCCTTAGCTTAGCAATCTCTGTTGTATTATTTCCCATATAGTAAAACAAAAAACAGAAGTTCTATTTTGGATGATTTTCAACTCAAGATCATTGCTGTTCACTTCCTTCCTAAAAAATATACATAACATGTTACAAAACATTGCGTCAACATCCATCAACTGTTTTTTTAAGTTGATAATTTATAATGCCCCATGACGTTATTTTCCCATCGTTAAGTGACTCAAGTTTATGTCACTGGATAGGTAGATATTGTACTACGCTCTACCGCATTAATGTATATTGAAATATAATGCGATATAGAGTATCGATATAAAATGATTTTAAGCAATCAATGTATGATAACAAATTATTATAGTTTTGCGTTTAATGTGCGACAATATTTTAGATCAATGATTTTTATCTTCTGTTCCTTACTAGGCTCTTCGCAGGTAAATGGTACACTACAAATAAGCGCAACATACTATATATAACACGTCTAATATTCTCTACGTGTCTTAGGTCATAGTTTTAGTTTTTGGTCTGAAGTTTTACAACTTATAAATAGTTAGTGTATTCAAAAATTTTGAAAACACTGACTTAGGTGTTATAAATGTTAAAAAGAAATAGGTACCTAGACATATACCTAATTTTCACGTATTTAATATTATTAAACTTATTAATATGATAAAGTTAAATAATTATTAAGTTATTATTAAAGTAGATTAGTCATTAGTCATATTTTTAATCTTTGTTTGTCCAATGGTTCGTTCTCTATCTATATCGGTATTAGGACCGTTATATTATTTAATATTAAGTGTTATTCATGTATACAAATATACATATATATATATATAGTAATCCGTGGAATTATTCCAAGGTTTTAGCTCTCGAATTCGTACTTGTAATTATGTGCGCGTCGTTGATAGGTAAGAAGTACCTACATATCATGTTAGACTGGTATTTTTTAGTTGAATTCACTAAACACCAGCCCGTTATGTTCATCTGTTAGAGAAACATAGTTGTTTTCAATTTTTGAAGACAAAATGCAGGATACACGTACAAATAATATTTCCGACTAACTGTCAGGTGATGGAAACACCGATAAAAATCGAAATTAATCCCAATATCTGCCAATTGTCTATTGACAGATAGCCCCCTACCACGTTGGATACAAATAAACAAGAATATAGTATATAAGCTGTGCCCGCGGTTTCAAGAGCGTGAAATTTATAGCATTGTATGTTTATCTGATGTATAAGTCATATTACTGTAAAGTTTTAACAAAATCCGTTTAGTAGTTTTTGCGTGAAAGAGTAACAAACATCCATCCATACTCACAAACTTTCGCGTTAATAATATTATTAAGATTAACAATACCTTTCATTACATCCCATCAGTTAATAGTCTTGAAGTCCATTTATAATAATATTAAATGTGAAAGTGTTTGTCTATTTGTTATCTTTTAACGACTAAACTGCTGAAAGACTCTTGAGGAAATTTTGCTATGTAGATAGATTACAATATAATTATGATGCACCACATCGACGGACATACGCTATCGACTATCTTAAAAACCATACAATGTGCCAGGTTAAAACTAGTATACCTATAAATGAAGAACGCAAATAAGTGACGCTTATTCTATAATAATGTCAAACAAACAGCTACAGACGCAGCTATTTACAGCTTATTATATTGATATTTATAATTAACAGAACGTTGCGATAATGGATTGCATAAGTGGTTGGTGCAGGAGTCAGCGGCGGCTTGTCGGAATGACGGCTATAATTACGGGTTGCAACAGCGGCATCGGGAGGGAGACTGCCGCCGATCTGTATTCCAGAGGTTTGTTCATTAACCTTGTCAATCATCTTTAATTCATGCCTATATCTACTTACAAAACTAAATAATTAGTAGAAAGATTAATCAATTTAAGAAAATTAATTGGTAATTATTATTCCTAATAATCATTATAATTAAGATTAATACCCAAGACAGTTTATTAAGCCTCATGTAATCCTAAGCTAAGCCGAGGTTATGTCATTGGTCCTAGAGATATGATATAAATACTTAGATATGTTTTTTATAATTCATACATAATATACATAGAAAACATACACATGAATACAATAATACTCTTTAATACAAATGTTTACATCGTACGAGGAATCAAACCTTCGACCTCGACCCGAACTAGCAATATAAAATACCCTGGCAAAACAACATCCACTTGCTACCCTAGACTCTATCATAGGTAGGTAATTGTTGGTTAATTGACTACGGTCCGATGGACTAACTGATCTGACCTTATATTGGTCCAACGGCTTAGCAGACTGCTTTACTTCCGATGATCACGGACTCGATTCCTCTTGTATCTATATTGATGAATATGATTGTTTGTATTGATCTGGGTGTTTACTGTCTATGTACCTATAAATTTGTAAAAAAATATCAAAGTATTCATATCAGGTGTCTAATACCCATAACACAAACTCAGCTCGGCTTGGGAATTGATGGCGTTGAATTAGGGATATTACAATTATTATTCTTCATTAGACACTACCGTTTCTTATGATCATGTGCACCTCCAGCTTACATTATAGCGAAATTATAAGCCCGGGCACTATTACATTGCCATCATAAATTTACCAAAAAATAAAATTACTAAATTTTAGTGTCTGCATATCATCACATACTTATAGTATATTTTGTATTACAGGAGCCCGTGTCATAATGGCATGCCGAGACACTAACAAGGCGGAAGTAGCCAAAACTGATATAGAAAATGAAATTGATAAAACCGAAATCAGAGGTGATTTGATAGTGGAAAAGCTGGACGTATCCAGTTTGAAATCAGTTCGAGACTTCGTATCCAAAATATTGGAGACGGAACCACAGATACATATTCTGATTAATAATGCAGGCGTCATGATGTGTCCTGAATCTAAAACAGAGGACGGCTTCGAAACCCACATCGGCACAAACCACTTCGGTCATGCACTATTGACTCTATTACTGCTGCCGAGAATGATTAAATCTGCTCCATCAAGAATAGTGTTTGTTTCATCTAAATTACATACAAGTAAGTTACGACGGCCTAGGTGGTCAAGCAGTTTAGCACACCGCTTTACATTCGATGGACGTGGGATTCCTAGCACGGTGCAAACATTTGTATTCATTAGTATGGATGTTTGTATCGGTCTGGGTGTGTTTAATACATATTAGATACGTGTGCAAATAAAGTATCTAAGTATTTATATCAGTTATCAAGTTCATAATACAAGGTCTGCTTACCTTTGAATTAGTTTAGATTGTTACTGATGTAAATTAGATTTTGTAGATTCGAGTTGGCTTATCTCATTGCATTGTATGCAGGGGGCATATCGTGGTCAACTTAGAAGATACGCCAGTTACAAAAGACCTTGTACTGAGTCAATATAAGATAGACATCTACTAAATGCATAGTAGACATTTATAATTACAGTATATCGCATGCAATTGATGCAATAAACATTACGATTCTTCTTATGAATTCAATAGTTACGAAAATTGCTACACGTTCTGAAGAATAATTCATTTAGTAGTTTACATAATTTTTCGAGTACATTAGTATGATTTTCTTTAGAATTAAAAATATACATTCACGTCTGTTACTAAAAGTAGATTGGTTAGAAGAGAACGAGTAAATAATATAAATTACCAAAACAGTTTTTTTACTATCGGATAGAATCAAACTCCCGAGTATTGAGAAATGACGCTCTTTATTTATTGTTCAATGTAAAATATTATTTATGTAGTAATACATTTTTTATTTTAATTTGTAGGCCACAAAGTGGATTTGGATGATCTTAATTTTGAAAAGTCAGAATACAACGCTAATGTGGCATACTGCAGAAGCAAGGGAGCAAACGTGCTTTTTGCTAAAGCGCTTGCTATAAAATTGAAGGTAAATATAACATAATATGAATCCATATGTGAAGTACCGAATAATTATCAATATATTACGTATGTCCCCGACATAGACATAAATACTACAATGGCTTTTGAGTTCATATTTCTGTCTCACCTAGGTATTTCGATCGTCAAGTAACTTGCTTTGTAAGATGTGTTTTGGGTTATTTTTTACAATTTATAAACCCGTAAACTGTTTAATAAAAAGCAGTGTACTTAAAATCTCATTTACATCATGATATATAAATACTGGTACTTCAAAATATGAAGATTATATTTCAGAGAATGTAGTATAAGTCTTTTAGAATAAACAGCAAATATAATTACAGGAGCACAACATAAAAGATGTAACTACGTACAGTTTACATCCAGGAGTCATCAAGACAGATATCAGCAGACACTTTGACAAGACGGTAGCACGTGGCGCTACTTGGGCGTTTAACAACGCTGGAATGTTCCTGAAGTCGCCCAAGTGTGGCGCACAGACTTCAATATACTGCGCTGTTGATGAAGCTTGCAATGAAGATAGTGGCCTCTATTATAGGTAAGTAAAAAATGAATGTCTCCCGGGATACATGTAGAAGTGAAACTTCATCGAACAACGCGATAAATCGTCTACCGCTCCACACGATGGTAACGCTTTTTCGCTGGTTTCACTTCAATAAAATAATATATCCTTATGTCAGAGACATTGTCAATTATCGAGGTGAATGTAAAACTTAACATGCCCATATTTCACTATTGACTCGAACATGGTTGAATAAGTGATTTCTTTAGCCAAAAATATAAACTGTAAATTACGACTTACTCATAGTTTCATTTGTTGCAGTGACTGTGCCGTAAAGCGTCCATCGAAACAATGTCAAGATGATGACTTTGCAATTCAATTCTGGGAGAAGACTATCGAATCTCTCAACTTAAACAACTACAATGCTTTTGGAGACTCCGATGCGCCGAAATCTTTACTCGCCTAATTTTATGGCCCGTCTGAGTCTAGTTGATTATTCGAGTCGTTTTGTTAGTGTGTGCACTATGTGTAAAATAAAAATGTATGATGACACTGTGTGTTAGTGTGATACAAAAAAAGTGTGGTGTCTATATTTTAAAATTAAGAGTAAGTATTTGAGATTGTTTATTAGATTTTGAAATACCTTTAACGTATTCCCTTCACTGAATGTCTTTGATGCACATATTTTTATGAAACGGCGAGCACTTTAAAAACAGTAAAACTGTTGAAAATAATAAAGCACAAACTTATAAATGGGTACCTACACATTGATCTTCTCATATTATGCAGTTATAGTACCTATACCTTAATCTATATCTTGTACCAACTATATTATATGACCTGACCCATGTGGTTATTACAAGGGTCGGCAGTGATGCATTTTGAATATAGAAAGACTTGAAAATTGAACAGTCTTTTAAAAGCATATATATCAGTATACAGTTTCAATGATCACAAGTATGATAATGATGGTGACGACCTAAATGGTGAGCAGTTACTACGATTTAACATCTGTCGATCAAGAAATGAGCGAGGTCTTATCACAATAATGATCATGAAGTAAAAGAGATGTAGACAGACAGATATTATAAATTGTTTATATCTATTTATTTATAATAAGAATGTAATTAGATAAGTAGACATATAATAGAGATATGTAAATCGCAGTCACTCTGTGTTAGCAACCTTTGTGGTTTACCAGTAGTTTGCACCTGCACATTTTTGAAATAGCAGCAATATTGGTTGCTTTTTATAGTTGCATAGTTACTGTACACATAGTTACTGTTGCATAGTTCTTACACGAATGTTACCAAAATGTTATTGTAAAAATGTTTGATTAAAATAATTTTGCACCTAATCATGTTTATTATTATTAGAAGTAATATTAATAGTATAGTAGTATGTAGGCACACCAGTTAAAGTTAAGAATTACGATATTATATAATCAGGTTAATCGCTGATAATATCGCTGTAATAGTCATGAATCATCTGGCGATTTTTTTGTGGACTTCCGCGATACAGGTTCGCCTAATGCGGCGTCCAATGTTTAATCAACTATATGGTAGATATTTGTATGTTTTAAAATAAATAAATTCGAGTTTAAAAAAATGTAGCGTCATACCACTCTCACATAGGTATGTCGATAGAAGGATGTGAGGGAGAAGTCAAAAATCGCGAATTTGTGTGAAGTCATTTATAAATGACCACTACCTAAAATGTATCATAGTATTCAAATTGCAGCATCTTTGATCTTTTCTCAGGCATGGTAACATTCCGTAATAGGTCAGTCCTCTCCCTTAAGCTCGGATTTTCGGTAATATATTCGCTGGAGGTAACGGATTTTTTACAGAAAAACATAGCGGGCACATTACAGTCCGCCACAGACAGCAATCCACTCCGTCTAAATCCACCGCATCGAGGGTCGTGGTTTGCGTTCGTTTTACCACATTTATTATTACAATCATCCCATTCTGAGAAACCAGTGTTTTCTATACGTTCTCCTAAAAAGTAATTTAATTTACTAATATTATAAATGCAAATGATGTAAGTATGGTATAAATTAAAAAGATATTATGTAAAATAGGCGTAATATAGTAATAAATGTCAAGTAAGTGTGATGCATACGAAGTTGCGCGGGACAGATAGTTTAAAATAAATATACCTTCACTACTATTATCGCTTATGAGGTAGTCAGAGATCTTGTGAACAGTCTTCGTTGTTTTGAACGAAACACTTGCCTATATTTGCTGGTTTTATTGGATTCAATAGGGCAACAAGGTCACGGCCTTATCTGATTTTTGTTATCGGTGTTTCCATTAACGGATACTTAGACTAAATGTGAATTGAAAAGTAAATTTATAAAAACATCCTTTTATTTCAGCCAGTTTGCCACTCACGGTGGGTCTTATTTGGGCAGTAAACCACGACGGTGTCACATGTTTCACATTTTAGATTTCTGATACACAAAAAAGCCGTCATAAATCCTGGTGAAATTAGCAATAGATAACTAACAGGGGTATAATAAGTATACGCTTTTTGTATTACAAACTTTTTTCGAACCGACCTTATTTAAACACTAGGAATATATAAATAGATACAAGTATTTTCTACAACATACGTACCATGAATAGTCCTGTAATGATATCTTTGGAATAGATCGCTAAAGCCCAAAAACGTAAACTCATCGTCTGGTACTCTTCGACCTGTAATTTGTTTGAAAAGATCTTTGACGTATTCGGCTTCATTTCTGTTCTGCAGGATTGCCAAGTGACCGCCAGCTGAGAGGCACGTTGCGAAGGCATCATGCCAAGTTTGAGGCTCCAAGTGAGCCATATAACAAGTATTATTGAAGGCCCAATTCCATTCTAAAAAAATATATTAATATAAGGAATTAATTAATATGAATTTGCCTAATTGTATATATCTACAAACATTATAATTGCATAATAAAATTTTTGTCAGTGTTCGTTACATTTACACTACAAAAAGGAAAAGCTTTGAATGAAAATTGAAGATAAGTAGATTGTATCACTATAATAAAAGATGTTATTACCTATGTTGGCAATCTGTCGAAATTGCTGGTACCTATACCGCTAGTATACATATGCGTTTTATTCCATACCTGTTGATCCGACTTAGTTCGCGTGGAATTTAATGAATTATATTTTTTACTCATTTACGTAAAAACTACTAAACGGATTTTGATGAAAATGTTTACCTTAAACTTTCATACATAGCTTATACTTCAGAATAACTCATAGGGTATAAATACGGATGAAACCATGTGCACAGCTAGTAATTTCATATGCATTTAGTGAAAAGCTGTACGTCTATTTCTATTAAAAAATGTTCGCATTTTTGTAGTAGGTATATACATTGCCTGAAAGATTTAAATTTCATCCTAAGGCAATAAATGGAATTCGTATAGATATGGGTAGATCAATGTAATATAGTTTATTTTTAGCTAAGTAAAATCGATGCCTGATCCTCCACTCCTTATAACTCCGCCCCGGGCGTAAAACTACTAAGTAGAGATGACCTCGAACTAAAACACCGGTACCTCCCTTGTTACTATGTTTGTTACCTCTTGGTCCTTAGCGACGGAAATATGACATAGTACCTAACTATTACATGGTCTGCTTTTTATTAAAATGAGTCATTAAAATAAAATATACAACAATTCATTTCAGAAGACGGGTCCGAACCGAAGTTTTCGGCCTCTGCCGTCGTGTCAGAATTTGATAATGTAAGCCCACTCTAATATTTGATAAATTGGTAAATATGTACTTACTTGGATTATAGGTATCACATTCCTTGTAATACATAATGTTTGCCACATTTACTCTACAAATGAAGGGTAGCGGTACATTGCATGGGTGAACAAATAGGCGACCACTGCGTCTCATCGCCACACAACGCCCTACACTGTGAACTGGCTCATTTCGCTCCCATAACAGATCCACTATTGAGTTCATGATTGTACTACCTAGGATAGGACGGAAGGTGATTGTTAGTAAGATGGCCCATTGCTAGAAATAAGCAATGTTTGACCATCACACTGTTCCTCCTGGAAACAATCGTGTTCATTTTTGATAAATTCACCACGACGCGCTGACTGACCTAACTAATTTTTTATCCTATCATTCTCCGCTGGTGCCCCGCTAGCGGATCCCTGTTAGCACCATTTCATAGTCATCCCAAGACAAATCAGGACCCGGCAGACATCGTCTTGCAAAGAAAAGCGGTATCACCTACAGGGCCTAGTTAGGTATGTTTCAAAACCATCCAGGATAAAGTTGAAAACATATATAATTTAATCCAAATCGGCGGAGTCGTTTAGGAAGAGAGTGACAAATACAGGTACAGAAAATATATATTATATTGAGTTAAACATTATTATATCCTTACAGGTAGTTTTAAATATCCGTATAGTACAAAATCCTCGGTGCAACCACAGCGTCGAGATTTTGCCGCCGTCGTCGCTAGCAAACCGACTGCTTCAGTACAGCGGCGTGTGCCAAAAACGACACTGAACATTGACCCTACGTGTGCTGCCACTGGCAACCGCGACGATGATGGCTTCGTCGTGGTACAAAAGAAGAGGCGCACAAACAAGGTCAATAGGAATCATTGTGGCACTGCACTCACTGGGCCCAACTTTCTGCTGCGTGCTGCTACACCGACCACGACAATGTACCTGTCCCGTCTACATTACGACACTAAGGAGCAGGACATTGTCGATTATATTCGTACCAAGAGTAACCTGACATTGAGGGTAACGCAGCTGAAGTCGAGTCACAACGCGAGTTTCAAAGCGTTTGTGGCCCTGGTCCCCACCGACTTGCTGCCCACCTTCATGAAAGAGGACTACTGGCCGAAAGGTGTGGTGTATCGGCGCTACCGTGGCAGATTGCCATCTTCAGTGCCGTGATCACACAGACAATATGATTGTATTAGTTTTTAAATATTATATTATATGTATGTTAGTCTATAAGGTATTTATAATATGGGCCTAGTTGCCTGAAATAAATGAATAAATAAATAAATAGTGTAATGTGCAAACAAGCGTAGGGTTTATTAAAATTATGGAATTGTGTAATTGAGAAGGAGCATAGACCGGATGGGAAAGGAAGATGTGATTCAGATCTCCAATACATGTTGCACATTTACAGATGAATTTATATTAAACTACTACAAGAGCACGAGTTTCAGCAGTAAATGAAATAGTTAGGTACTAACCGTTAATAGAAACAAAAGTTCTTTCAGAATACAAGTCATGTACTCCAATATATACGCCAGCGTATTTGTTTAGTACCGATGTGATGAGTATAGGCATAGCATCAGCTTCGTCTAAATGTTCTGGAACAAACAACTCTGCTCCTTCCCCCTCGCAGCGCACCTTCGCAGTTGGCCACGGTGCTGCAGCGTGGTGGACTTTATAGAAAGCATTAAACGCCGTCTCGTAACGATAGTCCCCACGAAATTTGGGGCGCTCTGATTCTAAATTTAGAAAAATTAAATTCTATAAACTAAGGTATTAGGTAAGGTTCATGTTTCTCCGTTTACTTCTAAAACACGGAATAGATTTCTATAGGGTTATCACCGTCATTTCGAGAAATCTGAAATAAATATACTTGTAGCTACACGATCTATATCTTATACGAGTATATTGTACACATCTTAGAAGCCGAAGAATAAGACCTATGCATATATATTGCAAAAATATATGCATAGATTATTCAAAATTGCCAATGAATTCATTTAAAGTACAGTAGGTAGTTTGTTAAAAGTTGATAACTTCGATTTTTAGATATATAGGTATATAATCTGGCGTACACTTACCAACAAACATGCAAAATAAGATGGTAAGTAATATAACAAAATATACCATTATTTCTTCAAAGTCTGCATTATTTTATTAATTAACTTCACCACTGCCATTATTTCATTAAATTACAACACATAAGGATAGAATTTCTTTAAAAGTAAACAATCCATCATGAGGAAAGAGGCGGAAAATTAATTCGCCTTCGTAACCTGCCTTACGCACTATAGTAGGTACAGCTATAAAGTAGAATTCTATTAATGAAATCATAATAATTATTACTTTCCAATTTAACGATTTCTATAAATGTACGTAGGTAGCTATATGGATTATATCCTCGAAGTATTCGTTAGCAGTTCCCAGCGTTTGTTTTCTTACTAGTTTTTATACACGTGAATCGTCCCGTCGCTCGGGTTTCTTATTGTTTGACCAGGATAAAACTACCTCATGTCCTTTTTGATCTCGATTGAACATATTTTTTTACATCTTACAGTTGAATTTTCTTAAATAATAGAATTTCTGAGATTTGTAATGGTTTATATTATGGACTTACACCGCGAAACACATTGATAAATTACAGCATTGCACAATAAATATATATGTATATATAAAAATAATACATATACATCAGCAAAGCAAAATACTGCCTGCTTATTGCTCGTCCCGTAAAGGGCCTAGCATGAGATTAAAAATTTTAATAGAAGCCTAAAATAAACTGGTACAGTATTTGCTTTTTTTTTCATAATTGCTACATAATAAAGCATTGATTTCACTAGGTTTCATTATATCTATACATTATGGATTCCTATATAAAGAGTAACACAAATAACGTAATTCCTAAACAGTCAGATAACATTGAATCATTATGAGGTTTGTACTTCATGTTGGATCTTTTAAAAAAAAATCGTATCGTGGAGTAAAGCCTTTCGAATTTTAACAAATATCTATTCGCATAAATTTCATCTCTCATTATTATAAAGAGAGAGTGAGATAATTTAGCTGTTTGAATTTGAGAAATCCGTTTACTATATGAAATGGTTTCAGCCGTATAAGCAATTGTATTAATTTTGTTACATATTATAAGAACAGTTACGATATTATAGTATACCAAAAATAATACAGGATAATATTAAAGAAATAGATTTCTGTTCCTGTTATACCCACACTCTTTCATACAGATTCAGTGGTAATAATTAAATTATCATTATATACAATTTCGCCTGTTGAACATAGGAAGTGTAAATTGTTGATAATTTACTTAAGATAAGGTTCTTATTTAACTGTTATACAAAAAGTCAAAAAGTTGTTGAACACTGATAGTATTACTACTATCTGTACTACATATATATACTAATCTGTACTACAGATTTTGGTATACCGTTCACGACTAGTTGAGATGATATAGACATATACATACAAAAAATGATTTGATCGATGTTCACATTATTGATAATAACAAATGATTGGAACAAATATGAGTATTTCCAATCACAAGCACTCCATTACATTTTCAAATAAATGCTTAATAAAATTATCAATTAAAATTAACTACTTAAAATAATATGTGAAACAATAAATATGCAAATTGTAAATAAATATTGCATTGTGATTTGTATGTACAAATGTTCAACATTTAATGAGTATAGAATAATAACTCTGTTTAATAGTATAGGTATTTATGTGTACTTTGTAAAAATCTTTTAATAGGGAATACTAGTCAAGAATAAAAACATATTATTCACTAAAATAGAGCAGAATGAATTATAGCAACAGGGATAATTAACTACATATATTACTAACAACTCTTTCTGCTTCTTTTCAAAATACACAGCACCCAAATCACTTTTAGATACAAATAAATAACATTTACAATACATCATTTTAACCTTTATAATACTATTTGACTAGGCATATAATAATTTCCTACATATTTCATACGACGCATTTATAATGCCCCAACTTAAAAATGCCCGTGATATATTCAATAACGCTCCATGGTAGAAGTTTGATAATTTTGAGCCACGATTGTAAAATATATACTTAAATTCATAAGATATTGTTCTGTGGGGTCCACCTAATTCACACTGCATAGCTATTTTAATAACATTCAATGGATAGAAAAGTGTGCTCAGTAGAGCTCCGATTGTTGCACCAGCTATAAAGTTTTGAATGCTTTGATACACAAGATGCTCCTGCCGTGGCAGTCTATCGCGCACTTCATCACGGATAATAAAAAACATGGCATTAGAAGGACCATTTCTTAACAGTATAGGAACAAGTCCTCTATAAAATTCTTTAACGCTGTAATGTTTAACAATATATCCAGCAGCGTGGGCGGTATTCTTGAATTGGTTGTGGTATTTAGGATGAATGAGTAACGTTTGAATCCTTTCAAAAGGCATGAGTGTAGCTTCGAAGCAACCGGCTGCAACTCCAGCTATTGTTTTGGCAATGTAAGGATTAACTTTGCAATCAAGCAGGGGTGTTAAACATTCATCATATACACCAAACATAAGGGACATTGAGAGGGACCTCTGCAATAGTGGAGGCAACATGCCTCTATACAAGTAACCTAATCCTTCTTTCTGCAATTGATTTAGTGCAAAAGTTGTTTCTACTCCATGCATCATCTGTAACAATCAAAATAGAAATTAAGATTAATGCATTGTATTAAATCCAATCAATGTGTACAGTAACACAAACTGATAACTTGTGTAAATTGGTTATTCTGTTTTACACTGGCTTACTATAAAACAATACTATAAAACTCACTATAAATAGATTTATATATATAGAGACATTTAGAAAAAATTACAAATCATAGTTTTATTACAGTCTAAAGTCTGCTAATAGTTTTATCATATACATTGGAATTAATCTTTGGCTACATATACCACTGAATAACATTAATTCCAGTCATTTTGATTTAAAATGATGTTGATGAAATACCAATGGGACCAATATATCAAATAACAATGAATTTTTCACATTGTTATATTAACAACTGAGTTTTTTTTAAGTGATAATAATAGAATGGTACAGCCTCCTTTACTAACCGTTTACACTGGCAGAGGAGTGGAGGATGATGAAATGAACACAAGGTCAGATCAATTAGCTCATCATGACAAATTCCCCATGAATTTATTATGATGGTTACCAGCGAAAACCATGTAGAGCTTAACCTTCATGGTACAATGCTAGCAATGAGGTCATCAGGCCACATTACTAACTTTCCTGTTTCCCCCTAAAGAGCTTGAAAATAAGAAACACAAACAAAATGTACCAGTGAAGTTTCTTGCCAATTTATCTTTACTGAACTAACTAGATGGTAGGGACAGAGATAAAAAATTACAACTTGCAGAGTGTGAAAGTGTGTATCCTAGATGAATAAATAGTTTTTGATACCAATTAATATAAAACTTATATTTTTTATTTTATAAATAAAAAATATTAAATACAATACCTGTCGAAAGATGAGTTTGTTGAGTGGATAACTTATGAGTATGTTGCAGAAAGCCGAGCCACCTCCACATACAAACTCCTTCCAGTGGATAGGCAAGCCCGGGGTTGGCATTGGTACCTCCATGCCACTCTCATTCAAACACTTTCTTTCCAATAACTGATGCTCTGTCATGTCAACCTTCTTACAATCACATGACATTACTTTTCAGGTTCCATTTCTGAAAATATATTTAATCAATAAGTTGTACAATGAAAATACATTACTAAACTTAATATATAAAAATCTTGTTTGTTATTGCACTCCTCAAAAACAGTTTCACTAATTAAATTAAATTAATGTATATTTGATAGGCCATTGGTTATTTTTTATACTTCAAGGTGAATTTGTATTTATTTTATAAGTAGATTCCAAAAAGGATAAAGAATTTTTTTCATAGGATTTGATAACTTTATCATTTCTTCATCAAATTTTATTTTCTTGTGAGGAATAGGACATATTAGTACCGTAGAAATTGTGTTATGATTAAAGCTCACTTTCAAGAAAACAATTGTCTTTTATTTATTTGAAACAACAAATATTTCTTTACATAAACAATAGTTTCTTCACTTACTTCATCATTATTAATTAAATTACTGTCATTAATCAGACAACTAATTAATTATATAAATTAGTTAAATAAAGCTGTCTAACAAGATTCTATAGTTACAGCATATTAACCTATGTTATTATGTTACAAGTCGTACATGTGAATAAAATTAATTATTGTCGTATAAATTGGTAATTATGGTACTCACTCAGTTTGAAATTTATTAATGTAATTTTGAAATAATAAATATAATAGAAATAACCACAAAATAAGCAAATGGGTATACCCAAACCAATTAAAATTCTTAAAAAAAAATAACTGTCAATCTGTCATCCGTATTGCCACTGTCATCCTACAAGATATTATGCCATCACTCATTAGGCTGTATATTGGAGACAATTTTATTCTTCTTTGCTTGCCCATCATATTAAAAAAAAATCACAATACAGATTAATGACCAACAATCTCTCTAAATTAAGAATCTGTGTTTTATCTACTCGACTGTTATTCACCGTGAGGTTATTTATATCGGCTGTTTATTATGTTTTGCTATCAAAACGTCTAAAGTATTGAAGAAACTACTCCAATTCTCAAGATATAATTATATAGTAATAGCAAAATGGCTGCTCTTTTAAAAAAGCGTGCCTTAGCTGAATACAATAAATCATTTCAGGTATAGTTTTAACAATATATGTCCTATGATACAATATATGTTATAATGTTGTATTTTACAATACCATTCCATAAACTGTTATCCATTTGCCTTACCTACTTTGCTGAATCAGTCACACACTCAGGTTTAAAAAAAGCTGTACTTTAGTCATTTCTTCAGTACCGTCTGCTCTGTCACTTGACCACAATTCTGTTGTTGTATCTACCCTAATGTTCCCATGTCTTCCTATTTGAAAGTGAAATAAATAAAATCTGTAATTAGAGACGGATTTACATGCTAATCTTTACAGGTCATCAGGGTCATCTGATAATGAGCATAAATTAAATTCTATTCTATTCTAGGATGGTCCTCCATCAAAAAAGTTACATTTGGTCAAAAAGCCATTGATAGGTAGTTCAGCTGCTGCATTTGTCGGACTTCTGGAGAAGTGCAAGTCAAGTGATGAAGCTTTACAGTTGCTGCTACGCATTTCCGACTGCCTCCAATTCCAAGAATCAGATGTTGAGGAAGCTATCAAGAAGTTGTCTGAGCATTTTCAATCAGAAGAAGAGTCTGTAGTCAGAGTAAAGATATTGTGGTTGTTCTGTGACATTGGTTTGGAATGCCCCGGTGCTAATTTAAACAATCTGATTGATGAAACAATACATTTGATTAAGAATGAGACATCTCACAAGGTTAGTGTAATTATTTTTAGCAATTATTATTAACTAGCTTTTACCTACAGCTTCACTCACATTGAATCCATTAAATAAAATATTTATTTTTTTAGTAAAAGTATCCTTTGTTGTTTCTAATACCTCCCAGAACACGTCTACAAAATTTCATGATGATTGGTTCAGTAGCTTTTGTGTGAAAACATAACAAATATCCCTATATATATCCCTACTTTCACATTTATAATATTAGTAAGGATTTACAGTTAAATAATTTGATATATGACAAATTAATAGTAAAAAAAGTAACAATCTGACTTTAGTTTGAGACCAAAGGTTCATTTGTGTGAGACCAAATACAGGTTAATTACATAGATGTTAATAAATCTATAGAATGTAGTTGTACCTTTTGTATTGTGTAGTAAAAAAATCTATTATTATGGGGCATCCACATTTAATTATTAATTGATAACATAATCAATTACACATTTGCTGTATTTTTTTTATTGTTGCCTCAGCTATTGTTTCATACCATCTTTGCTTCATTATTTTCTAAACATTTGTACATGAGCCAATTCTAAATGATCTGCATCACATAGCAACTCAATATGACCTATACAAAGTACAAAACATTCCAAAAAAGCAAAGTGGAAAATATATAAAAAAACTTAAACCATTTACAAACTCTCCTGTCAATTTCACAATCAGTGAATTTAGTATTGATTTAGTTTACATCAATGATTGATCAATTTAGTATAGTACACTATATTATTTGCAATTTGGAAGAAATACATGTATTTTTATAATAAATTTGTTTAAGGTGATTGCTCAAGGCATAGCAACATTATTAAAACTTGGTAACAAGTTCCCTGATGATAAAATATTAATGACTCGGCTGGTCGGAGTTGCAAAGGACAATTTGAAAGATACAAGTCATCAGGTGAAGTGTCGGTGTTTGCAGCTCATCAGTGAACTGTATCCTATATACCCTGAGTCTGATAGGACTTTGGAGATGGTTGCTGAATCTGATGCTATTGTCAAGTTACTAGGAGACTATTCTTATGCTGAGGTTTGTTCAAGTTTTTCTTCATAAAGTCTCTTCTTTTATTTTATAATTCACTCCCTTTTAATTCTATGGAGATTCACTGTTTTACCAGAAACTTAGTAGGCAAACTTATTCATCCTTAATGTAATTTATACAAATTCAGCTGATATCTAGAAATTCTCAAAAAAATATTTTGTTGTTGGTGGTATGAAATTATTGTACAAATTAATAGTCGTTTTACTTCTTACCAAATATAGTTTATACAAAACATTTATTTGCCATGGTGGATATAACATATAGAGAAATGTATGAAATATCTTTCTAGTACCATTAAACATGTGAAATACATTGCAGTGCAAATGACCCCTAATTACTTTAACAATTTCCTGATTGTGACAGTCTAACTTATCACCACACCCTTATATATAAACATTTAATTTTAATTATATTTTTGTTATGTAGGATGCAAGGGTACGTTGTGAGGCATTCCAGTCGCTTCTAACATTGAATGACAGGGGCCAAACACTCAGTGCAAATTTATATGATCAAGTTTGTATTGCACTATCTGATGACTATGAGATAGTTAGGGAAGTGGCTTTGAAACTAGTATGGGTGCTTGGAAATAAATATCCTGAGAAGTGAGTACTTTCAAAGCTCAGAAAATGGACTTCATTTACATGAATAATTAACAAACAGTATTATATTTTTTATATTTAAAATATATTATTTTTACTAAGTTAAAATAGATGAGACTGAGGTAACCATGCAGACAACTTAGTCTGCATGGTTACCTCAGTCTCATCTATTGCTTTGTAAACTATATAGCTTGAAAAAGATATATATATATATATAAATTAAATCATTTAAAAATACATACATTAGTATTGAATTAATACAGATGTTCTTTTCAACAGTTCCTTTTAACAGAAATACATAATTAATTGCCTTTCAGCACTGTACTTCTTCAAGATGGTGAGACATCTATGCGCTTAGTTGATGACGCATTTGTCCGCATCTGTTCTGCTGTAAATGATTTGTGTATGCAAGTGCGGGCGCTTGCTTGTACCCTACTGGGTACTACGCGAGGTGTCTCCGATCGCTTTTTATTACAAACCCTCGATAAGCAGCTTATGAGTAATATGAAGGTAATATTTAAAAGATATATAAGTATTAAGCGATTTTTTTGCAAATTAAACACAAAGAAAGGTTCTCTAATATACAGTATATCAAATGCAAAAATTACTAAAATCATTGTCAAGAATTGACAGCTGTCATAGTATCATTTCCACCAAAACTTGTTTTACATACATACATATTGAAAAAATGTATTTAATCATTTCTATCAGTTATTTAGTACCCGTATGTAAGCACTGCTCATTTGGGCCTAGATGGCTACTTATGATCCTTTATTGTTTAGTAACTACTCGCCCCGGCTTCGCACGGGTATACATATAACATTTCTCTTGAATCAAATCACTCTATCTGTTCCTAAAAAGTGCACTAAAATCTGTTGAATAGTTTAAAAGATCTAAGGGAACAGACACCGGGCGCGACTTCATTTTATGCTATTTATAGATATTATTTTTAGATATGTATTTAATTTTTATATCGTATGTCATTACGAATGTTACTTGATGCGCAAACAGAAAAAGCGCACGGCACACGAGCGCGGCGCGGAGCTGGTGCGGTCGGGCGCCTGGGCGAGCGGGCGGCGCTGGGCCGACGACGCGCCCGGCGCCCTCGTGCACTCGGACCACGTGCAGCTGCTGCCCGGCGGCGCCGCCGGGGCCTTCGTGCACGGCCTCGAGGACGAGCTCATGGGTACGTCTCTGTGAGTGTAACGCTCCACCGGCGGCCGGAGGGGGCTACTGTTAGTACTGGGGCCGCGCTTGAAAATATATATTGTAAACTCTGATACGGAAAAAGTACTAAAGTTCGCTGTCTAAACCAGTCAGGGACAAAAATTGAAGGATATTCTTAAGATATTCTCCTATAAAGAACTTTGTAACTTCAATCTCGTACTGATCTTCCATAAACAGTAACATTTATTTTTCTACTCAGAGGTCCGCACCGCAGCAGTGGACGCTGTGTGCCAGCTATCAATGGAGAACTCCATATTCGCGACGACATCGCTCGACTTCCTTGTGGACATGTTCAATGACGAGATCGAGGATGTGCGCCTGCGGGCTATCGACAGCCTCACCAAGATGGCGCACCACATCGTACTCAGGGAGGACCAGCTCGAGATTATATTGAGTGCTCTGGAGGTGAACATGTATTTTAGATCAATATAATTAAAATCCATAATTTTTCATATAATATAATTGAAATGGGTAACAAGCTCATGGCACATCTTATGACAAATGTCAGCCGTCGCCTATATGCATTAACCACCACCATATCACCATTCCGGACTAAGATGTCATGCTTCTTATACAGTTAGGTTGCTGCATACTTCAACAGAAACACAACAACAACTTTCAAAGCGCGCTGCAGCTAGCTTTGATCCTCGGAGATCATTGAACGAAATTTATAGAATATTAAGGTTGTAAGAATTTTAAGGTTTTAGTATGTAATTTTGATTCTGTTTTTATGTATAATTGTAATTTATTATATACCCACAGGATTACTCTATGGACGTCAGGGAAGGACTCCACAGAATGTTAGGTTCGTGTACAGTTGCATCCAAGACTTGTCTCGAGATGTGTATTGACAAAATATTGGAAAATCTCAAGAGATATCCGCAGGTATTCCAGTTGTTTAGTATATTAATTTCTGGCATTTTTTATACTCATTGTAATGTGCGACCGACTCTGGTACTACTGTACGATAATCATATACCATCAGACAGACATATATATATTATATATAGTGGCTGACCCGCGCAACATCGTCTGCGTTTCATTTTCCACCTTTTGCAATATTTTTCATCGCAGCTCCGTCGGCCGTAGCGTAATGTTATATAGCTTAAATCTTTCTCGACAAATGGGCTGTCAACACGAAAATATTTTTTTCCGTAAGTGTAGAGATGTGTCCGTGCGTAGGACAAGCGGTCGACGTTCCGGTGCGCGCAGCGTCTGGGCAGCTCGCACGCGACGCTGGTGTTGCCGCTGGCGCCGCGCCTGCTGGCCGTGCATCCGTTCTTCGACATGCCCGAGCCGGACGTCGAGGACCCTGCCTGTATCCTTTACTAATACTACGATCTAAAACTATTATGAGACCCCTACGAATGAAACTATTGAACCGTAATGTATGATCGTTTGACTGCTAGAAATGACAATTGGTGTATAATTAAGTAGGTAATTAACAATCATTTATTGCTGCCGATGAAACAACATAAAAGAAAATACATTTAAAGGGTATTTAATTATCCAAAAAATAAGTAATCTGTCAAAAAAATTCTATTATTGTTAATTAAAAAAAAAAATTTCCACTTATATACCTATGTCAATTATTTTTGTCACTGTCTCTAAAGTCCATTTATTTAAAAAAAATATTACCTTTTAAATTTTCTCATACTTGATATGGCTCTATTGTGTGTAATGTATATAAAATTGTATATATATCTAAACGTGAAACCATTCAAAGAAGCCTATAAATTATATAAAGTATATATAGATCTCGTACCAGCCTAATGGTGTATATGAATAGTTTTCTTCACCCTCTTATGAAACAGACATGTGCGTGTTAATACTGACTTTGAACGCGGCGCAGCACTGCACTACAATGTTGCCATTATTCGAGGAGCACACCGTCAAACATTACACCTACCTGCGGGACACCATGCCGCATCTCGTGCCACATTTGCCCATTGGTAACATTCTTTATTTATGAATAATTTTATATCAAGCAATATCAAATAAAGAATTATCTTTGAAAAATATATTTGTTAATTAATTTTTAAATTTTTAGTCTGTTATATTTAATTTCATTTTTATTTGTCAACCGTATTAATGTATTTGTAATGAAGTATAATTAATGTAGTGAAACAAATTAATTGTAAGTTAATAGTGTATACCCAAGTAACCTGCAATTTATACTTCTGAAGTATATTTTAATTTGTTAATATAGGTGAAGCGCAACTAGGCGCTGAGAAAATAGAGGCTGCAATGGACGACAGCGCGGTGAGACGTTTTTTCGAATCTGTGCTGCAGCATATTGACAACACCACACTGTCAACTAACGTGCGCCTCAAGATGTTACGGTCCGCCGAGGATCAACTCAACAAGTACATATTATGATAATATATACTCCTATAGGACATAATTATTTAGTATTTTGATCTTAGGAGTCAATAGTCCAGCTTACTTAATTTTATGATAATCAGAATTCTAGATGTTAACTACATCTTTGGAATTATATGTTAAATAAATAATATTTAGTAGCGTCGTTGTCGCAAAATAAAAAATATGACTATTTAAAAGCTGAAGCAATGGGTTTCACTCTATATAGAGTTGGTAAAGACCGGTAGCATTGTTAACAAAAAAGCCAGGCATGTGCCAAACATATCCTAAGTCATATCTGACGGGTATTATATCACTTTCTAGAAGACTACTGAAGGGGTTAGATATCATTGTAGTTATTATAACTTGACACAATTTATTAAAAGTAGGTCACAATAAGCGACGTGTCCCTATAAGCCGAGTCATTATATCCGACTCAGATGCAAAAACCAAACTTGGCTGCGTAATTATTTCATACTAAGCGGTCGAGCAAAATAGATGGAGAGATTTAGGCGTCGGTCGACTCGGATCGTAGCGTGCTGCGATGTTTAAAAGAATCGGTGAGCGAGGTGTGCGTGGGTGGGTGCAGGCTGTCGGAGGTGGAGCCGCAGGTGTCGGGCGCGGCGCAGTTCACGGCGCTGTTCGCGCGCTGCGCCCGCGCGCTGCACGCCGCGCTGCACGCCGCGCCGCGCGCCGCGCCGCCGCCGCCCGCGCTCTCTCAACTGCACAAGGACTGTCTACGGTGAGCACACACGCGGTACACGCACGCGTCTCTTTATATTTTCATAACTAGCTGTTCTCGCGACTTCGTCCGCCTGGAATTTAGCTTTATTTTTCTAAAATAAAAGCAGCCTAAGTTACTCCTTATTACATCAGCCACATGCCAAGAAAACTCCCGGCAAAATCGGTTCAGCCATTTCAGAGATTAACTGGAACAAATAGACAGACAAAAATTGAAAAAAAGGTTAATTTTGTGTATGTACCTTATTTATATTCATATGCAGGTAGTAAAAAACTATTATTTCAATTTTACAAACAGACACTCCAATTTTTTTTTATATGTATAGATTAAATCAATATAGTCGTTCGATATCTACGCGTACAGCGGCCCAGATGAGTGACTAAATACGGATAATAGACTCCAATTTATATTACATAAGTTGTTAGGACTGTTACGAATCCGTACTTCATATCTGGTAATTGTACAGATGTTTTACATTTTTAGATATACTTGATGATAGTCCCAATGTTCAATCTATTCGACATGCAAATAAATTTTAATCAATACTTATATTAATGAATGCCAGCTTATATAAACATGATTATTATAATATTAACAGTAACAATTTATATAATGTCATCCATTTGCACATAAAATAATCTTCCAATGATTAAAAATAGTTATCAATCAACCAATTTATTATAGATATTTATGCAGCATGTATAACTGTGATTATATGGTAATATAATCCTAGTGTAGTCCTATCTGCGTATCGTATTTATGCGTATTTAATGAAAGTTAATTATATTATTTAGATTTCCATTCTGCGAGTACTTCTCTATAAGAGTTTATTGTATGAAACAGGCTTCAGCATCAATTCAGCGGCGTGACAGAGCAGGAGAACGCGTGCGTGTGGCAGCTGGCGCTGCGCGTGTGTGCGGCGCGGCTGCACGCGGCCGCCACCGCCGCCCCCGCGCCCCCCGCGCCCGCCGCCCCGCCCGCGCCCGCCGCCGCCGGCCCCGCGCCCGCCGCCCTCTCCGCCGCCGCCGCCCTCACGCACCACGCGGAGCTCCTCGACCGGATGCTAGCCTCTGCAGGTAACCTTGTCCACACTTATTGTTAGGTCATTAACCCCGGTTGAGGATTGTAAACACGTTGGCGACTCGCCTGACAGAAAGCGTTAACCGACGCTGATGAACCACAGATTTTGTCGAATTTAGAGTGTCCTCTCGTCTCTATTTTCGTTTGTTAACATTGAAGGCCGGCAGCTGCCTAGAGTATTAGAATAGTTTTAAAAAATCACATAAATGAACGAACGTCACGGACATGTCGTGGTCACGTGACGCCTGTATTATATATACGTCATGCGTTGACATTTCTGAAGATTAAAGTGTCATACATGCATATTTTACTATGTTATTTTACTACCATACATTACGAGTATATTACTCACCCCTATAACGGCTTATATTAGAAAGTTGTTTAACGCAGCATTTGATAAGAACGAGTCGACCTTGTACGGAATGCAGTAGGCTGATGATGATGAGTTGACTTTATACAGTCTACCACAATTAAACTGTATATAGTATTACATTTAATTGGGGGAAATGAATTGTTAGTAATAAGGACTGATGGTTCCATAGCTAGCAATGTAACATGTCAGGTTGATCTGGAAACCATCATAATAAATTCCTGGTGAATTTGTCACGTTAGACTAACTGACCTTACCCATGTTCATCTTATCGTCCTCCACTGGTGACCCACCAGCATTAACCGTTAGCGCAGACGATTGTACCATTCCATTATCATTGTATAATTTCGTGATGATAGCAGTCGTGCAGACTGTTGTTAAGGCCCTGGTAATGTGAAAAATTATAGGAGGCTTGTGTGTTCCTGTATTCACATCAAAATACCGTTACAAGAGAAAGAAAAGTGTTACAGTGTTACAGAATTAAAAATTATCTAAATAAAATATAGGGGTTTCCAACAGTTATTCATTTTTTAAAAATACGTTTAATACACATAAGTGTTGTAAAGTTAGGTTACTTGTAATGGGAAGTTTCTGAAATGATACGTTGATGCAGCAATACTTGATATTATTCCACGCTTGGTCGTCGCGGTTGTCTCGAACAGTAAAAAGGCCGTTATCTCCTTGTTTCCTTCCCTTTAATATCTATTGGTGGCGGCATGATAGTGACGCCACAAGTATCACGTGACTGATTATGGTTCTAAATTTGAAATGTAAGTAACAAGTCACTGGGTGTTGTTTATATATTGAAGGTAACACTTGCATACTAGTTTAATGATACAAACAGTTTTGAGTGTTGTATTGTTGCGATACAGGCGTGGAGCCGGACCCGTTCACGATAGCAGTGTTCCAGCAGCTGTCGATGAGCGCCGACAACAAGCCGGCGGCCCTCGCGCGCGCTCTCATGCCGCTACTGCTCGCAGCGCCGCTGCCATTAATACCCAGGCCCAGTCTTAAGGTACGATGCGTGTGCAATTCTACTTTATTGTCTACATCAGTGTTTCCCAACGTGGGGCCCACGTCACACAGTGGGACAATTCGAAAATGCATTACGATGAAATGCACACGATCCTTTCGCTCCGGGCCATTAAATGTAATACTATTTCGATGCAAAATTAACTAAATAATTGTTTTATCACTAAATTAAAAAAATAACTTAATGTAGACAACAACCATTTTAATAAATAAAATCAATAAAACATTTCCATCCCTTATTTTTAAAAATATTAATACTCTGCACTCCTACTCTATATATAAACTGTGTGAGAAAATTCATACTCCTCCGTTCGTGCAATTTTCTTAAAAAGGGCTACGTAAGTTTTTGCTTCACGTGTTAATATAATGAAAAATGATAATTATGTTGGTAGATCCGTATGTGTACCGCGACGATAATTGAGCCGGCGAGCGACAACGACACCGTGCTGCGGTTCAGTGCCGGGCTAGTGACCAGCGTGGCGCTCGAAGCGGAGGTGGTGCGAGTGCGCGAGCCGGGCGCACTGCGCGTACGAGTCGCATACCCCGACCGTCGCCACCACGCGCTGGTGCCGCCGCGCGACCACCTGCGGCCGCTCGACCATCTCGACCACAGTACGTACTACACACGCACAGTGTACGGCCCGCCCACCCCGACCACAATACGTACTGCACACGCACAGTGTACGGCCCGCCCACTCCCACTTTGATCCTTAATATCAATTTTTTATGACTTGGTATTACAAATTTTCACCATTCTACAACCGACCCCTAATTTTTGTAGCGATATTAGTATTTTCCTTTATAAGGCAAACTTTGTTTTGCCATATAAATGAAAGTACTAATATCGCTAAAAAATAATCATATGATTATTGATTATATATTGCCAATATATTTGGCTAAAGTCAAAAAACGGCTTAGGATATTTTGTATCTACATGTTATATCTAATGTTGTACTATACAGACGACGACGGCACCCATAACGTGCGCCTGCTGACCAAGGTGTTGATCTCGCACGGCGTGTGGACGGACCCGTGCGGCGTGGACATCACGGTGTGTCTCGCAGTCGACGACGCCGTCGGCAGTGCCCGCGACCAAGCTCCGCTCGTAGAACTCAGCCGCCCCGTGCGAGTCACCGTCGCACCCAAAATGATCAAACGCGGCATATAATACAACTACCTGTGTCTGTTTCGCCCGCGTGAAATTTGTAGATATATAAGCTATATTATTTTAAAGCTACAATAAAATCCATTCAGTATTTTTGGCGTGAGAGTAACAAACAGCCATACTTACATCCACACTCACAAATTTTCACGCTTAGAATATTAGTAAGATATGACAACGAGCCAAGAGTACAAGAAAAACAAGTAGTATTGAGAACATCACTACGCAGTGTAATTTGGGGAAGATCTGTTTTTATTTATAGGGTTTAGGCTATTACTCTATGTTCTATGTTCACCTATTGATGATAAATTTATTAAAATGTTAACCGGTATTATAATATTATCACCACTGCCGGCAGTGGACCGTAAATGTATTGTTCTATGACACGATAGGGTTTTATTTCTCTTACGACATTCCAAGATCGAAAAGGAAATAGGTATAATGTCACCAGACTACCTTATTGACAAACATATTTTATATATATCTACCGAAACCACATTGTACCTAGTACCAAGAAGGAAATTAAGTAGTTATCATTTATAAATAACTAGCTCATTGGGACTAGAGAGACAAAATAGTCTTGCTTGTTCCGTCTCGAATTTAATGGTGAAAGTCCAAATCAACTAACAATACAGCAACTAGTGTTTATGTAAATTTATTTTCAATTTAAATCAGTTTTGTATCAATATTTGTGTGTATTTGTCAGTTATTTTACAATGTTTTACGATAAAGAGAATTAACTTGGTATGATAAGACTTGACTTCAAGACCAATATTATTACTGTAATTTTGATATCAGCTAATAGATGAGAATTTATTCTTAACATATAAATAATAATCTCGAACTTTCAAATATGTAATAAAAAATAAATAAAGTTGTACAGTAATATCATATCACTTTTATTATAAATTCTCCATATTTTTTACAATATAATTACAAGTTTTTACGTAACACTTTTTGTATTATGTAAAGCTTAATGACTTAATTATTGAATAATATAGTACTATATTAAGAATCACATATATTTTGCTTAATATTAGGTGAATTACTCAATTCATTGCACACCATAAGAAGTATGTGTTTAGCCCTTTGCCAATTTATTATTGAATATAATACTGTATTTTTATTTTAGTAGCATTGAGATTTAAAGGGTTGAATCAAAAGCTAATTAGAATCCAAGTTGAGAAGGAATCGTTACAGAGATAAAACACATATACCTAAAACTAACAAATATGTTGACTTTTTAATTAACTAATACACATTTAACACAGTTATTTACATTGATTAGGTACATATATTATAATGACTCAATAAATACAAGTTTTGTTTAATATTCATTAATTATCTGATATTAGGTATCATTACTCAGCCAGTATATGTATAGTAAATTCTATGGAAATGGGCTTTCTCAATAAACAAATATAATAAATATGTAGTATGGATGTTAATCCTTGTCTATTGCCAATAGTTCACAGCGAGCTATAGAGCTATGGATTAATTGTTTAACTCCTGGCATCCAGCTGCCAACTGCACTCACATGGTCGACCATCAGGGCCCGATGTATCTCATCTGCTTTTTGGGGTTCATCATTCTTCAAAGCTGTAAATAATAGATATATGTCCAGTACTCTTTATGCAATAACTGAAATTTTAATTAAGATTAAAAATGTAAATAAATCTTAGTATCAATATGACATTGGCAGGGATGGGAGACATTTTTAAGGCAGTTTATATATCAACTTGATATTAAAATCCAATAGGAGATACTGACTGTGCAACAAAGAGGTTTTTTTGTGTATACATATAAATAATATAATTATTTATTAATAATAAAAAATTAACTAATCTACCTAACAAGAACATATTAATATTGATTAATTTTATAACATCTAATGTGACAACATCAGAAAATCTATTTGGAAGCGACTAGAAAGTAACTTCATAGTAGCTTCATAGACTATGGGCTACATGACTATATTATTTTATGATACAGAGATATAACTATATCTTCTGTTGTCTGTACATGGATGTTATATTTGGAAAAACTATTATTAGGTGACTAACAGTAATAGAACTGAAAACAATATACTTATAATTTTAGTCTATAAATAATAAACTGATTCCATCAATTTACAGAAGTATGTGTTTATAAAACCTGTGTAGTATGTCTTGCTAAATATGTACTCAATGAGTTGACATTAGAGTGATTTGGACAGATATAATTTATACAAAATGAACTTGCCCCTATCATCTGGTGAAGCTATAAAGGCCAGCTGTGGCCTACAGCATTATAGTAGTAAAAAAAAAAAAACAAGATACTTTAGACATGAATTCACACAGGCAATTCTACTAATATACAATTAGATTATGTAAAATATTCAAGAAACCTACTGTAATTTTTTTACAAACCATCTGTTACTTACCATATGCTAAATTTCTTATATGCAAATGTATACTTTTATTCAATTTCCCACTTTTCCACATTTCCTCCATAATGCATATTCTTCTTTTAATGTCATTTGCTTTATTTTCCAATTCACTACTAGTATCTAACAATGTTAAGAGAATGTCTTTCACCTCTATGAGGGCACTTCCACTATCAATATTAATATCCTGATCAAGTTCAGGTTTAGAAGTGATGTGTACTGGTGCAGGTGACAAGCCACCTGGTATAGGGGGCAGGTTGACTGGTGGAGGTGGCGCAGGGCTCGCGCCTGTGCTCGATAAAGGAAAAGGGACTCTCTTGTTCAGGAAGTTGCGAGGCCTATTCGGCGTAGTCTGCTGGGCATTGTATGAAAATTTCGGGGGATCGTTCCAGCCAGGGTCGAAAGATACTGAAATATAATATAAGAAATTAGAACTTGTTGGAACATTTCTAAATATTTAAATGTATCAATAAAAATACATACCTTTCCCATTTTCACTTGAAGTTCTATTAATGTTATCCATTATCAAATGTGGTAATAATTAAATACTAGGTAAGATAAAGGTTAATTAAAGACTCATTTATTCTTTCATTTAGTGTAGATATAATAGAATTAGTAAATAATACGAATTTAAGGGTGATGTTTATTTTTATATAAAATTTTAATGAATGAAAAGTGAATGGCCACGAAAGAGTAGAACGATTGATTTTTTTTCTTTTAGGAAAGGCAATGGTATTTTACCCATACAGTCATGTCTAATTCATCTAATTGTCATGTATGATATAATGCTGGGGTTCCTAAACTTTAATGATAAAAGAACACCAACTAAATATATTTTACTTTATGGAATACGATATCAAATGATTACAAATCTACAGTAACATTCCTTAATATAATGAGTAATGGAGTAATGAATCGGTCACATAGTGACAATGACATTGATATAACGAATTGTTAACGTCAATGTGTCAGTCTAATTAATAATTATTTCTCGATCTTGTATTTTCTCTTTCGTTTGTCGTTTATAAAATAACTCGGCAAGTCATAGCTCGCAATGGATTTTACTCGTATTTTTTGTCTGTTTCCCAGTATATTGTTAATATCGCTTTTTTACACATTATTTTTAATAGACAAATCTCAAGGTATTATATTTTCATACATCTTTCATTATTTAGTAGTAAAATTAACTTGATTTATATATTAGCGGTGTTCGAGTTCTGATAGAATTACGTGGCCCTACTTTATGGGTGGATTAGCACGATAAAATATTTAAATTAACTATACTTTTGATATTTGTGAATAAAAGTGCTTTTTAATTTATTTCTTATTCTATATAATTAGGTTCAAAAGCCGATTATGTGACATGTGGTACGATATTGAAACTGATGAACACAGACCTACGACTTCGGCTGCATTCTCATGATGTTAAGTACGGCTCGGGTTCAGGCCAGCAGTCCGTCACTGCTGTGGATCTGACCGACGACCATAATAGTCACTGGCAAATCAAGGCAGCTTCAGGAGAATCATGTAAACGAGGGTGAATATCTTAATTTATTATATAAAACATCTGCAAAGAATAATCCCCTAGGGATAAACAAGTATACTGCCACTATATGAGACTGGTAATATATTTAAGTAATATAAAATTATGAGACTTATTAAACTTATGTTTATAGACAAGTGACAATTTTTTTTATAATTCATTTTGCTTAAATTTAATTGCTTTGTATTAAATTAAGATACTAGTAATAATAATGAATCAGGAATAATTAATACAATGTAGTTAAATAAAATTATTTTATTCAGTAGTTGGTTCTAAATACATCTATTATTTTAGGTATAAAGGTTTTGTGCAATAATAAAAAAACATTATATAATCCCTTAAAACTTAATACACACCTACTGTTAAATGGAATATTAAATATCAAGATCACAGTTTCATATTCTATTAAGGGAAATAAAACTTAAAAATATTTTAATGATCATGGTTATGAATTATCAGCTATTTATTTTTTCCAGGGCACCAATCAAATGCAACTCAGTGATTCGACTGCAACACATAGGTACTAAGAAAAATCTTCACTCACACCATTTCTCATCACCACTCTCGTCTAATCAGGAAGTGTCATGTTATGGTGATGACGATGGAGAAGGTGATAGTGGTGACAACTGGACTGTTGTTTGTAATAATGATTTCTGGAGACGAGACTCTCCAGTGAAATTGAAGCATGTTGATACATCATCGTAAGTTTTTTTATGTATTTAGAATTGTGGCAGACAAACTTACGGCCCACCTTGTTAGTAAGCAGCAACTGTCACCTATATGCATGAACAATACTACCGACATGAGGGGACAAAGATGTTATTGCCTCTAATACTGTTTTTTCAATGCATACTCTACCCCCTACAACTGACACAGCTTAGAAAGAAATCTGCTTAGTGACTAAAATAGGTGTAATTGACTTTGACATGATATGCATATCCTTTCCACTCCGTATAATATACTCTACAATCCCAATATATATATAAAATGATATATTTAGTATAGTATCTTTTATATGTATATTTTAATATGTAGATTTATTAACCATATCTTAATAAATATATTAACTGTACATTTTAATATTCTATTTACATATTTAGTACTCTTGCACTACCATTATCCGCTAAATACATCCATTGTCACAGTGTAAGGTTGTCTAGAAGAGATATCTTTCAGACATAAACCCACCCTTGCTCAGATTTTTTTTATAAATACACTGTTTTTTATTATCTGTATAAGTGCAATATATATATATATATATATATAATACCCATACATTTTTGAGAGATTGAGATGTTTTCCTAGGGTAAAATATATGTGATCATTATTCTAAATTAGCTGTGCCTCAAAGTTACCCGTGACTTCAACTGCTAATTTAAAAGTGATGGTAAACATCCACATTGCTACACCTACCTATTTTGTACAAAATGTATAAGACAATTATTTCAAGTAATAAAGCTCATAAAATGTTTACTGTCATTAATTTATCAATAGTGTAATCAACTTCTTTCTTTTATTTATATCTATAGATTGTTATTTATTTATTTATTATTTGCTTAAGTATTGATCATTATAATGTTGTTTACAGATTTTTAGCGGGTTCTGGTCGTACATTTGGGCGCCCGATAAGTGGACAAGGCGAAATTGTGGGAATCTCGTCTCAATATGGAGCTTACACAGATTGGCAAGCAAAAGAAGGCTTATTTGTTCATCCCAGTGATCCTCTACCACATCAACAACATGCTATACATTCAGAGTTATAATATGTAGTGTGGATTAGATAATTGTATTTTATTTAGTTTGTAATTTTCATAATTTGTGATACCATTATATAATAAGGATTAGACTTGAATGAACTTACATGTCTAATGATTTTATCTTGTATGGCCAGAGTTTCATTTTTAAATACAGACTATGTCACGAATGTTCTTTTTTTTACTTTTGTTTTGTTACTGTAATTTGAAGATTTTTATTATTAAGAATATCGATAGTGGGATTAATTTATAATTTCTAATTACTCACTACTTGACACTGAGGTGTGTAAATAAAATAATTATACAAAAACCATGTTCTAATTTTGTATGTTTTAAAACTAAGAAAAAATTGCTCATATTGTGTAATTATGGTAATTTTAAGTTATTTACATTCATAATACATTTATGTATAATGGAATGTATATATGAAAATACTTGCCAGTATCAGTACGATGGCAGAAAAACAAAAAATCGCTACAATTGGATTTGAGGAATTGTTCCATATTTCTGAACATGAATATTGAAGGTGATTCGGGGAATCAGCATTGGTAGATGTTCGAGTGTAATAAATGGCAACCGGCATTACCCGCTCCAGCTTTGGACTTGAGATCTCAGTAACTTATAATTAGTGAATGAAGTTCGATAATTTATGATTATTGAATTATGTCTACTACCAAGATATGGTACGAGGTGAGTGCAAATGATACAAATGACAAATGAGATATTCCTTGAATGGCGATTGTAATTCTTTCTTAACATATCTAGTATTCTGGTACTATATTGATTATTCAATATATGCATATTCATTTTTCACTATTAAATTATAAAAAAAGAATAGAAATAGACATTAATATAAAAATGCGGTTTTATTTTTCTTACAACTTTATTGTCAATATTCATTGTTACATGAGGATACTAACCCCTGAGAAACTTCAAGTTACAAATAAGTGCTTCAACACCATCGAATTTATAATACTGTTGGTCTAAAAATCTATTTGGGAATTATAACTAAACGTTATAAGCCAGAAAATATAAGTACTTAAGTTTATTTGATGCATCCATGTCATTTATTGGAGTAAAAATAATTTAGATCCGATGTTACTGAAGCACGGAAAGAGTAAGCTATAAAAATATAGTTATAAAACTAAATAAAAAAACTCCAAACGATTGTGAACTTGCACCCTAGCCCTCAGTCATGGTGCCTATTTGACTATGCTTGGAAGTTTATTACTAAAATTTAAGTTACCTTAATTCATTTCTGAATGAACAAAATACACATTAGTATTTTATAATGTTACGGCACGAGTGGATCCTTGAGACTTTGTACTATTGTAATACATATTGTTTACTTTTATTAAAATTGTATTTAAAATGTAAAGTTGGAAAACATGAGAAATTAAAATCAGAAAATATATTTTTATTAAAATAAATAAATGCACCGGTGGATACAAACATAGAATAAGAAATATAGGAATAAAATAAAAATCCAACGGAAATTGATTTTTGTGACAATAATACTTTAACAAAGACATAAATGTAGATAAAACGTTTATGTAACCTAATCAATAGGGCTCTAACCCATCGAACATTGGTCCACTGGTTATCTTCGGGGGTACATGGACCCTTTGAAGGAAGAATTCATTTAATTAAATTACTTAGTTTCAAGTTAGCACAGTTTATTGGCTAGTACGCTGTTTAGTTTTTCTAGTGCATAGGTAAGGTTGGTGTACAACTTCTTGTCGCAACCGTGCTCTTCAATCGTGCTGAACCGGAATGTTCGGAAATTTTTCTCCATATCAATATAAGTGACAGCTTGCATCAATGGACACAAGATAATTTTTGTATGATCTTGAAAGTTAATCTGTAAGTATAAATTATAGTTAAATATTTTCTTAAATGGTCGTAATAAAACAAATTTATTTATTTCATTTTAGAAAAATGCAACATTCTTTTCCTGTGACGTATGTATTATATTGAATAAAAAGATGAATCGAGAATCAAATACTTGATTTTTTAAATATTTACATTAATCTACATTTGAAAACATACCTGTAATGTTCCATTCGTTAGATACATAATGACGGCCAGTGTGGTTCTGAACCATTGGTGGAGATGTGGCAACCGCGATAGTCCGTCACTCTCTCTCACTGGTACAGATGCACCTATACACAATTCAAACATATTTTATACTATATTATAAAATGTGTATGTAACATAGGTTACGACATCTCAGCATTTTATAAGAATGTTCGATGAAAGGATGACGAAATAGATATTATAGTGGAGGGCTGCAAGTACTAGGGAGTTAATAAGGAACATAACTGGAGCTTGCTAGCATTTAATTATATGACACAATCATGCTTTATGTTTTTTCAGACACAAGTTTTACTTCATATATTTTCATAAACATAAGATGGTGCATACATGGATATCTAATCCAATCTTAATATTGACATCTATCAAGTTATACGATTAATTAAGTTTACGTGTATTATAAACATGTGTGTTATTATTTTTTTATTGGGGGTATTGGGGTATTTGGCCCTCTCTTTTTCAAATGTGTTGAGTCATATTATATTTTTATTTACATACCTGCTTTCATGAGATGTTCAGTCATGTATCTCCTGAAGTATGTGAGTAGTTTCATTTTCTTGTCAAGTTCCTGTGGGTATTCTCGCATTGTCATATATTGTTCCTGTCCTTGTCGGTTAATGTAGTGCACATTTCTGGATAAAAATAAGAGTTATATTTTACTATTTTGAATGCTATTAGGTCATTTTCAAGTATGTAGTTGTCATCACCTATAGGCAAACACAAAATAGGGTGCACTTCATAGTTATTACATTTATCCTTATTCATAGGAGCATTATCAGTTAACATAATAGATCTAACCAACACTAAAAGTGAATCTAGTATATATATATATATCTATATTTTGGCTTAACATATAGGCTACTTACAGTCCATTAGCTAACATAATAAGCTTGGTGGTATCATTGAACATGACGCCGACGCTCTCGTCGCAAAGCTGGTATCCAAAGCCATACTTGTCGCTATAGTCAACCCACTTGCCGACCCACACTAATGGCTGCGCGGCTGGATCGCTCAGTTCGTCAGTAAGGCATTCTGGACGACATTTTAACTGCACGATTTCCATAGGGAAGAAAAGAAATATAATATAATAATAATAACACAAATAAATTTTCCCAGCACCTTCTAGTCCCAAGCAGAGCTTGTGTTTTAGGTACTAGACAATTATTATAAATACATTTGGTAATTATATACATATACCACATATAAATAGAAAACAATCAGACCGATACAAACAATAAAACTGATATTCATTAGAGTATCTGATGAATATCACCATAATTGATTGTAATGAGCGATGAATCGAATGTGCAACCATCAGAAACAAGGTGGTGTGCTCCATTGCTGATCAATAAAGTGAAAAATACATATGTTAACTTGCCGACAAATTGTAAACTAAATATGCCATTCCTTTAGATATTGATGTAGGTTCTCCTTTGCACCTAAATTATTTATTGCGATTTTACCCACCTTGTTAACAAGCAGAGCGGCAAGTTGGTCGCGGAGTGCGATGAGATTCTGTCTGTGCGAAGTCGGTTCCACGGCCCGCGGTTCAGCAGTCAACACGTCTCGTTTCACTGGCGAGTCTACCGCCATTGCCATTTGTTCTAAAGTAGCATTTGGACTAGTGTAAATATAAGATTCTATAGGCTGTAGTATCATGCTCATTTTCATTGATTGATAAGAAATGTTGCATTACAAATACATTTAGAGCGCGAGAAATACCTACAATGCATTACCTATAATTCCGTTAGATTTAAACAAAAAATTGTGATTTGAGTGTGACATTTCTGCAGAACATTTAAAAGCCTGCGCTCTGTATTATCCAAACCCAACGCCGTCCACGTTTAAGTTGTAGTAAGCGAATGTTGCATGGTGAACTTCGGCTATATCAACCAAATGTAATTATTCCGTGTCTACTATCGGAAAGGCAGCATGCTGTATATTAAACGAGTTATCGAATAATGATTAGAGATAAACGATACATAGAATAGTATAATGATAAGTATGTCGATACTATTTAAATTGTTTTCTTAGGCGTTATCGTTAGTAATTCTATAAGGGACAGAGACAATGATATAATATTCAAATATCTGTATTTTTTAGAGGGACTCCTACAGGTCTGTACACCATTTTATATCTTTGAATGAAAAATAATTCTGCACAATACATTTAAACATAAATTACTCACGACAATGATATTGTATTTTTACAATATATATACATTGGCAGGAAAAGAATTGTTAGTAACGTGGTCTAGCTCCGGGCTAGAAATGGATCATGTCAGGATGACTTCCACAATCCCCCCTGGAAACATTCGTGATAAATTCCTGGTGAATTTGCTACGATGGGTTAACTGACCTAACTTCATGCTCATCTTATCATCCACTATTGATGTCCCGCCAGCGTATATCGTAAGCGCAGGCGGGTGCCCAATTCTATAACTAGCAATTAAAATATAATATATACGACATATATGATAAAATATGACTTACCATTAGAATGAACCTCGTTGAGAGGGCGGCGATTCAGTGACATGCTCTCCAGTTGGTCTGTACGCGGCGCAGTTGTGAGGCAGGAGAGGGGCAGCGCCGCCGGCAGTATACCAGACGAGAAGAACTCATGCTGCAGTAACTTGTCGACGGAGGGCCGCCGCGCCGGGTTCGACTGCAGCTGCAGTACTATCATGGAGGCGGCTGGCTTCCGGAGGGACGACGGGATCCTTTCACACACGTGACATACACTTCAATTCATGACCTCAAAATATGTCGGGCAAGCAATAATTTACAGTACACGGTAAATGTAACAACGAATGGGGAGGGTCTTTTATGTATATCGTGACATCACAATTCATAATTCAATATATCAAGTACCAAGACAAGAAATTTGAAGTACTAATGAAACATGCAATAATAATTTCGCAAACTATAGTAATATTTGAAATAGACACTTTCGTGCGCGTGTTTGTCCTCATTACCTTTTTACAATTAACGGCAGAACAGATGTTAATGAAATTTGGGAGTGAAGACAAATTTTCGTCGAGAACGAACATAGGCTATCTTGTTTTTTAAAAAAGACAGGTGAATCGAGGGTACCAGATAGTATTTATTATAATTGTAAAATATGTCACGTCACAAAGGAGGGCACAAATATGACCAACTGTGACAAGACCGAGGCGAGAGATCAAATGTCATAAAATTCGTATCACGTAATTTATATATAGATGGGCAATAATTTACGGATACAAGTGCAAGATACAACACACCATGCACATTTATTGCGAATTTTTTAACACCATTTAAATCTTAACAATTGTACCATACGATACACAGTCTTAGTTACAAATGAGGAATGAAATTAAAACCATGAATGACATGAACACATACTATAGTAGAGGATTCAAATTCTGTTTCATAAGCCTCTCAACTTACAATTTATCTTCTGAATATTGTACATGATCAAATAATACTGAATAACTATTATAGGATAATATGCAACAACAATTAAAATATTACATTAAAAAAACTCGTAAAAAAATTATCCTAATAATCAGTACTCGGTAGGAACTCCAAAAAATTATAGCATCATGAAAAATTACATAAATATTAACTTCATTTTGAGTATTAAATTATAATTATTCAGTGAGTTATTTACATAAATTTGTTTACGTTTTATGATTTGTTTTAGTTTTCTGTAGTCAATTGTTATATCACAAATGGTAGTATTAATTCACGTGTAGTAGTCACAGAAGCAAACATTAGCGACTACAGTTGATCTGCAGTCGTCGCTGTAGGTCCATAGGAGCGGTTCACAAAATGATGCACGTAGACAGATGCACATAAGCACTGTAAACCCCGCCATCACCTCTACATTCAAATGATTCGTAACAACCTGTAGTAGTGTTCGACTGTATTATGGTCGATTACCGCCTGAGCGTAACGGCTACACATTGCTTTCCAGGGGCCAGCGCAAATTACTCGCATCGCTAGGTATACTCCCTCACTAGACAATACAAGCGAGCTCTAATGAATTTAACTTACACACTGTAGAACTTTTTCATGAGGGATGGGGGTAAATAGTTATAAATCGTTTTAATCGTCGAAGTAATCAAAAGTTGTCGAAGTCGTCGAAGTAATAAGTAGTCGAATGATAAAAAGCTCATGAGCTCACCGATGGTCAGGCGTAATCATTATATGTATATAAACAGCACAAGTCATTATACTATCATGTGACAGCTGTGACCATCTCTTTTAGATCACTAAGATGTCATGCCTCTTATTCTGTAATTTCCAAGTATATACCAAACAGACAACATAATATAACAAACAGCGCTTTAGCATATGGTCTTACTTTTGACGGTCGCGGGTTCATTCCTTGCACGATATAAACATTTGTACTTAGTATGTTATGATTGTTGGCATTGGCCTTGGTATTTTTATGTATATTATTATGTATTATGTATGTATTTTCAAAAAATAATATTATGTATTTTCTCTGCTTAGCTTGCGATGAGATGACGAAGGAGAAAATAAATCAAGAACCAATAAAAACTTAATCATATAATTATTATGCATGGCAATTATTCTATATTGCATTATAAGTATTTTAATATCAATATAGATCATTAATTTTGCATGTAGTCAGAGTGTACCGTCATTCATATCACCTTTACTATGTGAATAACAGAATGCAGAATGTTTAAAATAGTATGTAAACAAATGTATACAGTGGTTGACATTGTATATTGATGTATGTACATTGATATATGTGACTCCATTTCAGTTTATTATTCATTATTTTTTTGTTCTTGTCATTAAGCCCATTACTATTAGTATATAATAGAAACAATAGAAACTATGGATATGTTCAATATTTTCCATTTGTTCATATTTAATCATATTCAGCTAGGCATCATCAACATCATGATTAAGACAGTGTTCCCAAATAAGAAGGTCTGATTGATCTTATCCTGAGTGTTTAGATCTAAAATATAGGTACATGACAAATATACCTATATTTTAGAACTAAAATTCTTTTAAAACTATTATGTAACTATATATGTACAAAATGATATAATTAAATATTGTATAGGAATTCTAAGTATATTTTATACCTGTATTCACACTGCTTGATCCTTTTGTATGTGTCTTTTAAGGTGGATGTTTCAAATGGTGGTTTGCCAACCAGTAAAGTATACATGATGCAACCAAGACTCCATATGTCCACTTCAAAGGAATGGCCCTTTTTCGTCAATATCTCTGGCGCTATGTAGTTTGGAGTCCCACATAAAGTCTGCTTTCTCTCTCCTGGAAATATCAACCATATAGAAAATGATATTTTATGTGTTTTATTAAAAAATAAGGAGGCGTCTAAAGACATCAAAGATGTACAATGACTTTATAACCATTTTTGGTAGTATTCAAAGGTTTATTGTGTAATCAACAGCTACTTATTACTTTTATTTATTCAGTCATAACACAATACAAATGAGAACATAATGAACTAAGAAAACAATTCTTTCCATACCTTCATATTCAATTCTAGCTGCAAGGCCAAAGTCACCAATCTTAACATGAAGATCATCATCAAGAAATAGATTGCCAAGCTTCAGATCCCTGTGGATGATCCTTTTGCTGTGTAAATACTGCACACCAAGGAGAATCTGGTGCATGTAGAACCTTGTTTCTGGTTCAGTTATAGCTTTTCGCCGCTTATGGAGCTCCATCATTGACTATAGGATAAAACAAGAGTGACTACAAATCAAAACATCATTTGTTTAGATTGGGATAATGACATAAACCAATAACAAAAAAATTATATATACAACCTGCTAAAAATTATGGGATAAGAAAGAATAATCTTTGTATTTTGTGAATAAATTTTAGGACACAGAAGGTATAATCATAATAAATTTCAAGGATAAGTATATTACTGTAGAAGCTAATAAGGAAAAAGTAATACTAATACTGTAAATATATGGGAGTCACATTTTTCTTTTATTTCTGTGTCCAACTTGTAATCAGTCTAAGGCAATGGGCAGATGTGGTAAAAGTTAAATGTTGTAGGTACAGTGTGATTCTCAGTAGAATCTTCATCTCTTCAGTTAGTCCTGAGTGGATTAGGTTATATGTTATCATGGACTATCAGTTGGTAGGCCACATACGGCATATTTTAGAGCAGTTTCCTACATAAACAGACTGATGATTGACTACCCTGTCAAGGTTATTATTGAAAACTACTGCAGCAACTAGTTCATATTGAAAGGGTGATCTGTATTATAAAATATATTGACTTATTCTTTATTTTACTCATTTAGAAATACAATTATATAGTGCTTGGTTCCTAAATGCCTTATTGAACAAATTTTATAGTGAGAGTAATTGTATGACAGATATAATAATAATGTTCAAGATTGTTAATAATAAAGTGGCCTTACTGGCAATGTATAGTACATGTATAGTAAGGTTGACTTTTAAGCAGTCATGGAAATCATCATGGTGAATCTGATATGATAATAAATCTATGTAGATTGCAGTGCTACAGGTTCATGCACCAGACAATAGCCCAAACAACCCAATGAATAAAATAAAAAAAATCTGATCAGATAGGCTTACTGACATTATGTCTAACGTGACCAGACGTCCCGTTTTAAACGGGACTGTCCCTTTTTATAACAACAAGTCCCGGTGTCCCCGAAATTAACTCTGGGACGCAAAATTGTCCCGTTTTTGGAAACTCGGTGAAAATATGTTTAGTCGAGCAGGCCGGTTGTGATGTAGATTATTGTTGATAATTAAGGTGAATATAAAAAAACGTGCCATTTTTATATTGTCTTGTAGACAAGCAATTAAAGTTTTAAATTCACAAAGAAGTATCATATATCATTTTAAAAGTATTTAGATAATGATTAAGACGGCGCTGTTAATTTAATTGACTTATATAAAAGGTGGCAATTCTAGCTTCTGATTTTGAAAAAAGTCATTTTTCTATTTAATCGACGATACGTCCTCTCCTCTAGGTTGTCTGTAAGAGACTGCATATAGCGTGAAGACTGCCTATTGTAATTACTTTTCTATTTACTGTATTTTCTTATTGTTTATTTTGTGTACACAATAAAGAGTTAATTATTATTATTCTTTTATATATGTTACATCTCCCTTTTTACGGGGGTAATACTTTTTTTTAAAGAATTAGCTTTAATAAATTGTTTCCTTTATTGACTGTCTATTAATTGATATAAATAAATGTCCCGTTTTGAGTCAAAGAATAAATGGTCACGTTAATTATGTCATATCTTTTTCCACTGATGACCCGTCAGTGGTAACCCAGGATATACCATAATGATAAATAAATGTTGTAAACTTACCCGTCGTTTACAGAGTTCAAGTATAATGTAAATATTGAGAGAGTCCTCGAAGAAGCTGTGGAACCCAACAACATGTTTGTGTAGCAACGAACGATGTATGGAAATCTCTTGAGCCATCTTTTCCTTTTGACTGGATTTCACCATAAGTTTTTTGGATACTATTTTGCCAGCATAAATCTGGTTGGATGCCATATCCTGTATTTCGTAGCATTTTGCAAAGCCACCCTAGAAATAATATTTTAACTTGAATGTCTAAATAGATATTGAGATAATAAATTAAATCCGAAAGTTTATTATTGTCACCAAAAAATCTATGTGTAACACTTTATTAACTAAAATTCAACTTGTAAATTTCTATAATATATCTAGTAATTAGAATACAAAAACTTTTGAAAACCAAATTTTTTTTTAATTTACATTTATGACAATAGTTTTATATTTAAAGACATAAATTACTATATTTCAAATAACGAAAATTAAAGTACATGAGTAGAAAGCATTTTTTTTATCGACAGATGGATAGTTCGTTACAAGTTTAATATTAAGAATTGAGTATGTTACAAAGCAAATATATTTGTGATTACATATTATAATTATACAAATATTAGAATGAATAATGTTGTATTAAATTAACAAAAAAGTACACTTTACTCACCTTGCCAAAAAATCTTAACCTTTGATATGTGCAGCTTGTTTGTGGATCATGTATGATTTCAGGGATTTCTTTCTTTTCGTCTTCTTTGATCGACGTCATTTTAAACTAGCTTAAAATATAAATTAGGTCTAATAAATTGTTAATAACTAACTGAAATAACTTTGACGATTGTTGACAAATTCACAAAGGAGATTTCAAACGGCTTTACGTTTGAAGATTTAAACTATGCTCTTCATGAATGTTGTTGGTTACGTTGAATTTGACGGTTGTGTATTGTAGCCAATCACCATGTGGAAATTTCTACCATGAGTTGCTAACAAAAAAAATTAAATACTACTAAATTGAAGTGAATAAAATACCGCTCTATGAATATTCCTATATTTTAAAATATTATTGTAAAATATACATATTGCATGTTAGAATATGAATTATTTCGTGTAATTAGATAGTATTATCTGTAAATAAAAAAAATCAATCTGACACTTTGTAGTTTATTAATAATGTACCTATATTTTTAAAAAGTTTTATGGTAGGTTTTTAAGGAACTCATTTTTACTTGTTCCGTGTTAAAGGTTTCTAATGCTCTTCTAAATATTCTCTTATTATATCGTAACATAAATAGGCCAATAATAAATTGTGTCTATTTCTACCAAAGAGTAAAGTAAGTATATCAGCTGTTCATTTTATTTCACGTAGTATTTAGTACAGATAACTAAAGTGAGAACTTAGAAAAAATATCGTATTGAAGGCGGGAATATATGACATACCGTTGTGTATGGCATATCGTTGTGTGGCAGTCCGTTACTTTTAAAGTTCAAATACTGAATTAATACTGGTATGTAGGTAAGAACAATGGGTAATATTTCTCTTGGTTGAGAACAAATTATTAAAAATTTTCTCGTAGGAGTGTAAAAAAATAAGGTACTAAAGTTTTCATGAGAGTTCGGACTGTTGGATTTCGAAATAATAATATGTAAATTGGGGCATAATACAACTGTTGTTTAAATGTACACCACAAATATGAATATTGTAATTATTGATTGTTTTCTGTATTTTTCAAAATTCATACAGATACAACGGATGGATTGACTAATCAATGCACATCCCAAACTGCTCATTGTAGAATTTTCTTAAGTAGGTATATGCGATATAATACACTAGATGTATTTTTTAATAAATAATACAATGAAGATCTAAAATTCTAAATACATCTATACATATAAATAAAATTGGAGTGTCTGTTTGTAATATTGAAATAACCGTTTTTACACCAAAATAACATTTTTTACAATTTTTGTCTGACTGTCGGCCTGTTTGTTCTGGCTAATCTCTGAAATGGGTAGACCGATTTTGACGGGACTTTTTTTGGTCAGTATCTGATGTAATAAGGAGTAACTTAGGCTACTTTTATTTTAGAAAAATAAAATAAAATTCCACTTGTATCATATAAGCAAACTGGCGGGAAGTAACCTAATATTACCTAATATTTACATTATTCCACAGATACAAAATAGGAAAAAATGTAAAGGAATTAGACTCATGGAGATGGCTTACCTAAGGCGTACCAAGTTTACTTAATTACGTCCGTAGATATATTATATTAGACCAATACAGTGATGTCGGTTTGATGTATGCCGTTCGTCGTGACTAGTGATTTATGGATAAAAAGCGTAAATAATCTATTTTACAATTATTTATGTAAAGGTTTAGAGGCACAGTACTTATCCTGCTTTAGTTGCTGCATATATAAAATCTTTATAACAAGAATTGAATAATGAATGACTATCACGAGGAAAGCTACTTCTTTGACGGCTTCGCTGGTCTAGCGGTTTAGTACACCGCTTTACTTCCTATGAGCGCGTGTTCGATTCCTCGCACGGTGCAATTTGTATTTATGAGTGTGAGTGTTTGATTTGTTTGTATCGGTCTTCTGAGTGTTTTCTATATATTAGGAAACATTCCTAATTACGTATGTATTTATAAAAAAAACTAAGTATTTCTGTCAGTTATCTAGTACCTATAACATAGTTTCTGCTTAGCTTGGTATTAGATGACGCTGTTTGAATTGTCCACGGATATTATTATTATCTTTTATTTAAAAAAAAGTAGAAAATATCATGGGTTTGCTACTAATCCATAAAAAATGTTCAAACGGAATTATTTAGGTCTAGGAGTAAGTAATATAATTATTTAGGTTTAGGGTCCCATTTAGGATAGAAACCATTATTTTAGGTGATAAACCAGTATTATGTATTTTTCAAAAATTTGACATGTTATAATGTAAAATGATATATTAACAGACATAATAAAAATGATACAAACCGTAGCTTTTTTGGGATAAGTTTTTTTTTATGAATACAATGCGGATATTCCCATATTCAGTCAGTGCGTCATTCGCTTGACGCTTGCTGCACTGAGAAGAATTATGAGATGGTTCTGCTATTCGGCGAATATGGTTTAGCTTTTAAGTGCAAATGCAATTAGGATCCTGAATATGTGCATATATTGCAGTTTAGCTTCTCTTTGTTGGAATAGAACTTTACTAACTGACTGATATCAAAAACTAACGAGTCGGGTAACTTTACTTCCATACTTTCATTCTGCCTAAGTTTAAAGCCATCTAGTTTTAAAGATAGATAACTTTGAATGGCGTATGGTACACCATATATAATATGTTAAGTAGATTTATTAATAAAAAAATAATTGATAATTATTTAATGTCAATAACAATCAAGGCACGACGTTATCTCGTATCCGATAAGTGTTTCCTGTGATGGCGATGTAGGGTTTCATTACAATCGTTTACAGGAGTAATGACGACAACATACGTACCCTCACGGTCAAATAAAACCAATAGGCTGAGTACATTGTGATAAGATGAAGCGACAAATATTATTTACCTGTTTGAAAAACAATGATCATCAGTTGTATCGAACGTGTTGAATTTTGGATAAAAATTTGATTAAATGAAATCTGATACCTATATATGAGTTATGGGTAATATAAATAATCTTTATATGCATATAAAGATTATTTATATATTTTTTGTCGTCGTCACTCTCTTCATTAATGATTATATTCAATAGTTTTATAAACTTTGTACAATAATTAAATACTGTTAAATTGTGCGTTAAGATGCAGCTTCCTGATGTATATTCATCATTGTTGTGCAAATTTACATATACAATCATATGCACGATTTGTTCTAAATCAGCCACTCATTTATTTTCAACCTACCGTCAAAAGCAGAGGGTTTTCAATTGTATAAAAAATATTGTAAATTTCCGTATTTACTTCTCGGAAAAATGTAGCTTTGGTAGTTAAATAAAGCGGTGACTAAGGTTACCCGGTTACGCTACCCGCTCCGCTACACGCTAACGCAATCACGCAAATGCAGTCTAAAAAATCGGTCAAGTGCGAGCAGAACTCGCAGGCCGTAACCGCAATACATGGATTTAATGCGAATTGTTTATTCCACAAGTCAATCAGTATAAAACACAGCTCGATACTTAGCACGCTATTATTTGAATAGCAGTCACTAATCACTGAACTAATTTATATTAAATGTGTTTTCCATTAAGCAATCGTCCAGGATGGATATGCATTTTGTATCTGTGATCTTAAGTGTTTTCTATTTAATTTGTCGCGGAAGTGCCGGCCGATCATGGGTTACCGTAGATGATTGTAAGATTATTTTGTATTACTTATTAATGAAATAATTAAATATTATGAAATAATAATTATATATTAAATCCGCTGCTAACTACTATTTGCGCATTTAAAGAATTAATTATAAATTACTTTAATTTATAACATTACAATACATCATTAACTTACTTTACAAGTTAATAATCAGAATAGATAAGTATTGATTATTATAAAAGATCATGAAATACCAGTTAAGAAATTAGTAAGACCAGGCTAGAATAAATAGTCTGCAAATGAGTATACTCCTATTTAATGTAGGTACATTGTATATAATTACTATTATTACAAATAATAACCAAATGTAGGTGGTTCTAAGTACATACGGTGATACGAAGATACCTACATGTTGAGTAACACGATAGAAAAAAGTAATACATATTACTTTTTCAATCAGAACACTTTGGTTTTGAGAATTCTTATTGCAATTGAATGGTGATTTTTTAATGAATTGTGCACACGATTGTGTTCGATAATACGCTGGCGGGCTACCGGGCGGTTAATAAAGCATAGTAGAGAAAGAAGTCAGGTTGAGCCCACAGAACGTAGAAGTAGTTATCTCCGTTATGTGGGCTAGTCCACTGTGGTGGTTTCACCAGAAATTAAACACGATGGTTTCTATGTCCGCGTGGATGTGGTCTCCATTATTAATAATGCCTTTCCCAAGCTTTTTTTACGATTCATAATAATTATTTTTGTGAACTTACGTATCGTAAATATCGTATACTTACTGAAGTATACGATATATACGATTGTATACTGACATTATTATGTTAATTACCAGATATAGACTTTATACAAAGTTGAATGCGTTGAAATGCGTGGGTACTTCTGGCTCACTCACTTCGGTCTTTCGGTAAATTCTTCAGTACTGCCACTAATTAATTGGTTGATTGAATAGTAACATCTCCGTAGTTCGGAGCTACAAAACTGCTAAATCTGTTTTGTATCTAAAACACATATGTATATGTAAACAGTTTATACGAATTGGTAGTTGGTAGATACTTAGGTATATTGTACAGGTAAAGAAAAATCCAACAACATTGAACTTGGAATAAAATTAGAATAGGAGAGTGTTATAGAAACAATTTCAAGGAAATCATTCTAAAATTACGTGACCGTTATCTAGGATCTTTCTTTTGATAATGGAATGGCGCACCTGCCTGCACTAACTGTTTACTCTGGCGGGGCAGCAGTGGAGAATGATGAGATGAACCTCATGTTCATCTTATCAGTCAGGTCAGTTATCCTATCGTAGTAAATTCACCATGAATTTATTACCAGGGACCACGTTGAGGTCAATCAGACATGGTACATTGCTAGCAATGGGGTTATTAGTCCACATTAACATTACTACACACTAACATTCCCCTTTCATCCTCGTTGTCGCGGTTGGGGTCGTCCATTCATTAGAAATCACGTAGTTCACAAGGTTTTTAGATAAAGTCTTTTTAATCAGATCGACCTCCATCTAATAAAAAAAAAATGTCTATGATTTTGTATGATAAAGCAGTGTCGAATTTATTCTAACATATATGTATTGTGTCATAAATCCAACATTGTAATTATTGTTAACTAGCTGACCCATGCAACTTTTCACTTCGTCTGCGTCATATTTTCCCTGTTATTGGATAATTTTTCATTGCTTTTTCGCTCCTACTGGCAGTAGCGTTATATAGCGATCCAAGATATATAATAGTCCTCTAAAACTCTCCAGCTTATATATAAATAGATAAAACTAGGTATATTTTATATAAACCTACCTGCGTCTATACCGGTGGTTATTCATAATTTTCATTTTGACACATATTTTCTTGTAGCTAATTGATTTTTAATTAGTTTTTAAATACATATGCAAGTAGATAAGCGCGCAAAGATCATGGTTACTTCAAATCATTCTACATAATAATATTTGAATCCTTCAAATTGATATTTTTTATATAATTTTAACAATCGTATTAATCAATTGACCATAGATACAATAAAAACTACATAACTGTATTAATTCCAATTATTATACTGAGGGCAAGAGACTGTTTGTAATAGAGACAATAATTAGTATAAAAACGACTTCATCACGAAAGCGATTTGTTTTAATACCGCGAACTAAATGCAAGTCTAGTGGTGGCGTGTACGAGCCGAAGCCGACCCACTGCGCGGCTGGCACTCTATTGAATAGTAGGTATACGATTAGGGATGATTGATATTCATCGATGGTTAGCGGGAGAATATCGATATTTTAATATCGATGTTAAGTAATAATAATAATAATAATAACCCTAGACATTACACGTAGTCCTAAGCAAGGCTAGTGTTATAAATAGTCAGAACAATAGATCGAAGTCAGGGGACATACATGTACAAATCCCCTAACTTCGGTTGATTCAGATGGAAATAATTTTTCTTACCTTCTCGTGTCAATGGTTGAGGAATCAAATTCACCGGATCGGATCAAACTTTGGCCAGTCAAATAGATTTTTTCTTATCAACGCATAAATTTTCACAGAGAATATATAGGTACTGTGATGCTTATAGATTTGTTAGTCTGTAGGTGATGGTTAAAATTATAACCAGAGATATTTTGATGAATGAATATTGAATATGCATTATCTATTTCCTTTAAATTTTTAAATGAAATTCCAAACACGCTTAGAGAACCCTAATCATGATGCTATTGCCGAGGTCAGGAATTGTTATCAGTTGTCATAGTAACTTCATAACTTTTTAAGGGTAATAATCTATTTGTATGCATTGTTACCCTTTCATTTTTATCCTTGACGTAACGAGAATGAAAAGTAACAATTTGGGCTTTGTGTACCTTAATTTAATATTGTATACATTATCGTAATCTAAAGGTAGGTATTGGTAACAAAAATAAAGTATGTATCTACCACATTAAGGCTACTATGGTAGATACATACTTCACTTAAAAGACTATAGTTAGGCAACTATAGTCTTTTAAGTGAAGTATGTATATTACAAAGTATGAAAAAAAAAACAATAAAATTAGTGAGTTTTAATTACCTATCTATTTTAAATTTCCTACTAAATGTTGAATATTATTTTCACAAATCATAATCTATATATTATTTGTGAAAATAATATTCAACATTAATATAGAATATGGTAGTCGATTTTTGTTTACAATCCAATTCTGTTGACGTTCATATTTATACTAAACACACACATTTTTTTAATATATGCATCTATAGCCAATAGTTATAAAAAAGACATCAAATCGGACCTCACTATAGAACGTAAACTGCATATCACTAATCGATACAGCATTTGGATGTATACTCGATACCTGTCCTACCAGTTATTAATTATTTTAAATTGTAATTCACATGAATGAAAAAGTGTTGATGACCGTCTGTTATGATACCTTTTTAAAACTGAACGGTTGGACGTATCTTAATGAAATTTAATGTAAAGATAGATAGCATACAAGGTCGGCCACAGGCTCTTATATGATCACACAAATAAAAATCGACGACGTTGCGGGTATCAAATAAGTACCTAAACATCTTTTTCATCACACAGTGGAGAATCATGTTCGTATTGAGGATTTACGCGAGTTTCTGAACATGTACAACAAGACCGAAATCACGACACCGAGAGATCAAGACTATGCTGCAGTTGAGGTAATATAGTATTATATATTATTTAGGATCCATAATTGCTATCAATGTTGAAAGATTGACTGTATAATATGTATAAAAATCATATAAACAAACGCTACACGACTTCTCAAAAGTCATGTTTCACAACTTATAACACTTAGCAAATCATACTTTTGATGTGTACAACAACTAATTTGTAAAAATATAGTGTTAAATCTTTCCGATTTTATGTCTTGTAGATTTATATGTACCTACGTATGTACATAGCATTGCTTATTGTTATTGCAATTAAGTATGTTTACCACTTTACGCTTCTAAATAAAACAATATATCTACAGACCCACGCAAGTCAAATAAAGTATATTATAAAATTTGTACGAAATAAATTGTAGAAAAAGGTTTATATGAAATAATTACTTAACTGTTTTTCGTAAAATTTATTATCAACAATAAAAGTTGAGATATAGAGAACTTTTCTATTCATCCTTAGATACAATAAGGATCTTTACATAGTATAAAACAAAGTCGCCGCCGCTGACGCGACCGGTTTTAATGTAGTTTTCAGCAACAGATTAAGGGATTCAAGAGGTAGATTTACATGCGTGTTTATGGTATACCTAGAATAAGTCGAGAAATTTATTTTATATGAATGCATTCGTGCGAAGTTGGCACGGCTCGATGGTAATAAATAAATAAGTGAAATGCTTTATTCAATATATATTGTAACAGGATAGTACAACTGCTCTGCCCGTTCCCAATAATGTGGATTGTTTCGGTCTTGGAACTATAAGTCGGCAGATCCAAGCAATCTTCAATATGAAACCTGACACATCTGACGATGTCAATACACATTTTTATTTTTCTTCCCGAAAAAGACCGCTCAAGGTGCAGGTAAGAAAAGTCATTAATTATTGACCATCGTATAATATAATATCTTATAACAGGTTTAAAGAACTATTTAGAGAGCAGCTAAAACATTTAAAAGCGTTGTTGAAGATGTATTATTACGCGTTATTTGTATTTATCTGGATTTCAACAAGTAATAATTGATAATTTTACAAATTGTTTATAATGAATACGCTTAGATGGTTGTAAAATGACGATAATAATTTCGTATCATATGGATTTTTATCTCATTGGTAATGGGTTGAACCCTCTCGCATAGTGTAATAAACTTCTACCACTTCATGACGGTTTGTTTTTATTTGGGTACTTTCTATTATATATAGTACTCTATCCATATTTTAATATATAAAACTAAATTACACTACAATTATGTATTATCTTTTTCTAATTACACTTTAAATTTAAAAGTATAGAGAAAGATATATTTTCGATAGTTTATAATTTTAAGATAATTTAGATTCAAATTTATTAGTTGTTTCAAATATGGAAATAAATTGCAGGCCCGAAAAATAATTTTATTGTTATAATAGGTATATCCTGGTGAACAGTTTGGACTACAATGGGTGGACTTCGACCCGAAGAGGCGGACTGTGATGATCTACCATGGATTCATGAGTCACAGTAATGCATCTTGGGTTCTGGATATGACTGCAGCCTTTTTACAGAGGGTATATTTTACAAAATTTTAACATAACCACTTATGAACGATTTGATATATTTGAGTCTGAGAGTACATTAAAAAAGTGAAGCAGTAACTCACAAAAATTAAAATAATTTACGGTAGGAGAGATAGTGAGATTTTTTCAAATCATTTGGTTTTATAAAAATACTACAAATATTCTTCTATTAGGTCTTTATTTAAATCGATGTAGAAAGGAACAACAATCTGTTTTAATTCATAAATTTGTTGGTAAAAGTTTAAAGCAGGAAAGTCAATATTTGTCTTTGGAGTACTTTAAATGGAACAATAATTTAGAAGTTATGACACAGCAAGCATGTTTAATATCGTGATCCTGAGCTCCTAAAGAAGTAAACAAAAATATAATATAAAGAAAAATCGGATATAAAAGTAGTAGCTACTTATAATATGTATTACCTATTTTACTTAAAGTTACCTTTTGTTTATCGATTCCAGTCAGTATGAAATATATAATTTAAATTATCTTGCCCAAGTGCCTATAAAACTATAATTTTTAGGAGGACGTCAATGTAATAGCTGTTGATTGGAGTAAGGGAGGCGATACTTGGAAATATTGGCGAGCTGTGGCCAATACGAGACGGGTCGGCTCTGATGTTACTAGGTAGGTACCACGCAATATAGTCCTCATGAATATATATTTTACGTTCCCTTTGCACTAATTTACTTACTAATAGGTCAGAACTCGTACTTGGCAACAGCCAAAGTAGGACTTTTTACTGTATATTTAAAATTTCACTCACAATCTATTTCTGTTTCTATAGTGCGCCATCAAGGTAGATATATCATATTCTTTACTCAAAGCTTCGATCTCCCAGTTTGTAAGAGATTGCTTTAAGCGATAAGGCCGACTTAAAGATTTCTTTTTGTAAATATGTTTCTATTCGCAATAAAGAGTTTTGATATTATTTTACTTATATATAACTTTTCATTATAGGTTTATGCGTCAGCTGATCGCTGCTACAGGGGCTAGAATTAAAGACTTTCATTTTATTGGACACAGCCTGGGCGCTCATATCGCGTCATATGTTTCATATCACATAGGCGGCGTATCCAGAATCACTGGTAAGTTTTTTGACAAAATAATAATTACACTTTGTGTATTTATACTTAACACTAATAAATTAGTGCTAGTTGGTATTTGTATACCACAAGTTAGGATTAGAAAAATGTAAATTTGCAACGATTGTTTACTATTAAACAATGTTTGGCTCTATAGCCAAACGCAAGTTTCTTGCTTGTTCTTCTTGTGATGAGACAGCTTTCCGAAGAGAGTAGATAAAAAAAAATGTTATGACTATTCAAAAGTGCTTAAGTTAAGTTTATATGAAGAAAGGATTTTCTCTTCTACACAGTGCCGAATTATCCTTTAGGCTGAGTAGACAAATACCTAGCGCCGTCACATCGATAGTAGCCCTGTATAAATGGTAAATAGTAAGAAATTTTTATTGGAAAATAAATAAATAACCCTGGACAATTAACACAGCGCCATCTGATCCCATGATATAAGACAACTGATTTAAATATTTATGGTACATTTCATTTTCGTAAAAACATACATAGTATGCATACAAAACACTCAGACCGATACAAACAATCATACTCATGAATGAATACCAATGTTTGTATCGTTCGAGGAATCGAACCCGTGACCATCGGTAGTAAAGTGGTGTGCTAAACTGCTAGACCATCGAGGCCATCGAGTAGCATTGGATAAACTCTTTTTAACATGTTTTAAACAGGGGGGGAATCGAACCCGGGCATTGCATTTCCTAGGAGCCTCGCAATGAATAATGCGGGGTATAGATGGGGTTAATTATAAAGGCTATAGTACCGTTCAAGCTGAAAGCCCAAAAGGAAAAGGTATTCGAACTGAAAAGAAATCCTCAAGCACAAAGTGGAAGATTTATATTAATTTTAAACCTTTACACAAATAGTTCATTTACATATATGCTCAATATTATGAAAACTTCAAAATTTAATATAAAATTTATTACTTGTTTCTTGGTGAAAATTGTAGATACAGTTTTATGTATTTTTGGCTTTCGTTTGAAAATACTGTTTAGAAACGACCTCGTACATTACTGTTTAAAAGTAACCCCGTGCTTATATTATGCACGGGGTTACTTATTGCACAAAACTAATGGAAATCCCTTTCAGACCTGAATTATTTTTTGCATCCAATGGATTTGGTAAATTCCATGTGTCTAAAGTACAATAAGGAGACAGAGAGAGAGAGAGAGAGAGAGAGAGAGAGAGAAAAAAAAAACTTTTTAAAACAAATTAGTAACTAAACTGAGTACTTTATAAGTGAACAAATGAAAACAATCGGAAATTATAAAATTGTTTTAAATTATATCTTATGTCTACAATTGTGCACGCCAGTTTTGAAAGGGATATATATAGCGATATTTATGAACATTCGCGATAACACTTAGAATTCATTTACTTGTTTGCAGCAATATGCTCATTCCATGTAAGTTTAATTCAAGCGCAAAATAGCCTTATTTCTGATACAACGTGAAATAAAACACATGTTACTAATGTAATTTTCTACACATTAATAGCTAACATGTTTTTGAATTCTTCATTGAAGATTAATAATGAAATATTTTTTTGTTTATAATGTTAACTAGCTACCTACCCCGGCTTCGCTCGGGTGTTCATATATTATATATATAAACCTTCCTCTTTAATCATTCTATCTATTTAAAAAACCGCTTCTAAATCCGTTGCGTAGTTTTAAAGATTTAAGCATACATACATAGGCACGGACAGAGAGCGACTTTGTTTTATACTATGTATCCAGTGATGTAAATTAGAAAGTGACAATTAATGTTTTTATATATTAAAAAATACGTATATTAATAGGTACAATATAGTTGGTATAAATTGAAGCTCTCCACATAAGAATTACTGGACTATATTAACATAGATCAGATTACAAAAATGTGTGTATTATAAATTTAATAGTTATATGTTCTTTCAAATTAGTGATAAGTTTGTGGAATAAATGAATAGCAAATAAGAAATAGAGAAACACCTACACATTCTGAAAGCAATTTATATTTACAAAAGGTTTGGATCCAGCTCAACCATGTTTCCTCACGACTGATCATACAGAAAGATTAGACAGTACTGACGCGGACTTTGTGGATGTTATTCACACAAATGGAAGATTATTAAAGAAGATCGGATTTGGACTGCCGGATCCGACAGGTAAGGGTGGCCACACATTTTCGAGAATCAGACGGCTCTGGTAGAAGGCGACGGCAGCCTACCGCAATTTTTTATAGAAATATAAAGTAGGTTGTAAGCTCTGTATTATTGTACCTAACATTTTGTTAATGTTGGTTAATGTTAGAATTAATAATACAAATACAATAATCGTATGGACAATGAAACTAAGTTATGTATTTCTTATTGTAAATAGCTATTAAATTTAACTTTAATTTTTATTAAATAAAATAATATTTTCATTAAATAGTTTCCTAAGTTATTGTATGTATGTTCGTGTATAAGGTATTTATAATATGGGCCATAAATAACCAGAAAGAAAGAAATGATAAATATATTCATAAATTAATAAATAGATGTGTAAATTAATGTGCAATTAATTGAAATTATTACACACTAGTGACTTATTCCAGTCAGAAGCGGGTTTCAAGGCGGCGGTTTTCAAGTCAGTCCCTTTACTGACCATCCCGCCTATTAGTATAGCTTTATTTGTACAGGTCATGCTGACTTCTATCCAAATGGTGGTATGAAACAGCCGGGTTGTTCCAATGAAACAAACTCAGTGTGGTCACGACTTACGCCATCTTTCTTTTCAAGTAAGTTTCTCAAATTTACTAACATTTCATAATAACTCCATGATAATAACTTTAGTGTTTTTAAATGTATTTTGCTGACGGTACATTTGTTGGTAGGTGGTATGCGTCGTCTATATACATGAACAACTGTTATTGTTACGGTCATCATGAGAGGGATGCGGCATTATTCGTTGTCATTCCGGAGGACCAAGGTGTCATGCCTTTATATCCGGATATTTCATTGCCTTTACCGAAATTGCTTCAACCGAAACATCCAACAAGCTGCTTGTTCTTTAAAATTGGTACGACAGAGGTACTCCTGCAGATAACTTCTTACAAAGTCTCGGTAATATACTAAAAAACTCGGTAAATAAGTTGATAATAAAGTTTTATTGTTTTTTAATTTAGGACTGAAACAAGCAATTTGTAGTCACGGACGTGCTTATTTGTTATTTACGGAATCACTTATTAACGGCAACTGTACGTTTAGAGCTCATCGGTGGAACCTCACCTATGAAGGGTAAGAATCTTCTTTTATTAGATACTATAAAATAATTGAAAGTAAAATATATTAAGAAATTATAACACACTTATATCGAAGTGAATCGAGTGAATAAATTACAATTATATTTATTTATAATTGTGCGGATGTAAGTACTTATATATTTTATCAGTATTGGTACATAGAATTGTGAGGTACAACCCAGATAATTAAATGATGTTGCTTCGACATGTACATGTAGTAGATAAAAATATGGTGTTTTTTTATTATATACTATATAACAATATACATAAATAACACCCAGACCGATACAAACCATCATACTCATGAATACAAATGTTTGTTTGTGCTGTGTGAGGAATCGAACCCGCGACCATCGGGAATAAGGCGGTGTGCTGAACCAGCGAGAGCGTAAATGACTTTCGTAATTGTGTTGAGTTTAGTAATGACATGATTTATTTTATAAATGTGGAAGTCAGTGAGGATGGATGGGCGGATGGATGTTTAATAGGCTTTCACGCAAAACTACTTAATACAGTTTAATGAAAGTCACAATAATATAGCTTATAGATAAGAATAACATATAGGCTATAAATTTGACGCGCCTGAAACCGCGGTCACAGCTATTTTTATATTAATTAAGATTTATCTCTGTTAATATCAGTGTAAACGCAAGTCTGAAAGCTCTATGCGACAAGCAGGGGTCATGTGCTGAAATGGGCATAATGGCGGCCGGAGGAGATCAAGGCTTGCCACGAGCAAAGGGACCCTACTTCGTGCTCACTACTGATAAAGAACCCTATTGCCGTAAGTGTAATCTAGTTATATTAAGATGCGTGTATTGTATAGTGTGTTGTGTTAATGCTTAGATTTCACCTGTATTTGCTTCGTTATGTATAATGAATAGAATAGAATATTATTTTATTGATAACAATAATGACATATAAAATACAAGCAACAATTTAAACACATTACAAAATAGAGTCAATATGGCCAATTTCGGTCAAAATAAAAAAAATTTTGGGAATGGCACCATCCTTATTGTTTAGGAGTATGAAAAGTTTTATTAATTGGTTCAGACATAACAATAATGTCATAAAAAATACGAGCAACAGTTTAAACACATTACAAAACATAAATCATGTGATCAATTTTAGTCAAAATAAAAAAGTTTAACCAATAAAATTAGATAAAAAAATTGGGACCATCGTTATAGCGAGTTGGAAAAATAGTTTAGATCTTGTTCTCAGACCTTATGCATACACAAGTTTTGTTACAAAGTTTGTGACACGATAAATTTATAAATTAGAAGAAGATACAACAAACATATCAAGTATATTTATAAATATCGTTTTATTAAATTTAAAAATACATGTCTCGACGAAGTTTATAATGAATATAAATTTCAGGAGGTCAAACTTATAATATGAATTTATTAATTCAGTTTCATAAATTTTATTTGCAGACAATGATATGTTTGTTACGTTTATTTGTCTAATACATAGTCTGAGTATTTAAAGTTAAAATCGAGTTTACAGTACTATTAAGTAGATGTTATGACTAAGTAACTAAGTAGCGGGAGTATACTGTAACAAAGTATTTGCATATTTCAAAGAGAGTTCAGTGCTCTAAAATGTTTAGCATTAAAACAACAAGAGTATAATTAAATTTAATGCTATTAATATCTGTTTCATATTTTTGTTAAGGGCTTATACAATCAATTAAAATAAATACTTTGTAAAATTATTTATACACCATCAACCATCTTCAAAAAATCTTACTAATTACTAATATTATATACGTGTAAATTTGTGAGTACAGATGGATGGATGTATGTTCCTTATATCACGCAAAAACTATTGAACGGACTTTGATGAAAGACACAGACAGAATAACACATAGGCTATAATTTACGATATTATTTACATTAGGTAAGTGTACAGATAAAATTGCGCGGTTCAGCTAGCATATCAGTCCATTGTTTTATTGCCATGCCACATATTTTTCAATTTTGATTCCTTTCGCAAACAAGAGGATTTGTTGGCTCATTCCCATATGAATAAAAATAAAGCTGTAATTGAATTTGTATTTGTATTTAAAGTAGAGTTAGTTAATGTTTAGATTGACAAAGAAATAATTGAACAGACGACTATGTAGAAAATCTACGTTGATAGTATATAAATTGATAAAATAGTTTGTATTTAATGTGGCACATCGAGGCACCCGAACCGAGGTTCAAACCCCTAGCGGCGCCCTCAGACTAAAGTCTTATCGTTAGATTCTTATGCGGGTTTGGAGTGCCATCTACATTCGCTCCCTATCGTCCGCTGAAGCTGTAAAGGCTAGCTGTGGTCAACAGCATTAGAGTAGTCAGAAAAAAAAACATCGATGCAGCGTACCAAAGACACTGGTAGCTTTGCCTCTTTGAATGGCCATAATTAGATTCTGGGAAAGTTGTTATCAGCTCCCGGGTCATTTAATATCTTTGTTATAATATTTCTACAGCAACTGATTGGGAGGTTCGACACCCGCCAGTGGAATTACTTCGGGATCTTCGACAAGGGTTTAGTATAGATCGATCTCGGCGGGTGGAGGCCACTGTCACACCAGGATACGCTGACCCTGAGGGTCGGGATGTCGACAACGAACTACCTACCACGACCTGTAAAAGTTGGTTCCAGAGATGGTTTGGTTGAAAACCTATGACATTGTGTTTTTAGTAAACTATAAGTATAGTAATAGATATAGTGTATATGTGTTATTAGATAGTATATTAGTATAGTATTTATTTTGAGTTATTTATTGGGTGGCTTGATACTAGTTTGTAATCCTTTGTAATAATAAAATGATTGACATTTCTAATACTTAACTATACCTATAATATAATTTCAATTATTTCTAAAAGTATGTGATACCAGTTTTTATTGAAAAACATGTTTAAAAAGGTTACGTTAATAATGTGATATTTTAAGTAAGGCATTTAAATAATTTTAACAATTCTAAATAAGTAAGTTATAGTTATTTTTTATTTTAAAAATCTAAAATATATATTTATTTGTTTAATATACGTCTTTTCTTATGACACCCTTAAATTAAATAACTGTACAGTGTTTTTTATGTCATTCCTACTTTTCGTTGGGTATATTTGAATACAATTGGTAGGTGGCGAGCCAACCGTCGTTTCTTAGATCTTTGATTTGATTTCAGTGTTTCTTTCACCGGAGAGTCTAGTAGAAATATAAATTGACAGATAAAGTATTTTTTTCATATTAGATAGATTAGATCTCACCACCTCTAAAGTATCGGGGTAGTAAACCTCTAGTCCATGAGGTTCTCAAAAATTTGAAACAATTAACAATACCCAAAAATACATAATAATATGTATATAAATGAATATATTCTCTAACATATGTTAGAGAATATATTTCAGTGAGTGAAAATGCAGTTTCGTGTAATTATAATATTGATAGACTAGATAAACTAGCATAACTAAATAATGAAAGCTTTTAAACTGATTGAAAAACATTCAATATGCGTCTACTGTTGCCTTGCTTGTAGGTACATCATTTAAATAAACAGTACGAAAAGGTTTACCACGTACGTGGTTTATTCCGAAAATGGACAAATTCAGAAAAAGTAATAAGTTGCAATACATAAGAAATACTTTTAAAGAAAGAATATTGTTTTTCGGACAAAATAGCGGGTTGCACGGCTGCCGACATGTGTTTAAAGACGATGCTCACTTCGTGTTCAGGTAAAATGCTATTAATATAGAATAGAAATATATTACTAACTTTCCGGTGACGGAAACCTCAGTAACAAACCAATATTAGGAAGCCTAATAAGCCGCCCATTGTTAGATTACCTGTCTGGAGATATTAGTGAACATTAGTCAATCAAAACACTCGAACCGCTATATGCTATATAAAAACATATTAACTTGACCAGGAAAAGTTGTTTTGCCATATAAATTAATATCGCTACTAAAATATAAAGGCATAGATCATGGATAGATGTGTCATGTCATGTGTCTATCATGGTAGAAGTGTCACAATTCAGGGTTAAATGTATTTTTAATGCGAATTATAAGAAAATAATTTGACCACTAAAAGATAAAAAAGAGATGGAGTTTTTTGAGGTGGACTACCCTTATCACGTAAAGGTATCAAAAATAGTTTACGTTGTATTCTCAGACCTACTGAATCTACACACAGGTCGTGAGCATCTTTAGAAGGTGTTTTTGTTACAAACCCAGTTTTATAAATTAAACTAGGTAGGTAATAATAATATAAGTGATCGCTATCTGTATATAGTAGATAAAATCTTTTAGGTATTGGAGGGCTTTATCAACGTTATATAAGATTAAATTAAAAATAATTGTTAGTCTAGAATTTTTGTCTGTTTGTCTATGGGTTTATACGGGCGTTAAAGCTTAACAGATTTTGGCATAATTTATACTAAAGTATTGTGGTAAGCTTCAGTTAAAATGTTGGTTTGTTTTATTTCATTCGGTTTACAAAGAAAAATGTTATAAAATATGATTATTTCGAATAACAAACTTCTGGGGCTTACTAATATAATATATTGTAATATAATGATAGAGGAAAATAATACCTAAGTATAATTAATTGGGAATTCCTGACTTAATTAATTTCCGTAACCACATTTTGATTTGATGTTCTCTGAAACCTCATGAGTGTATCAATACAAAATAATTTCACGGAAGTAAGAAGTTCCCAATACGTTATTGTGGAATACTTCTTACCAAGAAGAATGACGTCGGAAGCTGAATCAAATTTATTGAGATTCCATTAACAATACATATTTCTTTTAACTGATTTTTTTACCATTATACCCTTATATATTGTTTATTAAGTCGTTTTAGTATGACTTCTGAATGCAACTTTTTTGCAATCATAAGGTAATAAATAATTTTGTATTACATACTTTCTTCTTTGTCAATACTTATCCAGCAAATAATAATTAAATAAATATAATCGATAAAAGCAAAACTTGAAATATTCTAATATCACGGAGATTTAAGTAGGTATACAATGTATATCAGACAGTGGTACGTTTTTGTCTTTAGGTTATTTTGGATACTGATCCTGTTGGCATCGGCATGGTGTTTGTATTTATTATTGGAGTCAGTGATGGAGCATGGCGACGAGATTGGCTTCGGGCTGGACACCCGCTATCTAACTTGGACTACCACATTCCCAGCGGTTACAGTCTGCGAGATTTACCACCAGAGAACGGCAGAGAAAAAGCTCGTGGAACGTTATCGTAAATTAAGCATACATATATCTGTTTTTTTTTATAATACGATTGTGGCAAACGAGCTTACGGCCTATCTGATTGAAAACGGTTACTGAGCCTGTGGACGCCTGAAACACGGACGCAACGTGCGTGTTGCCGACTCTTAAGAAATCATAATTTACTCTTCTTCAAACCCCATGTTGGTCTCTTAATAAAATAAAGTTAGCAATCTGTTCACCTTCTTTATATAAACTACTAGCTTTCAGCCCGGTTTGCGACATTTCATATTTCTACGTCCGCGCCATTTTTTTTAAAAAAGGGTACAAAGTTTTTTGCTTTACGTATCAATAATAAATAATGATTAACTTTTAGTACCTTGATATATTTCGGTTACTTTTTCTTTTAGCAAATCAAACGAAAACTCTGAACAGTGACTATAAGAAACACTTGAGTGCGGTGGTTTATGGCCGGTATAATAACAACATTAAAAAACTCGAGCAGTCTTGCGGAGGAGTTATACCTTGCGACTTGAAATGGAGAGATATGGCAGAAAATGTAATAAAATATTATACATAATATACCTTTGTTACATTTATATGTAGTATAAAATTATATCGCATGAAGTGTACGGCGAGAGTCCACATATGTTTTGTTATATGTTTATAGAATGCTATATGTTTATAGAAGACGGTAAAAACTTTACATTAGAAAGTTTGACTACTTGGTTGTTATTTTGGTCATTGAAAAAAATAAAGAAAAAACTACAAGTATTTTATACATTTTGTATAAAGTAGTCGGCGTGTGTGCCTTGTGTCTAATGCATTGTAGCCAACTGCAAAACAGTTTCTATGTTACCTGTATTTCGGTTATAGGATGAGAAATGATAGTGGAATTACAGAGTTTAGAGAAATAACATCTTTGTCATTCGGAATGGCAACGTGTGACAGAATTTTTGTGATTCCAATTATTTAATATATAAAAAACTAGCTGACCCCTTTGGTGATGACGCTGAAGTTGTTTTGCCATATTAATTAAAATCGCTAAAAGTAGGGGTTTTATGTATTTTTTAATAAGCCATAAAAAATTGTTCAAAACTAAAAAAATAATGTTTGGCATGGACAACCCTTTACACTTAGGGGCATGAAAAATATATAGTAGCAGATTCTTAAACCTACTGACTATGTGTATAAAATTTCATAAAAATGGGTCAAGCCCTTTCGGAGGTGTGGTACACACCTTGAGACACGAGAATTTTATAAGAAAATAATTAAATTCATAAAAAAAGATAGATATATTTGTAGCTATTACCTGAATTATCGAAGTAAATCCATATCAATCCAATTAAACAATGCCTCTTACTAGTAATTGCGTACGATTTATGTGCCATATTATGAATATGAAATAAGTAATTAAAAAAACATCAGTTGTACCTATCTATTCTAATTTATTCACCACATTATTGATCGTCAGCTGATCTAGTTCATCAGTCAATTACATACCCGCATAAATATACATCTATAACCAGTGGTCTGTGACATGACTAGTTATCAGTAATTTAAAAAAATGCTATTACACAACACAAAATGCTATACACCAATTAGAAGTAATATACACACATCACAGAATAAGTGATCGTTGTCACAATTTCATTTCAGATACGACTGAAGTGTACTGAAATGTTATCCGACTGTTCGTACAACAACATCGAGTTCACTTGTTGTGATAAATTCCTAGTCGTGGACTCCGAATATGGTCCTTGTATCTCTTTCAATACATTGCAGAATGTGTGAGTACTGCTACTGATAAGAAATTGTATCTGTTATCACGATACCATTACCATAGATAAGAATGTTTTGATAGACACGATTGCTTAATTACTTGCAATAAAACAGATGTATTTAGAAGTGATTGTTGGTTTAGAATAGGTGTAAATTCGAGTATTATTTTTTATTTTATTTAACTTCAATGCACACAATATACAAAATATAGTAAAGTACATTTGGCGGACTTAACACCATGCGGCATTTTTTACCAGTCAATAGGTGGTGCAGAGAATAAATGTTATTATGATATAATTACATTAGTTGTGCCCGCGGTTTCACCCGCATGAAATTTTTAGCTTATGTGTTATACAGATGTATAAGCTATATTACTGTAAAGTATTATAATAATCTGTTCAGTAGTTTTTGTGTGAAAGATTAACAAACAACCATCCATCAATCCATCCATCCATACTCAAACATTCGCGTTTATAATGTGAATAAGATTAAATATGCCACTGGCACCTAATGCATCCAATATTAATATATAACTTTATTACTGTTGAGTTCGACACCTATTTTAATCTCCATGTTTCAAATATATGCAGTGAAAGACGATGAGGCAGTGAAACGAACATCATAACATAAGCCTCCATTCTTCTGCTGATTTTAGTTTGCCACAATTACTAAGAAAACTGGAAATAGCAGTAGATAGGAAATATATTTTTAAACAGAGATAATTATTTTTAAAATAAATAAATTGTAAATTATAATTGCAGAAATGCTGATATCGATGATTTATTTACGGTAAACATAACTACTGGTCCGGGAGTTCTAAAGTTTAGACTATTGGAAAATGCTGAAGTAAGTATTCTTACCGAGGTAGACTTCATACGAATATGAAATGAAAAACTGTTTTGTATTTCAATATATTTCAATTTTAATATCAACATGGTAAAACACCCATTTTTATTAATTAACACGTATTATACCAAGCAAAATATAAATTGAAATAAATGTTTAGAGCATTTTGACATTAATTCAATTGATTGTTATTACTTACAATCTTTTCTTATCCTGTGTAAAGTTTAGTTAGCACTATTTTTGTAATAGGTTTCCGTACACAGTCCTGAAGAATTATCAACAAATAATTTAAACGTCAAATACAAATTCGAGGTGATGTTGTATTTGGCCAACCGTGTAGAGTATTTGTTCTCGCTTGTGGAAATTGAGAATGATCCGATGCTGCAGACTGAAGGTCTGGACGTCAGGCGCTGCCGGTATCATCGGGAGCTTCCTGCAGATCCTCTTTTTGTTTATCCGGTAATAGAATAATTAAATGTAGATATCACTAATGATTATTTTCAGTTTTCAATTTATTTTAGTACTGGAAGATATCTTATTCCATGCGAAGTAAGATAGCTCATCAGATATATTTTTAAAGATAAAAAAATGTCTCTCTAAATAAGGTTTCTCTTCGATTCTTTATGTTAATTATTTGTTACTTATTTAGGTGTACTCTGTTGGCACTTGTTATTTGGTGCAAGACACGATACATTTATATGATGATTGTGGATGTGTTCATCCCATTCGAGATCTTTCATGTAAGTCCATAATTTCTAAATAATACATAAATAAATGCATAAACCATCGTCGCTAATTATTTATAAAATTTACAGATAAAAACAAGTTCTGCAATTACACTGGTTTAACTTGCATATCTATGGTACAAGAGCGTAAGTTGTACTTAACTTTACATTGTTTAAAATGAAGTCGCTTCTGCTTAGATCTTTTGAACTACGCAACGGATTTTAATTGAATTTTTAGCAATAGATAGATTGATTTAAGAGGAAGATATATAATACATGTACATCCCTGTGAAGACAGGTTGGGTAGCTAGTTTTCTATAATTAAAATAAGTTTATATTATTTATTTTGCACGCAAATTAAATAAATTATTTTTTATTTTATATTTTGTTTATAACTAGCTGACCCGTGCATTATATCTGCATCACATTTTTCCGGTTTTATGTTCCAACGGTAGATATAACAGACAAATTTTCTCTGCAGGTGAGAAGTTGAAAGTGGATAAAGACAAAAATACGATGTATGGAAACTGTTTACCGTCTTGTGAGGAAGTAGAAGTTACCGCTATTCACCTGACTAGGTATTTTATTTGCTATAAATAAGTATTCAAATTTTCTATATAATTTGATCTATGCAGAACTTTTTTTGAAAAGAGGGAAGTGCCTAGTTTTGTCACCAGTTCGTTTGGGATAAAATTATATTCCGAACTAACTTCTGGTAGATTTGACTTAAAATAAGTTTTAATTTGTATATATACATACTTAAGTATTTTTTACATAGCAAATTAAGTAGAGACGCTAAGGCATGTTTTCGTGTGTATGAGAGAATACGTTTTGGCTTGCAATGGCGATAAATGTATAAATCTGGTAATAATATATATACCAGATATGAGTAAGTAAGAGTAGTCAAATTATTTATTTGAAACGAGTAACATTTTCTTTCAATATAATTAAATAAATATTATATAAAGGAAAGACTTTTAGTAAAAGTTGTATTGATTTTATAAACTATATATGTTTTCCTAGGAACTGGGTACCCGAGGAGCCACGCAAAGGTACTTTGGTCACCATACGAATGTCGTCGCTGCCCACAATACGTTTCCAGAGGAATTTATTGCGCACTGATCTAGATTTAGTCGGTATGCTATTGTTAGTTTGAAGGAGATGATAAGAGTCGGCAAAACCGGCGGGTATGCGTATGTGAATGAGACGAGAAATGTGTCTCGTTTTAGTGCTTCTGTTTTTTTTCGGACTACTCTAATGCCGTTGGCTGCTGGCCGTTACAGCTTCACGGACGATAGGAGGCGAGTGTAGATGGCAATCCTAATCCGTGGAAGAACTTATCGAGCGACTGAAGGCCAACTCCCGCTTGACGAATACAACTTTAGTTTAGTTTAGTTTAGAAATATAAGTGTATGTATTAAAATACTTTACAATGCAGATCATTGCCTCTATAAATTGTTTTATATTACGTAACTAAAAAGGGAGAAAAATTAAGAAGATTTCAATTACATGAAATTCTAAAATACATCTCATCTCGGTTTATTGGTTTACAACTAGTGACTATAAAAAATGCATAAACAATTGAAACTGTAATCGCTATGTCATAAGAATTATACTTACTAATATTATATGTTTTAAACATAATTATAAAGTGCATTATAAGATTTAAATGTACGGACACAAATGCACCACAGTCTAGTGATTACGTACGGACCATTGTATACAATTTCAGACCGGCAATTGCAACGGCAATCTAACAACTCCAAGGGTTCCTGTTCTCTAACCCTTTTTTGACCATACTAACGTTTACATACCCTAATTCTATAAAAAATAGTATTATAATCCAATTATTTATTTATTTCAGTATCTGTGGGAGGCATAGTGGGATTATTCTTCAGTGCTTCTGTACTAACCGTTGTCGAAATATTCTATCTTCTCTTTAGAAATATACGATAATTGAAATAAAGCCTTTATTATTGTTCTTGAAACATGCTTACTTGGAATCAGTAATATATCAGATATAACAAAGATATAGGTATTTTTCTTATGTCCTTGGCCATTGTTATAGCAACGGAAACTGTTACGTCGATAAGAAATCGTCCACAGGGAAGTATAAGCATATCATGCATTAAAATCAAGGTTATGTTATACAGAAATAATAATTGTGTAATTAAATATGGGTAATACTGAGAGTAATGTTACTAGTGGCGTTAAGAAGCAAGCAGGAACATCAGAACAGAAGCTTTACAAGCTTCTTGATTTGAAAGGTACCATTTCAGATTTGATTATTAGATTAATTACGTGGAAAGTAACGTTTTTTAGGTACTGTATATCGTAACAATACAATATTTTTTTTCAAGATTTTGTATCATGGCTAGATACTGGTGATAAGCGTACTAACCAAATATTCCTTGTCTATAAAAACTAAACGAGTCCTACGAGTCCAGTGTAACTTACTAATAGAGTTACTGGTTACTTTATTCTAAATGAAGATAATGAAAAATGTACTATTTTTGCATTATTCGCACGGGTGTACATGTATTACATATATATTATGTACATATATTATACCTTCCTCTAGAATCACTCTATTAAAAAAACCGCTTCAAAATCCGTAGCGTAGTTTTAAAGATTATATGGTCGGACAGACAGCGACAGCGAGTTTGTTTTATACTATGTAATGATAAGTCAAAAATTACTGGTCAGATTTTGATAAAATTTAAATGTGTACATTGGAAGCACCAGCATCCAAATAAAAGTATAACCAAATCGGCTTATGTAGTAAAAATTATAAAAAACTGAAAAACACACATGATACTAAGCAAGTGGTAGGGAGTGCCATATATCTTTTACTAAGGCGACGGGCTTCGCTATACACGAGACGTCGTGTATAGCGAAATCGGAACTGACTTCACAATAATCGCTGATCTGATTTTACACCCGCCATCACTGCTTCGATACTGGTTTTCATTTCAGTATCATTTTTGATATGCTTACGACGGCAACTATTTAAATTTGTTACATCATACAAATATAAAATGACTTTTTTGTAAATTCTATACATGATATCGCAGGTGGTGGTCTGTTTGTTGACATGATGAAGCGTGCTGCGCAAAACAAACAGTATGCAGAGATAGATCACGCCATCAAGACTAAAGTGGAACCATTCCTGTACAACAAGGGTAACGGGCGATATATACCAATATCACATTTGGTACTTCTGCGTAATAAGGAAAGACCGAGACATAAGTTGGTAAAAATATTGCTAAAATAATTCAGTTATTAAGTAAGGAGTAATCACATCACGTTGTTAAAAATTAGACATGACACTGGCAACTAAGAAAAAAACATGCATTATATCTTAGTAGCCTTTTAAAAAAAAGTATCTGTATTTTATCAGCAAACGAATACTTTGTTAATTTGGTATATTATAATTATCACTCTGTTTGTTAGAGTTCTTTTTATACTCAGAGATTATAACTGACTGTATTCTATAATTTGTAGTATAAATAATTATCTTTTCAACATTTTGAACAATAAAATCTTAAACGTTACATAATCTTATCGTCATTAAATGGAGTAAATTGGAAAAATGTATAAATTTCATTGAGTTCATGAGGACGGAATTTCGAATCATTATGTAGAAAATTGTTAATCTTTATAAACGTATTTTTTTCTAATATTCGATTTGTAGCTATAAATAAATTATCTAGCTTCTAATATATCTTCTTCTAATATTCTAGTCTTACAAGTTGAATTCAAATGTTATGTTGGCCGATGCCAACATAACATTTGAATTCAACTTGTAAGACTTCTGTTTCAGTTCACAAAATTTAATCAAAAAGTTAATCTTATATTCAGGTAAAAGCAACATATATTTCATAAGATAAATTTCGCTTTTTATGATCGAAAAAACTTTCTTCTCTTATCAATCTTAACTTGTATAGAGTATGGCTGAAGTTACATATTTAAAGCATATAACTATTTTTGGTTCAGTTACCAGCTCTAAGAGGCATGGAAAATCCAGATGAGGAGTTTGACGTTGATAAAGACTGGCCTGAAGTTACCCAGGCGGAGTATGATGCCAATCCTTCAGGATACAGAGAACTTTGTTGGGATTTAAAGGTGTGTTTTAGTATTATTCATGCTTCCATACTTTTAATACAATTATATACAAATTCAAATATTTGAATTTGTACATATTTGTATTAAAAAATAGGCAGATTAGAGTATGGATATTTGAAATCGATTTCTGTTTTAAATATCCATACTCCATTAATAAAACTCTACAATACATTTTTTTCTTTTATTAAACTTCGTTTGTTTTTCTCCATTCGATTGTAATGGCAAAGGTTAACTTCTAACTTGTTAAAAAATGGTGACCGTCGCATATGACCAGTAGAATGTACATTATGAAATGCACAATACAAACAAAAAAGTTATGCGTTCTAAGTACATCGGGCTGATACCCATTAATGTAATCAACACAAATTAACTTAAAACCCAATTATTTAGCATTATTAAAAAAACAAAATTTTTTTGAGTGAAACTATTCGTTTCTGAACCAATTTAGGTTGTTGCATAGCGAGATTTAATTTTAGTTTATTTTGGGGGTAACGGTTTTAGTAAAGGGTACTAGTGACCCCATTGCTACCAGTGTATAATTTGACATCGATCTTCACGTGGTTCCTTTGGAAATTGTCATGGTGAAATTCCCGAAAAACTTGTTACAATGCGCTAATTGACAACATCTTCTCATTCTTCACTTGTGGCCCGGCAGCGTATACCGTCTGCGCAGATGGGTGTAAACTTTTATAAAATATAATTTATTGCTCTGTGGTTTACATCAGGAGCGCGGTGCTGTGGGTGAGACTATACTGCATCTCTGTTTGCTGAACGCGACCTCTCTCCTGGCCGATCTCGCCAAGAGACTACTGCGATTCTATCCGAAACTTATAAATGATATATACATGAGTGATGAATACTATGGTATGTAGTCAAAATCTTAAATTATATTTTACAAATATTACAAACGCAAAAGTTTGTGAATATGGATGGTTGGATGTATGTTACACTTTCACGCAACTACTGAACGGATTTTGATGAAACTGTACAGTAATATAGCGTATACATCAGAATAACACAAGGTATAAATTTCATGTGAATGAAACCGCGGGCAAAGCTTATATATATTTACTTTATATGCAACTTAAGCATAACCATTTCCCAATTTTGTCTAATTTGTATACTTAAGAACATTTGCGACTAACATATGTATAATCCACTAAGGTAAGTAGATACGTATGTAGTCGGTTTTGTTTCTTATATGTGGCCATTATTTATGATTCAACCCTATTTGAGTAGCGTTGTTGACTTATATTAGTGAATATATACTGATATAAAAGAACAGCCCCACAGATATGACGTTAACATGTGACATCCATGATACCCCCCCCCCCCCCTATCCCATGCGTTGCCATTCCGCAGGAATAAGATACCATGCCTCAGTCCTCTTTATTTTCACTCTTCAACCTAAGTACCGTTTACAAAACTAACGATCGAAATAGATAAGACAGAGATGTCCACGCAGACAACTTACTACAAAGTATACCTTGATAAAATACACACACGTAACTACAGGATAGAGGATACATCAGTAAAGTAACTTTGTGCACTTAATTAATCAAATTAATACGAGTATAACCACCCTAAAAGTTTCGTTTCAGTTGATTAAATTCGGATCTTTCCGTATATCTATTGTCTCCGCAAAAAAGAGGGAAGAAAAGAGAGATGATGGACAAATTATTTAACACAAAGGTTTAATATTTTTTTACCCTCGCAAGTTACGTGTATGGTTGGTTTAATATTGTATTAAAGATATAATACACCGCATGTATCTAATCGGATAGAGTGTGTGATAAACGGGCGTTAAAAAATTAAATAAATCGTGATTTATGAATACCTACTTCCCTTACTTCGAATAATTTATTGAAGCTTTATGGAAAATGAAGTACAGGGGATATTAATTTTATCTTGTAACCTCGTCAATGAAGTTTTAAAGCAGCTTATAATATCGTAGATACTTATTTAACTTTTTGTTTGCGTATAATTTGCAATTGAATAAGTTTTCATTTACTACAGAGAGATTAATAATCCTCTTATATAATTTTAATAAGTTAGTGATGTGAAATAAATATTTTATTAAAAACCTTTGACATATTATTTGAAATCAGGCGAATAAATTTACGTTAGAAATAAAGCAAAAGTGATACACATATTTTTACTGACAAAAAATGAAATAAGTCTATTTCGCAATTCCTTCTACATTATAATTAATACTAAAATGATGTATATATGCTACATAACAAACATTTCTTGAGTATGATTGTTTTATCGGTCTGCGTGTTTTCTGTATGTTTCAACGATTTACCACAACACAAGCTCTGATTAGCTTGGGACTACAGGGTGTTGCATATTATTATTATTAATGGTGTCCACAATTAAGATATTTTTGCCGTTAAGGTGAAAGCGTCCTTCACATGGCCATAGTGAACGAGGATCCGACGATGGTGAAGTTTCTACTGGATGCCGGAGCTGATTACCATGAGCGTTGCTTCGGGAATTTCATGTGTCCTGAGGACCAAAAGGCTTCGAGGTCCGACTCGCACGACCACGAGTGGGTTAATGTACAACCGGACACCAATTATGATGGGTAATTTAATTAGCATTATATATAAGTATCTGACGTGCGCAACTTATTCTGTATCACATTTACTTGACATTGATCATTATATTTCACCCAATTTATATAATATATTACTTATGCCTGTGTTATGTGTTATTCTGATGTACCAGCTATATTACTGTAAAGTTTCTTCAAAATCCGTTTTTACGTGAAAGAGAAACAAACGAAGATAATCCCTCCGTCCATCCATCCATACTCAAACTTCGGCGTCTATAATAATAGACAACATACCGTTGCGACTTACATCCCAATTGGAGTAGTCATGGGCATTATCAATTGTTGACGTCGCGGTGAACGCAACACTTGAGATGCCCACGTTGAATCCGATATGGTAGATTCGTCTGTGCCTAAGGGCGTCTCAGGTTTGTAATTGGTATTTCGTTCCCTAGAGAATCAGTAAATTTAAATTGACATATATTCTTGTTACCACGTTCTTATTAGTATTGCTTATTTGAAGTTACTTATTTACGGTACTAGTTTACCCACTGTTTGCGATAGTAATTTGTTGGCAGGCTGCTTAAAATTATTTACAGATGAGTCACACTACTTACTGTATAAAGATAGTTCTATACTCCTTACTGTATTTGTATGAAATATGCTACTTATTATTTCAGAAAATTTACCATTCGTTCATATTTTTATTGATAAGAAAGTCTGATGGGAATAACAAACAAAATGCCTCACAGATTGTACTGTAGCTGGTCATGGTAATCTCTGTACATCTCACATCACGTATTACAAATAGATTAGACATATATTGCAATATAAATGTGTTTTGTCTATGTACATAAATTAGAACAGATAGGTTAAAAATTCGTTTACTAATCAGTACTTCAACTTTGTATTTATTTTTTACTTGACAGGTATGTTTACTGGGGCGAATATCCACTCAGTTTCGCGGCATGTCTTGGACAGGAGGAGTGCTATAGGTTGATCTTGGCACGTGGCGCGGACCCTGACAAACAGGATACGAATGGCAACACCGTGCTCCACATGCTTATTATATATGAAAAGATGGCAAGTGATATTTTAGATTAATTTTATCGTTTTACTTCTATTTTTATAAATTTTTTAATAATTACAGTTTCAACTTCACGTGACTGTAACTATTATAAGAAAATAGATTTTAATATATTATGTATGCATTGCTTGCTGGTAAATAAAAATAAAAAATATTAAGACCGACATTGACTGTATAAAGTCGCGCTTAGACTAAGATCCACTAGTCTCACCTAGTCTCACCTATTTTACACGCCAAGCATATTGCCTTGGAAGCTTTGTTTCGGTTGGGAATTACAAGATACGAGGCATGACATCTGTGTACTCTGGAATGGCAAGTTCATTTGCAATATACTAATTATATAAAAAAAAGAGATATTTATAGTGTTTATTTTTATATTTATAGAGTACTTTCGATATGGCGTACGAAGTTGGTGCATCATTAAACATCCGAAATGTCCAAAACCTTACTCCGTTGACGTTGGCCGCAAAATTAGCACGAACTGAACTGTTCTTCCACATTCTGAATATAGAACGGGAGATATATTGGCAGATTGGAGCTACAACGTGTGCCGCCTACCCACTGGGTCAAGTGGATACTATAGATACACAGACGGGGCTGATAAGTAAAGATTCCGCATTAAATTTGGTCGTCTTTGGGGTAAGACAATGATATTATAAATTTGTCATATTAGTATGTATTAATATTCCAGTTCCATCTCCGAAAATGTTTATATATAATGAAATTCGTCATAATAATAATAATTCTGTGGTACAGTTATTTTTTGTTAGACAGTAATAATTTGTTCGTTCACAAGACTCTGGTGGCATTATATGCCTGTTTAGGAAGCATGAAGCTCAAGCTGAGACTTATAGATCAAAACCAGCTTTTGGACTTTAAATCTAAAGAAAAGGTTTCCTAATATAAATTGATGTTGTATCTTCTATATTTCAGGAAAAAGATGAACATTTGGAGTTATTAGAAGGCATGTTGATAGACCTTCTAAAGACTAAATGGAATACATTTGTTAAGTTTCGTTTTTATCGGCAATTTATATTATTCTCTTTTTATTTTCTGATATCTCTGGTATGCTTTACCCTAAGACCTGGTCCACCGGACAGAGCCCTGAACACTACCGCCTTAAATGCTACTCTTGGTCCAAATGTGACAGATACCGAGTTGGTAACAGATGTAGGTAAGAAATTAAGTATATGTTTATCATTACACAATAATATTACCATGTATTACATTTAGAAGATTAAGATATAAATTTATTCCTGAAAACAGTGGAAGAACAAATGAGTCGCATGGCGAATACTAGTTCATTAACTTCTGCAATTGCTGTTAATTTAAACTTAGATTAAACTAAATACTACTTAGACTAAATTTAGATTCAGAGATATTGCAGAAGTACAGGAATACAGTGATTCATGGTAATGAGATCAATTCGATAATATCTGCTTTTAAGTAGGTATATGTGGGAAAAATTTAATCGAGCAATGATAATGCTAAGATAAGGAGGTAAAACAAGCAGAATAGATTGTATTGTAATTGTAATTTTAGGTTTGATCAACATTTTATATTCAGTGCAAAATAATTCGGATACATTAAAAAACATTATTGTCCTTTATTCGGCAATCGGGTAAGAGCCAGAAATTTGACAGGTTTCCCTTCAAGTTTGGTCTTAACGGCCAACTTTGTTCGTTGTATTTTGTAGAACAGAAAGTTTCAAGAACACTGGCGTTCCACAACGTCTTGGCTTGATTGATAAATAAGACTTGACTTAGAGCGCTTCAAAAAATTTGCTACACTGAGTTTGTAAGACTATCTATAGCACATGCATTGCATAAAGCATTATTTAGTAATTTTTTTTCAGAAAATTGCACAATACCATTGAATGGAACGGACTTCGATGCAGGAGCTGTGGAAATTATAAACGCTACAAAATCCGAAGGTCCGCAGTGTGCTCGATTTAAAAGTCATTCAAAAGACAAAGACAAGCGTAAGAAATTTTCATCATAAATACATTAATATTAACAATGTTATTAAATAATGTTTTTAATATTTACTTTTATTTGTTATTGTTTGTTGTAGCGCGGAGAGAAACCAATATGGAAGGTTGGTGGGAAGACCTAACTGAAGATTGTAGATTGATGAATTTAGACAGTTTTCAGGCAAAAGTATGATTTCGGAAGTTATTTCCATATTTTACCTTAAAACGTTTGTATAAAGTCTATTACACATATCACAGGCACCATTAACATTATATATAGCTATTCTCTTTTGGTAATTCTATTTCTATTTCCATAAATTTTAAACTAATTAAGTTTCAATTTTATGGAAATAGAAATGGTTGTAGACGGTTTTATTGCTTAGGTAATATTATTAACACTGGGGCTAATTTTTATACTTCTAGATCTAGATGTTTCGACTGAGAAACTAATCTACTCGTAATTAACAAAGCTCTCTATTTTAATCGAGATACATATATTATGAGATATACCTGAAATTTTATTGTTTCAAATACAATCTTTATGGACTTTTATTCTATTGTACAGACCCGTTTATATTATTATCATAGCAGCTTTGAGATTACTAAGATTTTATAAGTTTTAATCAAATAATTGATTTCTGCAGGTGCGAATAACAGCAGAACTCATGCTATGGTTGGGCGCTTTTGCTTACATCGCTGCTGCGTTACGAGAAGCAAAATTTCTCGGTTTAAAGATGTTTTTTGAAAACTTAAGCACTGTGCCATCTAGGTACGTCACAAAACCATTTATTTAATAGTGAGGTACCAGTGGATGATGGTTATCAGGACGAAGTCAGGTCAGTTAGCCATTGTGGCAAATTCACTAGGAAATAGCTACAATCGTTATCATTATATTAATACGTGAAACAAAAACATTGTTCCCTTTTTACGAAAATTACGCAGACTCCTCCGTCTGCGTAATTTTCGCACACTTATATAGTTTATATATGTAGAGTAGGAGTGCAGAAAATATTTTATATTTAAGTTCTGAATAAAACAAACATTATACACGCTACCATATATTTGACACATACACGCATATATATATATTGTTTATTGATGGATGAATGGTTGTTACTCTTTAACGAAAAGCTACTGAACGGATTTTGATGGAATACAGTAGTATAGCTTATACATCAGAGTAACACATTGGCACTAAATTTCATGCAGATAAAATATTGTTTGTCTATAATATTATTTGTCTATAGTGTTTGAGACGATTACAAACCTTAATAATGTTTGAACTATACATATACTTGTACATATTTAAATTAATTATGGTCGAATTTTGACCACGGAGTGACCACTAGTTCTAATAAAATCTACATTACCAAAGTTGTGCAGTTCATATAACATGTTGTATAGTAACTTTTGTAAATTGTGTTTAATATTTCTATTTCTTTTTCAGAGTAATGTTTCTGTTCTCATGCATACTAATGTTGATACTGCCCACATTACGTTTGTGGTGTGCTGACGTAGAGGAGGATCATCTAGCAGTCATCATCATGTTGACTACAGCCCCTTACTTCTTATTCTTTTGCAGGTATCAAAAGATTACTTACATTTCTGCAGTTGATGAAATTTAATAAGATATATATATATATATTCTTTTGTTTTTTGTAACAACTGTTTCCATCGGCATTCTAATCTAAGCAATGTTTTTTCTTATGTATTTGTATGTGTGCATGTTTACGGCCCACCTGATGGAACTGTAGCCTATATACAATACATGAACAGCACCACAGACAATGTCTACGCCCAATAAATAATATGATACGGTTGGCTACAATATCTGAGTCAGATCTCTGTGAAACTCTGTTATGTGTGCTCTGTGACTATAGAAATAGAAATAATCTTTATTCAAATAAACACAATACGAGCACTTTTGAATAGTCACATTTTTTATTCTACCCCTCATTCGTAATGCAAATTCATCACCAGAAGAATGAGCGAGGAACTTGTGTATTGCTCTTTTAAATAAATAATTACACAAGTAATAGACATAATCAACATAGAAACCGCTATGCACTTAATCTTAGTGCAATTAGAAAATATTGTCTGCGCTATGAGTTTTAAGTTTTTTCTACAGAAACATTATTATCATTTACAAATTCTATAATTTTATAATAGGCATTTTATACAACATTTGAATCTTTTTTCAGAATTAATCAATGTATATTTTTATTAAAATAGAGTATAAACTTTTTTAAATACTTTCATTGTTTAATTGTTAGTAATTGTATTGATCACATAATGTATCATCCGTTGTACCATACATGCAATCCCAATGTGACTAAAGTCATGTCAGTTATGTCACTATGCCCTGTACTTTTTACTACCATAATTCATCCTTTTACCGAAACACGCTTACCGAGACAACTGGTTAACGGTTTAATAAACTTATTGTATCGAACTTTGAGAAATTTGTTTATAACTATCTAACTAGATAGTTATAAACTAATTTCTCAAAGTTTACTTCGATACAATATATAAATAGATAGATATAGGTTTCATATTTATCGTTGACAGGGGATTCAAGACAGTGGGCCCGTTCGTAGTGATGATCTACAGAATGGTGATGGGTGACCTTCTACGCTTTGTTTGCATTTACTTGGTTTTCGTGATGGGATTCTCACAAGGTAAAGTTTTGCAATCTGTAATTTTGAAAATATGTTCAGATGAATTTTCAGTAGTGAAACTCTACAACTTCACAAATTCACAACTTTATCTCTTTATAATATAAAAATAGTAAGTGAATCTATTTTAGAAAAGAAAATAATTCAGGGAAATGTAAGGAGATATAGTAATTGGCCTAGGAAAAACGACTTCCACACACCAAAATAATCAAAATAACATTAAAATAACTCACCTTTTCTCAGGAAAGCGTAAGTTGATGAGTGAGTGAGTTGAAACGTGTAATGTAGTTTAATGATTACGCAGTACGCCTACAGTGTATATTTTATTCAAAACAATTATATTTAATTATTTAATTCAGTAACTTTCTTGTTTTAAAATAGGAGAAATATGGAACATCCTTTTTCTTCCACTTCTTTTTTTCAATTTTGTTTCAATGTTTTTCTAAATTTAAGTCGCCATATATTTTTATTGGTGGCCAGTATTATCGAGCGCTCTTTGCTCTAGTAGGTAAGCAAGTCGGTAATACAATCTGCTTAGCATATAATTTTAAGGAAGTGTACGGAATATGAAACAAAACTAATAATTAATCCAAGAATCCGCTCTTTCGTCGTTAGGCTCGCCCCTTGTCACGTTGGATTCAAAATATACCGAGCGAAGAGTCTGTAATATTAAGTATTTTTTTTGGACGTTAATGGAATGGTGCTCCCTCTTACTTTAACGGTTTACGCTTAGGTCAGTTACATATTTACCAGAAATTTATCACGATGGTTTTCAGAGGGAACCGCGTACAGGTCAAGCAGACATGGTACATCCCTAGCAATAGGGTCAACTGTCCACACTACTAAGAATACCTTTCCCCCCTAATATCAAGTGTTGCATTCACCACAACATCGACTGTTGACAATGCCTCTAGTTAGAGGTATTGTCAATAGTCAGTTAGGATTGCTACCCTGTCAAATATAATAGTCGTGGCGGTATATTTGTTTAGGATATTTGAATATTGTAGATCAATTTAAAAAAATCCTCAGTGGTCTATCGTTTAGCACACCGGTTTACTGATCTGTGATGTAATATTTGATCGCGGGTTCGATTCCTCTCACAGAGCAAGCATTTGTTCATGAGTATAATATTATTTTGTACTGGTCTGAGTATTTTCTAAATATACTGTGTATTTACAAAAATAGGTATTTGTCTTCGCAACCATAACACAAGGTCGGCTTAGCTTGAGACTAGATGACACTGTGTGAATTGTCCAGAATTATTATTATTTAATTTGATTTTTTATACTGTGTCGACGGGGTATGAGATAAATAATTAAGACAGCTAATTCTATTTATACATAAAAATAAATATTTGCACTTATTTAACCGGCTACATCGTGTGTTTCTGAGAAAAATAAACTTTCGGCATCACTTCGCTGTACAAACTTAACCTAAGCCTAGGTGTGACCAAACGGTGTATACGTGACACACTAAACTTCACTTGTGTAACATACGAACAAAGAAAGTTGAACTAAATAGACCACATTAGGGCATCTACGGGTTCAGTGTTACTACGGATTATACGCTCTTGTATTGTATTACACTTATGATCTTGTACTATATAGTCTTGACCAATAGTTCGGAATTATGAGCGCCGTACTTAGTTCGAACGGCTTTTGCGAGCTAGTTTGTTCTCTTAGTTCATTCGCTCTCCACTAGTTAGAGAAAAGCAATACGTTGCCTAACCTTTGCTTCTGAAAGTGTTCTTGACTTTTTTAGGCCTCAACTATGGTCTGTTTTTTCGGTTTTTATGTGGCGTTATACTGTTCGTTTTTATTTTAGCAAGACCTTTGTAGTATTTTATGAAACGAACTGAAGAGCGAAAAATCAGTGATCTAGTTCGTTCGCTAACTACACAATATTAGTTCTTTGTTAGTAATGTGGCATAATTATACCACAATATGCAAAGACACTAACGAAAAATTGCTTAATGAACGATCTGTATGGCAGAGTAACATTTGCTTTGCGTAAATGAATTTTCACGTTCGATACTTGTTCGGACCAATTTAGGAATAGAAGCTAACAAATTGGGTTTTGTTCGATTTAATTTTTTCTTTGCAATCGAGTTACTAACAACACGTGCTCGTGTTCAGTATAATTAGGTTGAAATAAATAACCCTGGCCACATTTATTAACACAGCGCCATCTAGTCCCACGGTAAGCAGAGTTTCTGTTATGGGTATTAGACAATTGATATAAATATTTAGTTTTTTTTTGTAAATGTATACATAATGTACATAGAAAACACTCAGACCGATACAAACAATCATACTCATAAATACAAATGTTTGCACCGTGCGAGGAATCGAATCCGAAACCATTGGAAGTAAAACGCTGTGCTAAACCGCTATACCACAGAATCCGCCGTGAAATGTTGAGAAAATTCCCAGTTAAAGATTAAAATTTATCTGCCACCATTTTATTATGCAATGCGAAAGTTTTACCAAAGGTTATATTTCGTAGAAAGTTGCCTGGTAACAGCCACCAAACAGTTATGCTTCCATGGCTGTATTCTGTTGACTACTATGGCAGTAAAATTACTGGGTACAGAAGCATAACTCCTTTGTTATTATTATTACCAATGCATAAATGGTATCATGAGTACGCAGTGCGTTTAGTGATGACCATAATCTGTTAATGTGTAGGTATAGTCATAGACTTTTAACCGCCTTATTCTTTTTTTAAAATTTTGTACACTAAATGTGACGATGATATATCTGATGATGATGATGATACTCAGATTGTCATCATCACCTTCCTAGTTTAAATAACTAATAGAGTAAGCTACATAAATTATACAATTATAGATTCTCACTTTTTTATAAGTGGGATGATAAACTTGCTGTCAGCTAGTTTAACTACGAGTGATTTAATCTTATTGTATATTCACTATTATGACTGTAATAATTAGTTGGTAGTTTGTATTTACACATTTTAACTTAAAATTATAAAGTTACAACAACTATTTTAAAGAGCAACTAGCAAGTTTCATGTTCGTTCTTTTTGTGATGAGATATACATACATATTTCCGATTGAGAGGTAGATTGAAAAAAAAGTTTGACCATTGAGTAGTGCTTATTAGAATAAAGGAAAGTTTATTAGAATTCTATTCTATTCTTTACCATGTCAATTACATAAAAATACATACTGTGACTGTGACTGCTTATAAAACTGTTACAGCGTACTACGTGATTTTCCTGTCGTTTGATAATCCGAACACACCAGAGGGCGTGGATGATTCAGTATCGAACCCCATGCCCTCGCCCATGGAGAGCATCATGGCCATGTTTCTGATGTCACTGACCTCTTTCTCCGATTATTACACCGCCTTCGAGCACACTGATCATGAGATTGAGGCGAAGGTAAGCAAACTATGATATCACATGGTATAAAACCTACGGCATGAGCGGTATTCATTGTTATGTTTAAATTTTTGTTAATAGATATGACCTATGATTATAATCGTATAATCTTATATATAATATGCTCGAGTCATAATGTTCGTAACCATACTCCTCCAAAACGGCTTGACGGATTTTTATTACATTTCATATGGATATTCAGTAGGTCTGAGAATCGGCTACTATCTATTTTTCATACCCTTAAGTGAGAATTATTAACCCTAACAATTATTATTATTTTTTGGAGAAAACTTTTTTTAATATATTTATAATAAGGTATTAAAAATACGTACAACCCAAAATTTTCACCCTTCTATTACCAACACGTAATTTTTAATAGAGATTTTAATATACATGGCTAAACAATGTTTACGGGGTCAGCTAGTATAATATACTACTGAAAACAAATAAGGGCCACAAATAAAATAGTTTTACTTATTAAAATAGTTTAACAAGCACTACTATTGTTTCAAGTTCATAATAATCTGTTAATGTTAAATTATGGGTTCTTTAAAGTGTCACTAATCTTTATAGTGACAAATCAATTTGGTGGCTACACTTTTTGTGTTTTTTTTAACGCTTAAGTTGATAACTCTTCAATATTGTGTTCTTGTGACATTCAATTTTATAACTTTTGATTAGTGTTTCATGCACTAACAAAGCAGACGGTTCATATTGTGTCTTTGATTTCAAAATTCCTCGTGTTAGGGGTCATATGGATGCAGTTACAGCAACTGGGATCGTAACCTTAATTCAGGAGGGTCACAGTCAGCGCGCTGAAGGTTTAATGGTAGGGTATTAGCGGCGGGCAGTTTAAAATGTTTGGAATCGGTACCAGGAGAAGGGTAATGTCTCCAGACGTCGTGGTTCAGGAAGAGTTTAGGTTACAACAGCTCAAAAAGACCAATATATCCGTTTAACTGCACGAAGAGAGCGGTCGTCCACGGCGCGGACCGTGCAAAACGTGTTATGCCGAGCTACAGGCACTCATGTGAGCGACCAAACTGTATGAAATCGACTCCATGAAGACCAACAATACTCGAGAAGACGTTTAGTTCGCATTCCGTTAACTGCAATATATCGTGCAGATCGTCCAAGGTTTGCAAGACAACCCCTGGATTGTAGTGTTCAAGACAGCGCTGCTGTGCTCTTTACTGATGATGTAAAATTAAGTTTTCGATTGACGATCGACGTATTACAGTATGGAGTAGATCTGGAGAAAGGTTTTAGGTCCACGCATACACAGAACAGGCCATTTTGCTAGACCCAGTGTAATGGCCTGGAGCGGAATAACTCTACGATGAAAGACAGAGCTCGTAATTTTTAATAATGTCGACTACTGACCTGCAGTAAGATGAACCATGGTCCAGCTTGCTGTGCAAATGGAATTATGTGATGTTGTACCACATTATTAATGTAAATTTGGGCGAATACAGTACATTCGCCACACACACGCGTACACAAGTATCTCGACATTAGCTGAAGCTGAAATTGAAGTGATGCAGTGACCAGCCAGAAGTCTGGACCTGAATCCGATTATTGCTTTTGTGTTACTGCTTTATAGTGCTTACTATTGGGATGAACTAAAAGGCAGTATCAGAGAAAGTAACATTCACATAAACACACAGCAAGATCTCATAAATGTTCTGAAAAGATGCTAAAAGAGAATTCCGCAAGATAACGTCTGCGATTTAATTTACGAGAGGGTCACACAAGATATTAAACAATAAAAAAAATTTTTTTTTAAATGGTAAACGGTTTAACTAATGTCACATAATTTAAATCCATTGTTTTTTCTTAATTTTCTCATTATTTTGCAAAATGCATTTTTTTTAACAAATGATAACCAATCCAATATAATTTTTCTATAATTAGATTTTAAAGAACCCATTTCAAATATTTGAATCAAAATTTATTGAAATACGAGGCTTATCTTACAAAATTATAAGAAAATTTAGGTGGCCCTTATTTTGGTTTGAGTAGTATATAATATTTTTATAATATTAAAAAAATCGTAACAAATACTAGTGTTTAGTTAACTAGACCCACTATTTATACATTTTCGTGTAAATGAGAATGTAACGTGTCGTTGGATGTCGTAAAGATTACGGGAACAATTTACAAATATATTGGTTGATAGAAGAAAAGAAAATCGTGAACAAAATTCAATAGCAAGCGTGTAATAGGATGCTAAATCCTAATCGTATCAGGAGACACTCTGATCATGCTCAATAATGGAACGACAATGTAGAGCACCCAATTTCTACGAAATTTTGACATTTATTCTGAAATCCAAAGACTACTTTAAGCGCAGTTCTTTGACCAACTGAACGGAAACTGTGCAGTATTAAATTAACAGTAATCATAGAAAGGGTCAAACAGAATAAAATAATATTTTTAATTTCTTAATAACCATTTTTCCAATACTTCTAAGTATTGTTACCATTAAGTAAGAAGTAAATAAAGTATGGTAAACAAAATGTGGAAATGATAAAAGCGAAATTGTAAAGAAGCAACCTTTAATTGTAATGATCACGATCCATTCATCATAACTATCCATTTCATCCCACTGGTATCCCAGTAGACAAATAATAATTAAGTTATTCTAAAAGTTGGTAATAGGTTAATTAAAGTAAGTAGACGTCGCTGTTCGTTGATGAACTTCGTCAAATTGTTGTACATCCCACGAGAAAAGTTTATTTCAGAAATAATGTTTATTCTAAAATTAGCATTTATTTTAAAACACAGCAGAAGTAGGATCCGAGAGTGATTTTTTTGTATACAGTTGTATTAAAAATATTTTTCACGTATCATATTACTTAAAATTTTCGTTATAGAGACTATCTTGAAAGAAGACTTTTTTATTTTAAAATAAAATTGATATTAATTAGATTTTACTTACGACTTTGTCTTTTTGTTTGAGGTACATGATAGCCTATATCTGTTCTCACTATAGAATGTATGTTCATGCCTTTCATTGAAATGCGTTTATACGTTTACAAGTAAAAAATTAACAAATAGTCAGACAGACAGACATAGTTTTGTATTTATAATATTAAGGATTAATATAAATAGTCTACTGATCACGTCACCATTATCTAATTAAAAATCAAAGAGGTCCTCCTGGAGTTAATAGGTTCATTCATTTATGTTTTAAGAGTTGACTCTTAATTGGTTCATTTAGTCATTCATAATATAAGAGCTACGTTCTTTTCGGTGGAGGTTTTACCACTTTCCACAACTTCCATCATTCTCTTTAAATGTTGATGTGACACGACTCCAAGTTAGTCATTAATTTGCTTGATGTATAGGGGGGAATGAGATTTTTAGCAATGTTGACTGTTGACCTCATTGCTATCAATGTACATATCAGGTTGACATCCACACGGTTCCCTCTAGATATCATCGTGATAAGTTCCTGATGAATTTACCAAGATGACTAACTTACCTGACCTCATGATCATTTTATCGTCCTCAACTGTTACCCCGGCACAGACACTGTTAGCGTAGTCCTGTAAACCATTCCATTTAAATTAAAAAAAACTGTTAGCACAAGCGGGTGCATCTTCTCGTGTTCTCCTTCCCGTCTTTACTTCTATTTTTTCCTCCATAATAATCAGAAATTAATCATGCCCTATCAAGTGTCAATTGGTTGAAACGAATAAAAAATAGTCAACTATTTTACACTCAACTGACTTCAATAAATTTATTGCAGTTGCTATTCGTGATCTACATGATAATAGTGGCAATACTTCTTGTGAACATGTTAATCGCCATGATGGGGAACACGTATCAGAAGATAGCAGAGACTAGAAATGAGTGGCAGCGACAGTGGGCGCGCATTGTATTAGTAGTGGAAAGGGGGGTACCACCAGCGCAGAGGCTGAAGCAACTCCTGGCTTACAGTCAACCAATGGCGAATGGGAAGAGGGCTCTAGTACTTAGAATTAATCAGAAGGTAAGTTGTTTAAATTTATGCGATAGAATATACAAATAACAACGGGATTAGTAGGTAGAAGGCATGGACCTCATTGTCCTAAGCAACGGTAATCCATAAGTGACTATAGATGTTGTTACCTGATGACGTGACGTCTGAGGTGCAGTTCTTGTATATAGATGATAGTTACCACTTACCATCAAGTGGGCCGTCGGTTTGCCATGCTAGTTACATAAAATAACCATAGAACCTAGAGACCTTTGCATGCAAAAGAAGTCTGTTCCATTAGATTTCGTATAGACAGGTAATCCTTATTAGAATTTGGTACTCTGTTAGTACTTGTAAATAAACTGGCTTTAAAAAAAAAAGTAATTCAATTGAGTTTCTTGCTAGTTCTTCTCAATTGGATTTATATACCGAACTGGACGGAAGGGAAAAAAATATAATGTAAAAACTTGACGTTCATAAGCGGCTAAAATATCCTACAAGAATAAATGATTTTTGAATTTGAATATACTAATACCACGTGTTAGTACGAAATACTATATAATGTATTGTCTATGTATCTGTCTGTGAATGGCATCGTAACTCCAAAAGAACCGATACTGATGAGGTTTTTTTTGTTTAAAAGCTGACAATCGATATGGTTATTAGCTACAATTTATTTAACTTTTTTTGGGAGTTATAATTTTTAATGTTTAATAGTCTTAACTTAAATAGTATCAATCAGTAGATTTACTGATTGACCTTATCTAAGTTTTTATTTCCTTGATTAGATTTACATTTTATTTTAATATTAAGTAGTTGTGAACAGCTTTTATCATTATTTTTATTGTAACAATTTCTCCTTCAAAGAAATCAGACTTGGCATAATAATTCTTGTAGCTCGACTAAGCCGAGCGTTTTCTGAGAACCGAAATAATGTACATTTGATTACTACTTGACTCAGTCTAATCTAACGACGCCTGTGTATAGTATTATTAGATACCGCATTAGTAGAAATTTGGTCATAATAAGTAATTTTATTTTTCTCATTTAATATTTATTTTCTTATAATTTTAGTGTTGTTTAAAATTTAATATTTGATTGTTTTCTAATTTTGCTATATTTGACACAGCTATTATAAATTTACCAGTAAAACAATTTAGTAAAATCTGATTCATACGTAACACTAGGTTTATCCACTGAACTTTAGTTAGGAAAAGGGGATTGTTAGTAATGTGATTGCTAGGCAGTGCACAATTCCCTTATCATCCATTAAATAAACTATATACTTAGGTCCATGCCAGAACTTTATAGACCTATAGTCTTTATAGGTCTATCTTTATATATAAAAATTACGTATCACGTTGTTTGTCTGCTATGGACTCCTAAACTACTGAACCGATTGCAAATTTGATTTGCACATTGTGTGCAATTTGATCCAACTTGAAAGATAATATTATATATATAAAATTGCGACTATAAATTCAGATGTAACCTAGGATAGGTTACATCTGAATTTATAGTCGCAATTTTATTTTATTCAAGAACCTTAGCCACAGTAACGCGTGGCCGGGTCTGCTAGTATACACTATATATACAAGTTAACAAGGAATATGATATTCAAATTAACATAATAATGATAATTAATGATTACTTGAATATTTGATTATAAATTTAAGCAAATAAGTACTATACGTACTATGCTGCATGCAGGCCGTGGTGAGACCTAAGTAAAACAGAAATAATAATTATAAATATTTTTATATACCCAAGTATTTTTGACTTTCCAAATTATTAAATCTGTTATTTATAATGTGAACTTAGATGTAACATAATGACAGAATGGACTTAATGCATTTAATGACAAAATTACAGAGCGAGGATAAAGAAGAAATGAAAGAGATACTTGAAATGAAACGCACACATGATCGCATTGTGGCTAAGAGAAAGCAAAGGGACATACCAGTTAAGGGGCAACAGGGTTTTGTCCCGTTGACAATTACTAAGGACTACCCGACTAGAAAATAAAATAAATAAATAAATTTTATTACCAATTGTACAAGTAATTGTATTTTATTTAAATCTGCAACATGGACGAATCTGATTCTAATAAAATTTGGTTAAATTTTTCTTATCGTTATTGCATGATGATACTAAGGCGAAATAGTCAAGTTGAAGACTCGAATCGACAACATTCTAAATTTAAAAGGGTCCAAGATACCACGGTTATAGTGGGATTATAGTCGTAGTTAAGAGCAGTGTTAAAGATTTTTACGTCACAGACTATAACGTTGAAATTTTTCTAGAGCCTTCTAGATATCAGGTAAATATAATAATTTACATTTGTAAACAATTGGAAAAGTGACAAGTTAATTTTGTAGATATTTACTTTGTATTATTGAAGCTCAAATATATATTAGAGTATTCTTATGCATATAGTACTTTTTAAATAACTGTAAATTTAAATATAATTATCCGGTTTTTACGAAATGTATAAAATGTACAATAAATGTTTATAGATTAATGTTGTTGTATTATTAAAGTTCACTATTTACAGATTGATAGGATGTTACTGAATGCAATATAATAATATGGGGCATTGTAATATGTTAATAAATAGTTAGAAAGATAAGCAAAGGTGCAAATTGACCAAGCAAGTGCTGCTGCGGGCCGGCGGCTGGGTTTCACTGTTACCACATTGTTTGCATCGGCCACCTGTATTTAGGCGACATGTTTTATCAATTTACTATTAAAATATAGTATTTTATATATATCAGTGGCATTTGAGAAGGTACCTGTGGGTATTTATAAGTATAAGAAGTTATTCCTTTGTTGCCTAGAGTCCTAATGAAAATTGTCGTCAAGAAAGAATATAATTTATAACAGACATGCTATTATTTATAAATTCATAAAAAGCAGACGAAGCCGCGGGTAGAAGTTAGCACATAATAAAAAACTAAAATATTACTGTTCGGATAACACAAGTAGATCAGACATGATGGGTAAGTTTAGAAATTTCGTGTAACTTGACTTGATTACTGGTTGCTAGGGACGATACTTAGTTTTATTATAGCAAACTTTGTAAATAACACATTTTTTTTTTTATGGTTGATAATGAAATATTGCTCTCGCCTGAGCTAACGGTTTACGCTGGCGGGGCACCAGTGGAGGATGATAAGATGAGCATGAAGTTTGGTCTGTTAGCCCATCACGGCAAATTGACCAGTAATTTATCACGATGATTACCAGTGGGAACCGCGTGGCTATCAACCTGACATGGGACATAGCTAGCAATGGAATTGTTAGTCCACATTACTAACAATCCCCTTACCACCAAGTAAATAGACTTACAGCTGTTTATGGACTTCAAAATATCTACACTTCAGGTGTACTTAATACATTTTAACTTCAATGCAGCAGAACATAAATAATTTTAAGCGATCAAACAAAAAACCATTCAATATTCAATGGTTTCATCAGTGGTGTAGGTACTCGCGAATACAAGTGATTGACAAATCCACTAAACAAATAGCACTAGCCGAGTTTATCATAATTTTGACGGTCATTACTGCGTTTGTTTGCCTTTATAATTCGGAAGATTCATGTGAAATTTACTGCCAACTCATTGATTGAGCGAGGTTCTTCAACGGACCTATGACTATCTCAGGTGAGGTAATAACCATTTTAGATGATATTCTAATTAATTTAATTATGAAGATCTGTAGTGAATATATCCGAATGTTGTAGCCAAATTGAGTCTAAATAAAATTCTAGTGAAATATGTTTGATTACTAATACAGTATTAGTACAGTATTATTACAACAGTTATATCTATAGTTATATAAATATTGCCTTGGAATCGGGGTTTGAAGAAATTCGGTGAAATCTAATATATCAGCTCAATTTGACTCTCTTTGAATTTGACATCGTACATATTATTTTGACTGATTTTTGTAGGTCAACCTAGTACAAGTTGTATGAGATTTAAAATGTTCTCGCACCAAAGGCCAAAAACTCGTTATTTTACGAGAATCCTCGTAAGGTTGGCATCCTCTGCTTGGGATTAATATTTTTATTAATGAAGACTGATAGAATTAAATACATTATTTAAAGATAGAACTTATGGACACAATGAAACAAATGTAGTCAACATTACACTTCGTAAAGGTATGAAAATCAATAGAGAGCAAAATGCTGTTAAATGTTAATGGCCAGAACTTCAACCACCCACCGGAGATTCTATATGGAAAGTCTATAGTTACAGACTTTATGAAACATAACAGCATACAGCATAGAGTATACATAATTGAACAATACTATAACAATACTAATAAATAGTAGTTATAGTAATTATACTTAAACAAATGGCATAGATTTCCCGTATTACAGAACATTTATTATATACATAATAAATGTCTTGCAATGTATTAAGTCTATGTTGTGGAAAATGAAGACAAATATTACTTTGTACTGATCATTCATAAATATATTTCTAAACAAAAGACTTCCGTAATTAGTTGAGTCGCACATTCAGTTACCATTTAACGTAATGTTTCGTATATATTCTATTGATACGTTTCAAAGAAGAAATTACAAAGTTGTTCAAGCATTAGTATTTAGTTAACCTACATTTCGTATATAGGTATTAATTATCATAGTGTTGGAAATTAGCTCTTATTCTGAATAATTGACTCTTCTAATACTAAAATTATGAATTGACCAAAAAAAGCAAAATGTCTAAAATTCAAAGTTTTTATAAAATACTACTTTATGGAAAGTACAGTTTACAATAAGTGAAATAATAATAAATAAAATGTACATTTCAATTGGCCGGCAAGTGACATTGTGAAGTAAAATTGTACATTTTATTTATTACTTAAATTATTATATTATTAGAAATAAAAGTGTGATTAAGAGGTTTTTGATTCTTTCTTCTTTTAGTTTTACCAAGAAGTACTATGTTTTTTAAATTTCGAACTTCCAAAAGAGTATTTATAAATTTACAATACTGTAACGACGCGTCAGGATGTGCATTTTTCAACATATTTCAGTTTTTACATTTGAATAACACACATTTACATGATAATCTACGACCGTAATACGGAAATATGCGTGATAACAAGATCTAAGTGAAAGGAACAACATTTCTTCGCTCGTGCATTCAGTGCGGTAATAGTTATCCTGAAACCGTTTATAGAGACACATAATGACAAATAACTAAATAACAAATAAAGCCAATTGTGCAATAGCTACGTATCCCCATAGAGGGATCGTCCGCCAGTAGTGGTGGAGAGTATAAATCTATGAATTCTCAGTTGTCATCACACACTTCATTCTTCACACATAGTCATGGAGCGCGCGGTAAGTACAAACACCGTCAAAAGTGAAATTGTTGTGTACACTGCCCATGATAAGGAAGTCAATGTTTATTTATTAGAGATTAACTGTGGACACGACACACTTTTCAACCGACTTTAAGAACGAGGAGGTGCAATTAGACTGCGTTTTCTGCTTGTAGATATGTCTGGTGATATTTTCGCCAGTATGTACTTGAACATATTACTTGTACAGACTTTTTAATTGCTAGATTTTATACTAATTTTAGTAATATATTAACAATAACTATTTCCAATACATATTAAAAACTACAAGAATTATGGCAAGTCAAAACTTAAAATTTAGTAGATTAGTTCTCATTTATATCCAGTAAATAACAAGAATATTATCTCTAACCAAACATTTTTTAATTTTCAGGTTGTGTTACTAGGGCTGGTCTCAGCAATAGTTGCAGAGGCACCTTATCATTTACCACGGCCTGCACCGCAAGTGCCTGCGTTCCACTATCCGTCAGCACCTGCGCCTCCATCACAACCTTCGCGACCTCATCCACATTTCCCATCGCAGCCAACACCCCACCTACCGTCTCCACAACCCAATTTCAACTTAGGTTACAATTACGAACGACCAAGCGTACAACCAGCGTTTGTCCAACCACCACAGCCACAGATCCAGTACAACTCTCCGCCTCAACAAATTCATCGACCACACTCAACATATTCGCAACCTCAACAAGCATTGTCGCAATCTTACCCTCAGCCTCAACCTATATCCCATTATCCTCAACCTAGTCATTCATACGGTTTGCCACAACTGCAAATAGCTCCGCGACCTGCCCAACAACCTATTCCACAAATTCAACAACATGTTCCGCAAATTGCGCCACAACATATTTATTCCCAACCTCAGCCTCAATTTCAACCACAACCTCAACCGCAACCAGCTCAAGTATATCAACCAGCTGCATATCAGCAGCAGCAGTTCAACTCTCAACCCGGATATTCGTACCAACAGCCTCACCCTATCCAGGCACTCCAGCAGCTACCTCTTCAAGCTCACTCATTAAACAGCGGTATCTCATCGTCTCTTTCAAGTTACCAAGCAGATTCTAACCAGTACAGAGGTTCACACGACCAGACTCATAATGAAGCATTAGATTCAGTTGTAATCGATCATTTGCAACATATTATAAGGGAAGACGAGCATAGCTTAGCAAAGAGTGCAGGATATCAGTCACTTGTCTCAGGAATATCTTTGGAGAATGCTAAACCTAGCGTAGAGATATCGTCCTTTATACAAAACTCTCCTTTGGGGAGAAATCAAAATACAGGTCCTTCAGAGTCACACAGATCAATTAGCTCATCCACAGCGGTTGCAGTGTCGGGCCCATCTGTGGATTATGGATTACCGTCGATCACAGCTAACAGTCAATCTAGTCACGGCAGTTCATCTTCTAGTTTCGTGCCTCAAACGCACTCTGGTATATCATACGGAGCACCAAGTCAACATTAAACTAGAAAAACTATTGTTATACTTCCGCCATACAATTAAGATAATATTTATAAGATTGTAAATAAAATCAATACTTTATTTTATCTTTTATTTTTCACATTACTAGAATTTAATTACTTTAGATCATTATTTTAGTTTCCTACGCATTTGATAGTACGTATATTGCATTTTAATCAACCATTGATCTGAAATTTCATCGTTTAATTTATGTATCGACTTTTTGTTATGTTCATCTATAAATAAAGTCTTCAGACAATTTGTCTGCGCAAAATATTTTCATGAATAGAGGATACTCTTGGTTCTCCTAAAAAATAAGATTTTAGCATATTATTATCGCTTAGCATTACGCAATAATAAATTTTAAGGGACGACGTGATAATGAACTTACGAAACAAATGGAGTGGTCAGATGTTTGTACTGTATTGTTTATTGAATACGCATTGTAACTTGTTACTTTAGACGTATTCAAATTATTTGATATCGGAAATACAGGTTTATTTGAAAGGCATTGTTTATCTTGACATTTTTGTGATATACAATAAGGTGATAATGACATATCCTGCAATTAAAAAAAAATTAATGTGTAAACAATTTGATAAACTACTTGATAAAACTAGATACCTCTTCCAAAAATGGATATCTTGATACAGTAAATCTAAATATATAATACAGCCCTAACCATTGGACGGATGGGGCTGAAATTTGGCATGCAGGTAGATGTTATGACTTAGTTATCCGATAAGAAAGGATTTTAATTAATTCTATCCCCAAGGGGATAAAATAGGGGATCATCCCATTTGTTCCATCCAAAGTTTATATGAAACTTTGTCAATTTTAAACCGATCGGGTTGAGACTTGGCATGCATAAAGCTACTATGACGTAGGCATCCCCTAAGAAAGGATTTTGATAAATTCCACCCCTAAGGAGATAAATTAACGCGAGAGAATCCACGGGCAAAAGCTAGTCTACTTATATATTAATGAAAATGAACTATAATATATACACATAAATTAATAAACATTAATTTCCACGATCATCCATACTCGTATATGTTAACTACTGCCAACTATGAATATAGCTTAAATAAACAAAGCAATAAACGAACTCTCTGTCTTACTTATAATTTAAGATTTTCACATTAGGTACAAACAGTAGGCATATGTGCGCTATGTAAAAATCTTACAAAATAATTAAATTTCAAAATAGATATAAGTGTATCGATTTTATTATTGTATTTTAATAAAAATTGATAGGAAATAAATTATTTCACCATGGAAGGAAATATGTTTAGTACTTGAAAATAAGCAGATGAAAACAAAGACGCGAAATACAGATAGTAATTATATATATAACCAATATTATGCCTACGCATCTGGTTGCCCTTTGAAGCGTGGGGACCTTCATTAAAGATTCGTGTTTGTGGTAAGCGCCAGTACAAATGCACTCTGTCCACAATTTCCGGTCAGAGTATTGGCTCTCAGCATCCATTCTGGTTATAATCTCAGAACACTGACATGATACATCATTGATGTATGGGTTTTGTGGTTCGAGTTCACACTTTTTCGGTTTTTTGCCACGTTTCTTTTTGTGTTCATCCCTATGTACCTATAAGATAACTGGCAAATTTAGGTTACGTTGTCTTAAATAAAGCAATCTTAGAAGTCTATTAGATCTCTTTATTAATTGTATAACCTGTCAAGTGATAACAGTCCCCCATATACATGAACAGCATCATGGATATCGCGTGATCATGTGACTGACAACTAAATGTCATGTCTCGTAATCCTTAGTTTGCAAATACAGAAATTCATCCTGGATTTCTGGTAAGTATAGATTATAACAGTACGTAATTTTTCATATACAATAATGGTACAAAAGTCAATAATTTTACGGCTATCGAAGTAAAATGTCACGAGGTATATAAATTGACTTTGGCTTTATTAAAATGAATGTGAATTTGGATAGTGATTTTATGTATCGAAATACATATTTAATTATATAAAACATTTCTTGATAGAAAATAATACCATAGAAATTACTACAAACCTCCGACGTATTTACTTGATTTTTATCTATTGTTGATACTGTAGAATTTTTATGTAAAGAACAATTGACACATTTTGCAACTGTCGAAGTATTGTCTTGTGTCTCTGTACTCCTTTTCACAGCACATTCCTCAGGACATTGACAAAATGCATCTTCAATTGCAGCTTCGTAAACATTTGATACATAATCTATTCTTTTAATTTCTTTATCGCCTGCATCACCCGATTCTGATCCGATTTTGTTACCTTCTTGTACACTTATAACATCATTAGGTTTATGTTCTGAACCACGAACACGGACACTTGTTAGACTTTGAGATTTCAGTACTATTTTCGTTTGGATTTCGGTTTCAGATACGACTGTGGTAACTGATCTGTAAATGACGACTGATTAATCATTGATTTAAGGAAATAAAGAGATGTTTAGTATTCGTGGTTAAGAACTCATACATACTGTTGACAGCACGATGTTTGTCGAATGACGTCTTTAGGCGCCAGTATATACTTCAAGCTGTCATGTGACCTTAAATAATAATAATACATTAAAGAATACTGTAATACAAAGTTTTAAGATAACTTTTAAAATTAAACGATTTACTTCCTGAGCATATCGCCATCTTCTTTACTACTTATGGGATGTCGACGTTTCCTCCAGGGACTTGGAACACAGAAAACACGATATAGGTATTTGAATTAAGAATTAGATCAGGATAGAAGAAAATAAGTAATTATATATATATGTAGGCAATACCTTTTCACCCTCGCAAATATTTTAGTTTTGCACGGCCGACATGCCGAGCTGGAAAAATATAATAAATGGCATTGATAGGTTGTTACTTCAAAAATACATTATAAAGTATTGTGTTAAAGATCTAAACAGTTTTAGATATGCCATATGATATAGGCATTTTCTCGAGATAAAATTCCTTTTTAGTTCAACAATCCAAAATCATTGGTTGTTTTCGGATATTGGATAGGATGAAGGATACTGTACTAAACAGTGTATATTTTTTTTTCGATCCTAAATTCATAGGTATAGCAATTATTTTAATAAACTTACCCATTTGTTAACTTATCAGCGTTGATGACAAAAGTCTGCTTCATTTTCACATCATTAACATCTTCCATTTGACTATCAAGAAGGAATTGGTTGTATTTGTCGTCCAACCATTTTGCAAATGAAGTCAAATCGTGATCTTTTGAGTAATCTTCATGGGGTGGTCGATGCTCCTAAGTAGTCTATATATTAATACGTGAAGTAAAATCTTTCGCACACTTTGTACCCCTAAGAAAACGTAAAAACTGGGTCAAAAGTGTGCGAAATTTCACACTCCTCTAGAAAGCAACGCTAATAAATGTTTTCATTCTTATTCTTTTTTGGATAAGAAAGACACTAACTAACTGCTTTAAGCACGACTGCTAAAGATCTACTTACTTTTAACGAACTGCTAAGGATCTACTTACAGAAACATAAATATTCTTTAAATAATTAAAAACTTACCTGAGTGTACCATCGAAATGCTTTTACAAAAAAATTTGGGTTGCCTTTCCTCATTTCTCTGCTTCTTTGTTTTCGATATACAGGTTGTTGCTGAAGGAGTAAAGATTATTATTACAGAACTGAAGATATTCAATTATCTTATCAATGAACTGGAACCCACATTTTTTTTTCTCTTTTGTTTCCTTGTGTAATTAGTGTATATGTATGTAATTAGTGTTTATAACTGTGTGTATTTGTATATTATCTCCCAATATGCCCAATATTGGGTGACTGTAAAGTTCACTCACATAAATAAATATTATCGTTTTAATGATGACATATTATTGGATATAGTAACCGTAGTATAACCGATTTCCAAAAAGGAAAAGATTATCTATTCTTTTTTTTTTTTTATAACACAGGGGACAAACGATCATGCGGCTCACCTGATGGTAAGTGATTACCGCCGCCCATGAGCACCCGCAACACCAGGGTAATTGCAAGTACGTTGTCGGCCTTTTAAAAAGGAATAAGCTCTTTTCTTGAAGGTTTGGAAATACCATTGCTGGAAGGTGATTCCACAATGTGGTTGTGCGAGGCAAAAAGTTTCTAGCCATTCATCCAGATGATCAGGATGGTATTTCAGTTTCTGGCGGGTGGTACGGTGGTAAAACTCAGGTGAGCTGGTATTAATCCGAACAATTCCTCAGAACACTCCCCGTAATATATGCGGTAGAAAATGCACAGAGATGCAATATCTCGCCGCAAAGTCAATGGGTCGAGTCTGTCACATAGACGTTGATTACCAATGATTCTGGCTGCTCGGTTCTGAATGCGGTCAAATGGAAGTAGCTGGTATTGTGGTGCTCCCGCCCAGAGATGAGAAAAGTATTCCATGTGCGACCGGATTTGCGCCTTGTATAATTGGAAGCGATGGGCCGCCGTGAAATACCGTCCCACTCTACTGAGCACACCAAGCTTTTTTGAGGCTATTTTAGCCTTGTCCTCCAAATGACTGCAAAACTGAACGTCACTGGATATATCAACGCCAAGGACCTCGAGATTTGGCTTCACATCAAGGAGAGTGTCTTGAAACTGAGGAGATACGATAAAGGATTCTTTTTAGCGTTAATTTTGTTCTTAATATTCGGGTATATTGTTCTTAGTATCTGTTACCTCAGAACTCATTTCTGATGTAGTTTACATTTATTCATAAATTAGAATTTTTAACATTTTAAGGAAGGCGTTACATATGAATGTAGATGGGTAGAAGGGCAGAGGAAGACCGAAAAGGAGATGGATTGACTGTGTGAAAGATGAGATGGTGAGAATGGGACTAATTAACGAGATGACTGCGAATAGAGATGAATGGAAGAGAAAAACATTAAGCCGACTCCAAATAAATGGGACAATGAAGAAGCAGATGATGATGTGTGTACGAACCACTTGGGTGCAATAAATCAGTGGATGCCTCAGAGTTGGGTAACAAGGAGGACCTTGAACATTTCTAACATTGGCATTATACTCGTAGTAATCCCGTAGACCACAGTCGCACTCGCTTGATGATGTTGAAGACATAGTTGTAATAAAAATAAATAAGGTGTGTGTCAAAATGAACTGTAAAACATAACGACAATGTCAGTTTTTTTTCTTAAATAGGTTATATATAGAATAACTAGGCAAGTTGACAGGTAACTGATTGTATTGGTATGTACATGTCGAGTGGAGGCGCGGTGCATATTTTAAATAAACTTAATATGAACGTTGATGGATGTAAAGGGACAAAAACCGAAAATAAATAAATGTTATGTCAATGAAAAATTAATGACAATAATGTCATCATTAGTTATCATCGTTAGTGATATAATGCGCCGACCCCAAATAATTGCATAAAGGCAAGGCACGACATGTATAACGATATACAGCAATTAAAGAGTATAAATCTAAAATAAACTGATTTGAGAAATTGTAGTTATTTTGTTGTTGTATTGAACAATGATTAATTAATTCATTGAGTCTAATGTGGAGTTGATGGAGAGCCTGCCCAAAACATTAGAGCAATAATTTTATAATCGACTAAATCCATCATGGCGATTCGCTGGTCTCAGGGGTTGGACTTTTGGTGGTATTCACAAAAAGATAAATAGATAGATAAATCGTAGTACGTATTCATTTTCTGTACTGTGTTCAGTATTCGTATTTTTACCCGCCGTCATACTGCTGGGGCTACACGGATAGTATTTCTATGAATGGCCAGCTATATCTAACTAGATTTTAATTACTTATAAGCAGCATAGCACCGTAGTTAGGTACTCGGTATTGAAAAGGATATACAGAAAAGTAGTGGTATAATACATACACTTGGAAATAAAACAGATAGTTTATTTTTCCTATTTCAGGCTGTAGACAGAATATTTGCTAATCCCGCAGGATGAGAATCTACAAGAAATTTAAGCATATATAATAAAATATTAATAGGTTGCTATCTGTATATCTATATACATGTAATGCACAGATATTATATATATATTAAAATAAACTAATATTTTTAACTAATCTTTATTACAGCGAGAGAAGCCAAAATAACAGTTTCTTGATATTTGTCTGTCTGTGCCAATATTTGTAAAGGTAACACGAAAAAAATTCAGATTTTTCAGGTATATTTGCTACTTTGAAGCAAGGGCAATTGACTAATATTTTACTAATATTTATCTTAATTTCATAGCCAACTCGAGTAGATACTTATACAATGAATTGCAAACATTATATCTAATATCAAAATAGCAAACCTATATTGCAAGACGTCTAAATTATTTTAGCTATTTATAGTAACTACACATGAAATTGTTAATTATGGTTAAGTATCAATTCATATTTTTGCTAATTTATATATCTTCATGCGTTCTCGGTTATATGAAGAGTTTATATACAATTCCAAATATAAATAAAGATACTTTGAGAGGTAAGATATTACTTACATTTTGCTTATTTACTTATGTAATTTTGTATATATTATGTAAACGAGAACCATGATATTAAGTATTATATATAAAAATAAAGTAGATATGCTGAAAAGATATAATTAAAAATTCGGTTCTCAGATTTATTTGCCCGTAATACTTGTTTATTCCGCCATCTCCATGATCAGGACGTTTGTAACATCGTTCGTAATTTAGCGTCGAGGTTTAGCTAAAAGCTTTTAAATAATATTGTCATGGTAAATATCTCGTTTAATTAGTGTATACAATTGTAAAGAACCTTGTAAATTTAAAACAGCGTTTATATAATTTTAAATATTTATTTTTTAAGATTCTTTCTGCAATAGCTACGAGGTACCTGAACAATCTTTCTATTTAAAGAAAAACATAGATACACCTATCAATGTGCAACCTATGGAGGCTGAAAACAAGATGGCGATCACAACGTTTATGACAGCCTCTGTACCTGAAACTGTTAAAGAAGGTTTGTAATAGTTTATTGATTTTTCAAAAAATATTTATATGTACATATTGTTGTTGTTGTTGTGTCAGTTCTAAAATTATTAGCTTAAAGTCTATTTGAACTTATGAATTTGTCGTTATTGTTACTTTTTATTTTTTTGTAACTACAGAATGTATTTCATACATTCTGTAGTTACAAAAAAATAAAAAAACTATGCTCATTTCAAGGAAAAACGCACAATACAATTTTATTTATAATTTTGCTCCGCAAAACTACATAGAGGAGATATAATATAATGCTAAACAACTAGTATCCAATACATTAATTTAAAATCCTGTTATAAATATTATATCTAAATATTTAGAAATGATATATTTCAGATCCTATTTCAGTATTTGAGAAACAAATGTATAAATTTCTTTATGGGCAAAAAACTCCCGGTAAGTCAAAACTGTCTTTGTTTTTGCATGGATCTATAAATAATACATACCGTTGAAATCAATAAATACAAAAGTATTCGTCCTTAATTGGTAAAGTAAATTTAATTCAGGGTATATTGCAGAAGATATAGCCAAAATCTTGGAGAATCAAAAGTTGAGTTTCAAAGAATTTAATGATGATTCTCTTGCGCAGTATCCAAATGGGAACATAATGAGGTAATTCCATGTTAATAAGGTACCACGTGGCTTGGCACACAAATTTGTGTTCAATAACGTTGATACATTTTAGCAGTATATTAAAGTCGTGTAATTAAAGTAGCGTGACATTGTATAACTCATAGCCTTCCGCCATAAATGACGTACTCAACACTAAAGTAATTTTTAAAATCGGATAAGAAGTACTAGAGATTATTCCAAACATACAAACTGACAAACTTTATCTCTATATAATATTAGTATAGGTATGTAAAATTATGTTATCTGTGGTATAGGTCATTCTTCTGTACGTGTGGTTCTCACCTAATTCTCCCTAAACGACTAGACCGATATGGGTTTTATTTTGTGTGTATATTTGAGTGCGTTTCTGAATGCTTTGAAAACATAATTGGACCCGATAGATGCCACTGCTTTTTCAGGGTGGACAACGTCTGTTGGGTCTAGTAGGTATTGATATATTTAAACATTTCAGGGCAGAATTGTTTGACAATAAAAGCAGTGTACATCTTCCGCTATCCGAATATATGCACCAAGGTCATTGTAATCTGAAAATTACAAAAGATTATATGCAAACGGCTGTGAATGCTTTTTCCATATTTTTGGAAGGAAATGTAGATGATATTATGCGATTGCCTCCTATGTATGTATTACGATCGGTAAGTAATTAACCAATAAGTTAACGATTTTTGTAAGATATATTTATAATTATGTTTTACGAAACCGATTCAAAATCGTAATGAAATTTCAGATGGTACAAATTAAAGAATAAAATTAGCTAGTTCAAACACACAATACCTGCCATATTTAAGGATTTCAGATCACTTTATCAGTCTTAATTAGTGACAATGAGATCGCCTCAAGAGTAGACCCTACAAAAAAATAATTTTAACTCGATCCATAATTTATTGATAAAGATATCGATAGGTACATGTGTCAACTATATAAAATAATACACATTTATATAATCTATAAGTAATAATGCGAAATATTTTATAATATAGCTTCCATCTTGTAAAGCTTAATTGAAAAGAAAAGAAATTTTAAATGAGATAAGATAAAAACAATTGTAGGCTCGCACCATTGCTATGATGAAAATAGGCCGCGAAAAACTGGCAGCAACATGGACTGTGGTGAAAGGCAATAACAGTTCTGATAGTATATCTTACCAGACTCTTGAGATGTATCGGCCACTATTTAAATATCTTAATGGAAGAGAAATTGCCAGACTCAATTTAAGCGATGATAAAATACTGATGTACGTCGGTACACATGCTGATCTTAATAGACATCAGGTATGGACTTTTTACTATATTACTAGACACAAAATAATCTACTTATATGTTATTATGGTTTTAACTTTTCTTTTAACAAGCTCATTTTGTTCGTTAGTTAATTTGAATCTATGCACATCTTGTATCGTCTATGATTTGTAAAGTCCTAATCTGAAACCAATTTTCTATGCTCTATGGTAATTGGTACTTAGGTTCCAAACTGTGGTCTTTATCTTATTAGTCAATTTTATTCTAAACATATTATAGTACATATATATAGGTAGGTGTAGTGGCGAGCAAATACTTACAACTGAATAAGAATTGGATGCATCCAAAATATTTAAATTTGATGAACAATTTGCTGTGTGGCGTACCTATGACTTTCATGAGAAAGATCCCTGAGAATACTTATTTGCAACTGGCTCATCAGGTAAATTAATGTTTCAATAAAATAGGTTGAAGGTTGATATTATATGAAAACAACAGAAAAACCTAACCTAATAGTAATAAATTTTCAGGTATTCTATCATATACGTGCATGCGATCCTCTGCAGCGAAGATTCTATCTTGCAATGATGACAAAAACACAGGTAAATCTGATTTAAAAAATTGTAATAATAATATAAAAATATGCAGTTGAGTTTCTTGACAGTACTTCTCAACTAAAGTAGCTAGCTGCACTGGACGGTGTGGATAGTTTAAAAAATTATGAACTGCATTAAAGGCCGCAAGATCATATCAGAATAAATATTTCATTTTTTTTTTATTAATATTAATAATTGATGAAATAAATCGAAATTTTAAGAAATTTACATTTCCTGAAAACTTATCATTAATTCTGATCTTCATTCGTGTTAAGATGAATACATGTGTTTAAGACTTTGCTGATAATATTTGGATAGGCACTAGGAAAATCGTACAGTTGGAGTGCTCGAGATGTCTCCCGCTTAGGACTGCTGTTAGCTGAAGTAGAGGGTCCTGCTTTGAGTGCTATTAACCCAGAAGCTATGTCCGGTATCACAGCACAGGTTTGTAATCATATATATTTAAACAAGTCGTACTTAGGTTGTAACTTGAAAAATAAAATGAAAAGAAAATTTTACGTAACCTCCGATAAAAATTAACTCTAATAAGTAAAAAACATAGAGATTCCTGAACAGATTTTCATAATTTATAACTAAGTATAAATTATGTTGATTATGTCAGGATTCGTATACAAACCGTATCACAATCGGTATAATAATTTAGAAACTGCAACGCCACAGATACGCTTAACTTTTAATACTCTTTCTGGGTCGGGGACCAAAAAACGTTTCTACCTACTTGTTAGTCACTGAAACTTGCTTTTTCCTGACTAGATAGGATCTGAACTTGTATTTATACCAAGTTAAATAAGTAATGCATTACTTGCACATTATATGTATATATATATATATATATCTTTTAACTATCAGATAATGCTTGAAATGCCGGCATCGAGTTTGAAGTACATCACAGAAATGCAGCTGCGTTACATCGGTCAGAAGCCTCTTAACATACTGGCAAAAAAGCTAATGGTATTTCAAGACGAACAACGAATAAAATTAGGACACAATACAAGTGATATGGTACATCCTTGTTTCATATTAGAAATAATATTGTTAGGTATGCTGTTATCTTTAGGTACTACGTATAGCTACATACAAATATTTTATTAAAACATAAAATGCAGTGTAGTTTTATTTATATTTTTATAAACTGTAGTATCTAAGGACCTGTAATGGGGGTAAGTGAAACGTGTAGTGCCCATCCTCATGGCGTCTTGCTTCAAGCTGAAAAAGTAATAAACTATTAAATTTACTCTTATTTAATTTAATATTAATAATATAATGAAATAATTTATTAGTGAAGGTTTGATGATATTTAATTTTATTGAAAAAATTGGGATGTGTTTTATTTCTCTTATCCCCAGTACTCGGTTTTTGGCGTTTTTTTTCTATGTACAGACATTCGACTTCTACATTTTTATTATATGTATATTATTATTATATATTTAGTAGTCATTAAACTGCTAATAGCTAGAATACGCTAAATGAAATTTGTTGCATAAATATTACCGACTCTGGATTAATATAGGCAAGTAAGCAAGCTGTGGTAAGTAAATTATTTACCATAATATTACACCATTCAGTTTGGGTGTATTTGTTTAATGTACTTTTCGTTAGTCTTGTATGATTAACTTCATTCTCTAAAATTAACGATTGTGCAGCTTGTATTTCTTCTGTAGAAATGTCTTGTAATGCAGTAATAAATACAGGATCCCTATTTTCCCTTTCAGATATAACCACTTTTCGTTTTGTGAATTCGTTTTTATTACAGTTTTTACTAACGTATGGCGATGAAGGCGATGTTTTAACATATTCAGTTATTTTGTTATTATTTATATGTACTATATCCTTCGTTTCTGTACTGTCGAAATTACGAATAGGTGATATATTAGTTTTTATTTTATCAATACTCTCATTACAGTTGACTTTTATATTTTGAGTAGTTTGAACTTCTTTATCTACTTTACAATTAGCTTCTCCACAGTTACATCTAAAACATATTTTAAAATTATTATCTCAAATAGAATATTGCTTAATATTTCCTTGAAATTATTATTCAATAAAGAGCATAAAACAACGCCATTTGACACTATAACTTCGAGACTCTTTTCTGAGAGGTTTACATATAAATATATACAAATGGCAGCCGCCGTTGTGTGTCTCAGGTCTATTTCATATATAAATAAAATATCATTGCTTTAGTGGTTCGAACGATTTGGTTGATTTATTTGTTGTATCCAAAATGATTAGGATAAGCTAGATAAGACAAGATAGATAAAAATCTATTTGAAAAGTAGAAAATTTGGTCAGTATTTAAAAGTGAAATTCAGTTGGTTTTGCCGTAATCTATTTTATATTAGGTATGCCAATTCGAAGTTACTCTAGATCACGTATTTATAAATATTTAAAATGGATTACCTTAAAAAATTTTCATTGCTACTTTTATTTAATACCAACACAACAAATTTCATTTTGTCATAGCAAGCAGGTGCAACGTGACAACGTGCGCAATGAACCAATACATTTTTTTCATTATTTTCACTTTTGTTTAGTTCACTAAATATTGTTTGTAATGTTTGATTTTGCATAACTACATTTTCGTCGACATTTGTTTGAGAACCATTTGTTTGTAATTTATCGCTAAACAATTCTATATTCTGCACATGGTTATTTATTTCATTATTTATAATAGCCGTGCAATTTTTTATTTGTACATCTAATTTTAAATCAACTACATCTCCTCTTTTTATTATAGCAATACAAGAGTCTGTTGGAACTGTAACAGTTTCAGAAACTTTTGTATGGTTCCGTAATTCTTGGGGAAAGTTATTAGAAACTATTTCTAATCTGCTATTAGTCCTCGAAGTATTTTTATACTGTACCAATGATTCAGGTACATGCATGTTTTCTAATATTTTATTTATTATCGTGGGAGGTAATTCCTCAATCGTTTCAATAGTTTGCCTGTTATCATTTGGCATAAGAATGGCTGTTAAAGAAGTATCACTTTTATCTTTATTGTCTATTACAGAAAATCTATTCCGATTAAGTTCAGAATCTACTAAAATTGAGTCCGTTTTGCTATCAACACTTATGTTTATGTTAGAAACCATTGTAATTTCTTTATCATTGATTATATTGTCAACTTCTGTTTTATTTATAGTGTGGCCCTTCTCGTTAGATTGAGGTTTAGTAGAAGAAGATAATTTCGTTTCAACGGGGTCTTTAATTTTGGATGACGCTGTAAACGTTGTTGGCATTGTTTGTTTACCTTTACATACATTTTTTGCAATGATCTTATTAGATTTTGTTGTAGGTTGTTGATGGTTATTGATAGAACCAGTAGGGCTTTTTTCATTTTTCGAAGCAACTTTATAAAGTTTAGCTGAAAATTCTCTTTTTTTCAATGATGATTTTCTACTTGCTGCTGGTGACGTTAAAGGTGTAGTATTAATTTTTCTTGCAATAGTATTGCGTTGGGATAAAGGAAGCCTTCGTTTTGATGATGCAATGCTAGATCTTTCACCATGAGTGTGTGCAGGTGAAATTAGAGTTTTTACGGCTTCAGTTTCGTCAATTGAATGTATATTTAACTGTCAACATTGAAAAATACATATTTGTTATTATGGCAGTATTGTCATTATACGACATATATGAGATGTATGTATTTGTCTTTATGTATAATATCACGTTAATAACAACATATTTATATATGTACAGTACTTACAGTTTCTGCCGTTGGTCTCAGGTTAGATTTTAATTTATCTAACCGCACCTTAATATCTGATTTCAATCTATTATGTATCATTTGAATTTCATCTGAAATAAATAATATTACTTCAAATTTCATTTACAATCCTATGGTTTCATAATATTATTAAATACCAAATGGATGGTAGGTGTACAAAAATATTCATATTATTTATTAAAATAACCTGGATTCCTCACTTCATTATTACTTAAATTTTTTGCTTGTCGTTTTTCCCATGACCTATAAAATATCAAAAGATAGTTAATAAGATAGAGATTAGGAAGGGGAGGAATAGTGATATACGATTAAAAGTATTTTTAATTTTACCATAGTAATTGTAGTCCAATAAATCCAAGAAATTTATTCGTGCACTATGTTCCCGTTTTAAGAGTTAAATTATGGGAAGGAAAATGTGAAAGAAGAATCGGAGGAAGAATGAAATTATAAACTGGGTTATTCGTTCAAGATCTTTATACATCTGGCCTTTACAATGAGCGATGCCGTATCGTATAGAAGGTGTTTATGAGATAGCAGTTAAGAAATGTGTGGTTTTTATATGAAAAAAATACAAGAACCTGGATGCCTTCATAAGGTAAAGGTCATAACCAGCTGGTATAAATGTATCGTTGGTCTCCACAGCTACATACGCAATACCATCGCTGAGCTCCAGAGGTCCTTCTAGCCGTTTTCCATCCACTGTGTACAAGTTTATAGATGAGTGCCTTAAATTAGATGGTATTCTGTTACAATAAATATTTAATCTAACAATTTAATAAGCGATGTGTTCCAATTGGAAACCTTAGTCAGCTTGTCTTTGTATAATATATGTGGAATTAAAGTCTCTAAATAACCAATATGAACAAATAAGTTCAACCAATTTCTATCAATTAAAACGTTATAACGGATCCAAATACGACGTTAAAAGAAAAAGAAACAGATTGTTATGCTGTAGATATAATCCATAATAACACAGTCATATAGGTTTTTAAGTAGTGGATAAATAAGTAAACATTTATAACAAACATTTGATAGGTAGGTTCTATAGAATTCTACTGAACTATGTCACAAACCAATGGCTAGTAAAGTAAAAAAAACATAATTACATGTATCCGAACTGTGATCGAGCTAAGTAGTTCAGAGTAGATTCCCACCAAGTTAGCTCTTCAGTTTGCAGGTGGTATTTCCTCGGAGGAGTGTATTGTTGTCCATTTGAAAATAAATATATATCTATGGCCTGCCAATCAGCCTTGCTATCTGGTACTTTAGCTTCATTCATTTTCACTAGAAATCGATCTTCTTATCATTAGTTCATATTGAAATAATTGCTGCAATAATTTATTTGTAAGATGTTAGAATATGAATATCATATGTCAGAATGTCCGGTAAAGAATTTTTATTTCACATAAATAAAAAGAGCGATACAATAATGTAGTATGACAGAAAGTAGGTAATTCATTAATTTTATATACGGATGAGAGATTTACAAAAGTGTTCAGCTAAAATTGTTCTTTCCACTAAACAAATTTTAAAATGAAAACCCGTCACGGTTTTTTCGCGCTCTGCTGTCACTTTTCAGATGTCATGATGTCCAAACGCAGATCATGGAAACTTAATATGATTGTAATAATAAACACATTACTCTGAGATATTCATAAAAGTAAATGATATAAAATAGTACAGATCAACACATTAGAAATTTACACTTAATATTAAACACTGTTAAGGATTAGTATTGTTCCCTTCATTTTAACCTGGCAACAATGTCATCGGAATTATAAAAAAAAAAACTTTATTAGTTTGACCGTAGGAAGTTATCGTTTGCCGTTTCGTATTTTTGTTGTTTTTAATCGTTTTGATTATTATTGGCGCAGAACTATGTTTATTGAAGAATAAATTAAGAATCGTGTTTATATTTATGTTGTGGATACTCCTGTTCATTTAATAACCAATTAGTAATACTAAATACATACCATATGCCGATCCAGTAAAAAGTACTGTTTATTCATTTAACAGTGGATAAGTAACTCAATTTTATTAGTGAGTTTGACGAGCCCCTAGTTCTGGGAAGACTTTTCAAAAACGGCTACTTCAATTGTGAAACGCAGGTTAGCGCTTTCAATAGTAATAAACATCTTGTAGGTATTTTTATTATTGATTTTCATGTCTGTAATTTTTCTTTCATGTAATTGATAACCAACATATGTTTACACCAGAACTTAGCGACTTTTATGTCACAGTTGTTCATTTTGTTTAGGTTTCTATCGTACAGGGCGATGGTCACAAAGGACACGACATACATGCTGAGCAGAGATGTATTTGATACCAAAAAAATATGAGACATGGTTTGCGATGTAGCATCACAGTCTCAAGCCTCCCGAGCAGTGGCCATTTCGTCTAATTAATATCGATATTTACCAATATACCAATTACGAACAGTTAATCAAGTTCTTTATGAAAAACAATGCTTGATCTATTATGAACCAAGACAATTGTAATTCTTCTAAACTCAGAAATTTTGAATTTGTTACGACAGTGTCTTTTTACCTTGGGTTTTACCTCATACTTTGTAACTTTTGTATACATATATAAACAATATATTTAGTCCATGTCACTCTGGAATAACTTTTATAACAGTGAAAGTATTTTTGAAATTGGTGCTGGACGGCTTTTTATTTTATACCACCATGGTTCAAACAAACAATTTTGTTCAAACAAATTTCTCTCGTGGAATAATAAGTTTCAGTCTTCTAACCTTTAAGACGCATAAAGAATAAAGGCATAAAGAAACCGGCAAATTGGTTCGCACACTGTATTAAATATTTATCTAAGCATGATATACCTTCAGGATATAAAACGCTATACATTAATGTGATAAGCTTAATATAATATAAAACGTATGTTATATAGGATTGTAGAAATAAGTTCGATGGTGGAGAGTTTTGGATGGATTCTAACTGTATGTTTCTAAGTAGTGCGCTTAGAAACATTATACTAGTTTTTCTAGAATTTTACATAATTATCTATGACTTTATCAAATGTATTTGTTTTAGAAACTTTACATATTATGCCACTATATGGAGAATGATATTTTTATCGACACCAGTTAAAATGATTGTATCAAAAATTTCCTTAATATATGATATTAACTACATTTAAGCTATAGAACTAATTGTCGTAGTCGTGTAATGATTACCATAATTCCGTTTCGGAACCAAATTTATTAAAAAAATAGTAGTTCAAAAAAAATGGTCTGCTAGACTGAAAGGAATGATTTGAATTAATTCAATCTGAACATTAAGTTTGAAATGCGATAGAAGTTTCTGTCATTAAAGTACTGTGAAACAATATTAAAGAATTACTATAACTTCAGGTGGACGAGGAGTGAGGCACCGGTACCCCCCCGATTTGATTTCATAGCTCTTTTCATCGAGGTCAACGGTCACCGCGCCCTGTAGGGTGAAGCATACTGACATTTTAGTTAATGTGTTACTTTTTACTTCCCTTGTTTTTACCCGTACCTTTGTTAGAAACGTCTTACGTCATAGAAAAAATATATTAGAAGTAAGGTGGTGTGCTAAACCGCTAGACCATCCCAAACCACCACCATCCCTACATTTATGAGATAATATATAGATCAGGGTGTTTTCTATATTTCTTGTATATTATATATTTAAATAGATATTTGGAATTTGTAATAAACCTATATGAATAAAGATATATATTTTGATTAATTGATCGAAATGTCTTTAAGTACTTCTATCAGTTGTGCAGAACCATAACACGAGCTCTGCTTAGCTGGGGACACAATAGAGCTGGGAATTGTCCAGGGTTATTATTATTATATACGATAACCAATTTTCAGGTCGTGATGGAGTTCGAATTTGGTTGTTGTAAGTATTGACTAGAATATAGGAAAAAACTAAAAATTATAAAAATTATATTAACCAAGCGGTAACCGGCGGCTGTATATATTTTATATATACAGCACTACAGACATCACGCCATCATGAGACACCCGTGATACCACTCGTCGTTGCCATTCCAGAAAACTAAGATGTCTTATTTCATTGGGGGTTTTGGGCTATTGTCAGATGCTAAGACTTGTAGCATTGCGAACTTTGAAAAAAGGCGAACATATAATAAAGTTTGCTACCTAGACAAGTGACAAGAATTGAAGGATATTTTTAGGAGCGATCGTTTTTAGCTCCTCAGATTAGAGTGTATACTTTCCAAAGGAGATATTCCGTTTATGCATGAGTGGACTACAACTACATAAGATGTGTAGTGGCATTTCCTTTTCTGTTTGGTAAACTCTGCAATGTCTTGCCCCTACACTATAAATTATTTTGTGGAGCAGAATGTATTTTAATATACTACGCGTATCTATAAAGTTTTGACTTTTCTTACTGCTAATGAAAATGATTGATTATACGGCGATTGATTCAGACTCAAATATAAGATAAATATAAATTAAAAATATAGAAATGAAAATACTATACATTGCTCTGAAAACTTTGACAGTCGGATATTCTCATTTTATTTCTTAAATTGTATGCTTTGATTGATTACAAATAAATAATAAATAATAAGAAAAATATTTGGTATTTTCAAAGAATAAAATGCTATGTATTCTATGATTCGTCAGAAATGGGAATGGGCACCTGCCTGCGCTCACCTTTTACTCTGGCGGGATACCAGTGAAGTATGATAAGATGAGCTTGAGGTCAGGTCCGTTAGTCTTTCGTGGCAAATTCACCAGGATTTATCACGATGGTTTCCAGGGGAACCGCGTGAACATGACCCTGACATGGTACATTGCTAGCAATGGAATATAGGGACATGTACAATGTTATATTTTATTGAATTAGATGTTATTCTGTCACATACATATTGCGACATGTATTTCTCCTAGTCTATTCCTAACAGTTAAAACTAGTCTTCCAATCTATATCTAAACTCTAGTCAATGCTTGATTTGATGATACCTCGTTCAGAGGTTAAACACTTGACGCGATATGAGTGTAGACTCACTAACGGTCTCAATTTTTATCGCCATTAGAGAAGGTCGTAACAGTAGTCATGTTTCTGTACTGATTATTTGTGGTCTCACATGTTAATTGTAGATGGATTAAACAAAATAATATTAATCCATTACGTTGATGAGATGATGATGATGAAGTTGTAAAATATTTGTTACTCTTGTAAGGACAAATAAGTTGCACAAATGAACAAACGGAATTTATTACTCGACGTGATTTTCATTGTACGTACGCTTTTATTGTACATAGAACTCCGTCTTGACTTTTGTTGACTTGTTTCTTTTTAACAATTTGGAGTTTAGCGGATAACCACGTAGGTAAGTTGGAAGGTTATCGAGCACATACTATATGACCTAATGTATCATGTATTTTATAGAGGGGTTATCAAGTTACATCGTGTAACGGGTAAGTGTATATTTTATCGAATATTAAGCAATTACATAGTTTTTTGTTTAATTGCACAGGCAATATTATTTTACGTATTTCTCGTTTCTTTCGATTTTTCTTAGTAATTGTAATTGTTTGTAGAATTTATTGGTTTAATTTAAATACATTATTGTTAAATTTAATTATACCGCTTATATTATTTAAAAAGTATTAAGTGAATCTAAATTTATTATAAAGTTAAGTTTTTTTTCTATTTAAGTATCTTTAAAAAATAGGTAGGTAAATAAAATTTCATAACGGAGCACTTATGAAATTTCATTTACCTATGGCATACTAGGTTACATTAAATACGGGTAGCGCCGCGGTATTCTACTAGTTTTTTTATAAAGTTGTATATTTGACGTTAAGTTTCTATGTTTACGTGTTATTGTTTCCGATATCTTTTTTCGGCTAGGACACGACAGAAGCGTACACCGCCAGTTGCCACCAGTTCGTCGAAAGTGTAAAAAAAAACAAAAAGTAGGGGAGGATGTAAATAAATATACGTGCGTGCTATTTGCGGCGTGAGGCGCGTGCGCGACGCGACGCCGGCCGTCGCAGAGACAGCCACAGATTAGGAAACGTACAGACTATCCTCATCAGCAGTGTGTTCCTATTTCAAATATTTAATTGGCTTCGAAAACAGTACTGTTCCTAATTCAAATATAAACGCTTTGATTTTTAAATTCACGCTCATTTTGTTAAGTTTAAAAATAAGTTTTTTTGAGTAACTAACTTTAAATATGAGAACAAGAACAAGAGATAAATTATACCATTTCGGCCACATGTATCGGTTGTTGTTTTATGTAATCAGATGTAAGGATAAATATAAAAAAATACATGCACACGTTTTTGCACTGCATTTATTGTGAAATGGTGACCAAAGGTTGCTAAATTGAATCAATATTATTTTATTATAATAAATTAACTGACAAATTCAAAGCGGGAATTTCGTAGTTATAGTTTTCAAGTTTGAAGTTGGTCACTTTTTGTAATACTAGTCGATTTTTTAATATCAAACTGCTTAATTCTTCAATTAGATTTTAAAAGAATAATGATATAAATTACTCAATATAAAGGTGTTAAGCTAGGCACCAGTAAAATTAAATAATGCTTACCTGTTCTGTTATCGTTTCGTACCGAATAAGCTTTGATTCTCTCTGTCCTGCCGCTTAATCTGCATTCCGCCCAAACCCAAATGTGTAGATTTATAATAACTTTTCCAAGTCACAATTGGATAGACACCACGAGAAATTGATTGATAGATTTTTGTAGCTTTCCTTGAAATGTAATATGAAATAACAAACATGTAATATCTTCATGAAACATACTATTTAGTTAGTAGTTGTATGACCATCTCCTATCGGAGTTTAAGATTAAATTGACAATTTGAATACAATTCAGGAGGTGAGGGTCAGGAGTTTGGAGTTGAGGAGGGCGGTTCACGGGGCCGGAGGCGGCGGCCGAGGCGCGGGCAGCGGGCCGCGGCGCCTCTCGCCGTCGCGCCGCGCCGCAGTCCGCCCGAGGTGCCGCCGTCGGCTCGTTGTCTATTCTCGCGTGCTATATCCCGCATCGAGACACGCGATCGCCGCCTTTGTTTATTGTCGTACGCGCGTTTCACTGCAGACCGCCGGCAGCTGTTCCCAGTGCTCGGATGTTGTGTTGTTAAATAAACCTAGTGGGTTTATTCTGTGCAGTTTCAGTTACCAGTGTGATTCAGCTAGTGCATTTGTGTAATCAGCTGTGTGTAGATGGGGCGTATGGTGTGCCCCTGAAGTGGCCGGTGCGGTGCGCGCGCCTCCGCAGAGCTCGAAAGCGGGCACTCCACCATGGCGGCCACGGCTCGCCGTGAGATAGATACCGGCGAGGAGGACATAGCCGCTATTGCCAAACAGATTTCCGATCATGCTGAAGCCATTTACCAGACATGGAAAGCGCGTGGTCTGGCGCCAACTGAAATTTTGTCGTGTAGGCCCGCACCAGGCATAAAGCTAGCAGAAAGTTTGCGTACAAAACCTAAACCGGAACCCAAACCAGAGATTAAGCAGCGGCCGGACTTTAGACGGGAGCATAGACCAGAATTGGTCCGTGAACAGCGGCCGGATGCCAAAAGAGAGCGCCCTGATACTCGACGTGAGCACCAACCAGAGCCAGAAGGAGAGACGATTGAGGTGATATTACCACCAGACTTAGTCCCTGAAAGAAACGGTACAGGTGGCACCGGCGCAGGAGTGCGTCGAGCAGACCCTGCAGCAATGCGCTTAGAGGTCGCTCGGGAGGAGGAAAGACTGTTGAGGGCACTGCGTACAGGCGGTGTCGTAGCCGAACGGTCGGCTGAGAGGCCTGACGTAGTTCCTCCGATATCGCTTGTGGACTATGCAAAAAGCCGGTATCAGGATAGATTGGATACGGGCGCGAGAAAGCCGATAGCCGGTGCAAGTGGTGAACGTCGTGCTTCCTTAGGGTCTCATGTTACGGAGGCTCGTTCCAAATTCGAGGCGCGGGCTCGTCGTGCATCCAGCGCGGGTGCCGCCGAGACCGCAGCCGGATCTGGCGTTACGCCTGTGCGCCCTTTTCTCACACGTGGATCTGTGGCCGAAAGGGTGCTTATGTTTGAAAAATGCCCTAGCGAAGCTACTTTGGAATTAGCTAAAAGAAAGTCACCAGCGGCTACGACCTGGCGAGGACCACACGATGTCATCAACAGAGCACAGGTATGTTCATGCAACTTAATTTATAATCTTCATGTAAACTTAATTTACAATCGCAAACAGTAATATGGGCTCTGAAAATAGTCCTTATAAATTAAAGCAATGACCAGCAAGCTAGAAACATGTCAACTGCATAAACTTGTAAATAAACAATGAATAATTATAGTATACTGTTTTGCATGATTCAGTATGTCACGCTTGACATCATCTTTATAAGCTATTACGTAAAAAAATAGAATAATAAATAGCTTTGAAAAATTTAAGAGACTCAATGATATGCAATTAGAGCCTGGAGTCTAAGGTCACAAGCAGGAATATTATATGCACCATATAAATACAGGAGAATAAGGATAAACTTGTTAAAATTGCCTATATTCCAAATGTATTCCCTAAATCAACAAAATTGTAAGATTACTGTCTGTTTTTAAAATATAAACATTATATAGTAACCAATATTAAATAAATAGGTATAAAATATGATATAGGTACTTAAAATAAAGTGAGATTTACCCATTCCCATACGGAATGAGTCCAATGAACCAATTAGTTGGGTCTTATTCAATCATGCAGCTTCGTATCTCATCTATGTATGTAGTTGGGTATATGATGTACGTTGTGTGCTCGGGTCATTGCATTTTTGACAAAATGCCAATGTAATGTGCGATATTCTCACCCTACTGTGTATGAAACTACATAGGTACGATCTAGACTTCATAATAGATATCTATAGGGCCTTGTGAAGTATGTTTGTACATCATCACTTCGATATTTTTAGTTCTATTTTATTTTTCAACTTTGTAATCATATTTTATTGTACGATAAATAGTATTAGATACTTGTTTACGGTTTGTTACTTATAAAATCGCACGTTTTATTTTACTTAGTAGTCTGTATTTTGTCATAGTTCAAGTTCGCGTTTCGTTACTGCATTCTTCACTTTGGTCACGAGGTCAGCCTGCGGTTTCGATGTTGTCGGCCAGTACTTTATTTTTATATTTAATTTTAGAACAAATGGCAAAAAATGTCTTATTTATTCTTTTTTTGCGCATTAGGCCATATATAATTAATTAAAAACTGTTTTCATACCAGCATTCATCAACTACCAAAAGAAATCTTTTTATATATGTATATATATAAAAGGAGTTCAGAAAAGACAAAGATTTGCGTACAAAACCTATATCATCATATACGATCTAAAAATATCTGGACGACTTTGTAATAATAATCATACGCTATTGTGGTTTCCTTTGCTTTTCATTATGAAGTTTTTATCCATAAAATTAAAAACATATTTATCTATTAGTTTTTTAATTTGAAATTGTGGCAAAGGCGAATATAATTTATCAATTCAAATTTATCTTATCTACAGATTAAATATTAGCGGTCGATTTTCAAAATATTGTTCCTAGCTAGCTATGTTAATTAAATACAGACTTCAGACGCAAAACCTCTGATATAATTGTATAAATCTTTAGTATCACTCGCAGTAAACGCGGGTAAATGGGATCAGAATATGTCTACACAGAAATGAAACCATTTATCCATCTGCCTATGACGTTTTACCTTCCAAACGGATGAACGGATTATTTCAAGATATTTTCTTTTGTTCTTGAGTAATCTGTAACAAGTACTTCTCAAAAAGTCTGTTGTTTTGTTTACATGTGCCCCGGTTTTCATGTCCTCATTATTCTACAAATTGTTATACTTATTAGCAAATAATATAACATTCCTCATTTCTGTTATTATTTATCAACCAACATTTTAATTTATAATAGGTGTGTAGTGTTAAACTTTGCAATACATATACAATATCAGAATATACAAAAAATTAATATATACGTATATATATATATATATATATATATATATATATATATATAATCATGAAACGTATTTCAACGTAATGAAAACATTTCAAACGACTATAATATTATATTGAAGTACCGTGACGTTGTAACATTAAAAGTTTTTTTCTAAACCACTGCTAAAACAAACATTTAACGTTAACTATATCTTATCACACTACGTTATTGAAAATCGCACCCAAATCGGTCAAGCCATGCCACTGCGAGTAGCCCACATAAATGCACCGTTAAACAAACAAAAATTCAATCATTATTGCGTTCATAAACTTCCCCAATACTAATAGTTTTTCTTGTATCTCCCATGTACAGACAGCGACTGATGAATGAGATTGATGACTTTTATGTTTTATGAGTACATTATGTTTGTTATTACAATGATAAAAAAAATTGTGACGACAAACATCTACAATGATAATGATTGAATTATTAAAGTCTGTAATATTAAAAAAAATATTGTGATAAAAACATACTTTATTTTAATTTAAAATAAAGGATAATCATGTTTTTATCACGTAAGTATAAGTGTCAGAATTGCGAAAACCAAAATAATTTGACAATAAAGGATTGTCGATGAACTAATTTTAGTATTGGGTATTTTTAGTTGGTTTAACCCCAGTGGGTTATTTTAAATAAGCTTTTTGCTTTGTTATTTAGAATTAAGAGTAAGTTATATTTAGTCTTGGAAAAACCTTGGAGATCTGTATTAAAGATTTTAACCTGTTTTAAACCTTAGTTTAGGTTCATAAGGACTACTATCGTATTTTAAACATTTCAATTACATTCAAAATGTTCTATACTTGCTTGCGAATTCTAATCTAGGTATTAGTGCAGTGATTCTCAACTGTACAGAGACATTTGTGTGCCACATAATTTTAAAAGTGTGGCGCCATATTTTTGATAGACTCGTAATTAATCCCTTAATAAACGTACTACTGTACTTATTACTTACAGTAAATAAATAACCCTTAACACACCGCCATCTAGTCCCACTGTAAGCAGAGCTTGTGTTATGTTATGTATGATATAAATATTAATTGTTAGATATTTTTTATAAATACATACATTTTATACATAAACAACACCCAGACCTGTAAAGGTCTGGGTGTTTTCATGCGTTCCGTGCGAGGAATAGAATCCACGACCATCGGAAGTAAGGCGGTGCACTGAACACCTAGACCACCGGGGTTGTCACAATACAAGATTTTTTAATTTAGCTATTGTAAAATATGGAATGAGTCATTTACGAAATGTATACTCTTTAAACAGAGTCCACGTGTGTATTTTTAATTTATTATATGTAAATTTATGTATATGCATGTTCAATTCATTATAAATAAATACTTCTTCGTAAGTTTGGCAACATTTTGGTTGGTTGAATTTACTGGTAAGCTTTTGCTTTGATCTTAATAATGAACAACGACACACATTTCCATGTAACAGTATATTTTACGCGTATGGAATCACAAATGATTAGTATGTAGGGTACTGTGCTAGAATTCCTGTCACGAACTGACCAGGTGCAAATGTTGTAGGTACTAAATAATTGGGTACTTGTATCCCGCGGTTTTGGAATAAATCAGGATGAAAAATAGATAAACGTTAATTTACTTATTCTTTATATATTATTTCTAAACAATATTATTTCTAAAAAAGGCGAGCTGGCATTGTTAATCTAAACAAAACAAAAATTAATTTTTACGTAAATTACTAAATAAATAGACATAGTTACCTAATAGGATGTGGTCCTCTTGACTATATCTCTTTCTTTCTTGGGTGATTGAGTTACCTTGCTTTCGAAGACACATGGTTGCCTAGTTCGAAGCCAGTGGTTGACATCGATTATAACAGGCATCTTTTTGTGAATAACAATAATATTGTTAGGATTTTATTTGTGAATGTAAGGTATACTATATATTTCGTTTAAACTCTAAATAAACACAGGATAAACTCATTTTATGTTATCACGAAATTTTCTAATTTTATTCTTTGCACATTTTATTATTTATGTCGATGACTTTAAGGTATTAGTAGAAATTAAAACGTTACAGTATTAAGTATACTTTGGATATTATTTGTCCGTTTTTCGACAATATTTTTTAGTATTTACCTATGAGTAATGTACATACACACCTGGCATGAGTTGTACCACATCACATATGAAATGACGTCATTTCCGTGCTCATATATAGGCGACGGTAACCATTTACCATCAGGTCAACCGTCTACTTGTTTGCCAGTCCAGGGACATAAAAAATATATTTATATTATTGATTGGGTATTTAGTCTAGATATAAGTCTATAGAGTATAAGAGTTGACACCTATCCTAATGAGATCAAAAACAATATTGAATGCAACAACTTGTTCAGATAGGGTTTTTACAATTGTATATAAAAGTTATATTTTCCTAAATAAGATGGGCTTGCATATGCAGACAGAACCATCAAATCTAATATGCCAATCCGTATTATTATTACAATTAAATTTACTTTTCTGCATCTAAATATATCTAATTCTAAAAATATTTAGGTGGACAAGAAGGGAATCCCCATCTAACTGAAACTAATGCCTATAAAAAATAAATGCAAACAATTGCGTGCAAATATGTCGTCCTAAAAGAATGGTTACACAGATTCATATATCGAAACGTTATTTTGTTCTAAGTGACGGAAGTCCAACCAACCCGCATCATATTACCGACTAACGTGTAATTGCCTTGTGTTTATAAAAAAAAGTTGTTTATAATAATTTCCACCATGTACGTATAAATAGCACAGATTATCTAAACTCTGATTGTAGATATTTGTTGGGAGTTATGTAAGAAGGTAATTTACTTTAGTCAAAAATAATCTCTAAGCCCATTGTTTATCTTCCGGCAGTTACTGACTCTGTACGCAATTTGAATATGTTTCCAAACCATACATTACCATACATCACCGATTTATGTTCCGGAAGTTGAGAAGATAGTTTTTAGCATTTTCTACTATTTAACAGTGCGTTATACACTAATTTCAAAAGCGGTTTAATTAATTTTAATGCCATTTTCACTAACATATAGCAGCAAGCTTTCCGTAATATTTAGTGTTTGTTCCATTGTAATCAGTTTACAAACAAAAAAGCCGTAACCTTCTGTTATCCAC